AGCCACCCAATCCAGCTCCAGGTGGAAGTGAATCAGTGACCTGACTGGCCTGCAGGAGCAGCCAATCAGGCTTCTGGAGGAGGTGAATCTGCAAGGAGCATGAAATTCACACTCGACTCTGAGTGTATTTCATAATTGATTTTATTAAATGCCCAGCTCAATTTGTTTTTGTTTTTCCAAATAATAACTCCCCCCCCCACACACTATAAATAAAGTGGTCAATTATCCCCACTATAAATAAAGTGGCCACTACAAATAAAGCAGTCAATAGAGAGCATGTTGATAAACTCACTTTGTGAGTTTGTCCAAATCCCTTTTCTGTTTCTTAACCCCAATCCCTCTTTTAATCTTCCTTTCTGTTTCAGGTAAATGGTATGTCGTCAGAAGGGACCAACGATTTCCATGAGGCAGAGAAGACTCTCTTGGACGCCGGAGAGCATTCACTGAGACGGGGGACGGCCCAGGAGCAGGACAGAGGGGCCTCCTTCCTGGGTAAAAATTAACCTCCTCTTTATTGTTTATGCAAGGAATTAATGGGATTCTTTTGGTTCTGCTGAAACTTAAGGAGGCCGGGCACTTTCGTCCAATTAAACAACAGGTTTATTTTTAATAGAACTGAAATATAAAATGCACATGAATGTCCACACTATAAATGTTATGTGAGACATTTTGTAATGTCAAGGTGTACTTAAGATTTGTGTCACTTAACCTCTGAGAATTTTTTTTGCTACTGACCGACGGTTTTTTTTTTTTTTTTTTTAAAAGTAAGTTTCTCCATTTCTGCATATTCCATAAGTTTATGTATCCATTCTTCCTTTGCTGAGACTTCTGCTTCTTTCCATTTTGGGGCAAGTAAAATTCTTGCCTCTGTAGTCACATACATGAATAAATTTCAATACAGTTTAGGTAGTTCTGTCCCTATAATTCCCAAGAGTTATCTGTTATTTTAAACATTCTTTTCATTTCATTATATATCATTTCCCAGTAAGCCTTAAACCTTACTACAAAATCCATGGATTTTTTTGTCCTGATCTCAGGGATCTTCTTGTGGAATGGAATGGTGCCGGCAATATCTACTCAGCCATCTCTTCTTGGTGCTGGAGGGGAAACAGCTGTTGTGACACCTGACCAGGTACGGAGACGGACCTCTGGGAAGAGAGTCTAGGGGCTGTCAGGGTGTATTTCCCCTCCTCACCTCCTTGGGTGCAAAGAATTCCTCCTTCCCTTTCTTCCTGCCAAAGCTGCCCACCAGGAAGACCGGGGAAGCCACGCAATACAGTTTGTGTTCTACGGGAAATAATAGCATCATAGAATTGTAGAGTTGGAAGGGACCACGAGGCTCATCTAGTCCAACCTCAGGAAGATGGAGCCATCCCATATGTGCTACCAGCCTCCTTTCCTTGACTAGTGTGATTTTAAGGTCTTAGGTAAAGGTAAAGGGACCCCTGACCATTAGGTCCAGTTGTGGCCGACTCTGGGGTTGCGGCTCTCATCTCGCTTTATTGGCCGAGGGAGCCGGCGTACAGCTTCCGGGTCATGTGGCCAGCATGACGAAGCTGCTTCTGGCAAACCAGAGCAGCGCACGGAAACGCCGTTTACCTTCCCGCCGGAGCGGTACCTATTTATCTACTTGCACTTTGACTTGCTTTCGAATTGCTAGGTTGGCAGGAGCAGGGACCGAGCAATGGGAGCTCACCCCGTCGCGGGGATACGAACCGCCGACCTTCCGATCGTCAAGTCCTAGGCTGTGTGGTTTAACACACAGCGCCAGCCACGTCCCTTTAAGGTCTTAGATATATAATAAATGTACCAACCAAGCATGTACATAGATCAGCACAGGAAGACCGACCTGAAAATATTTTTGATTCCCAAACTGACCAAATGTTTTCCCTGCAAGGAGGGAGGGGGGTCAGGGAGCCTTCCCATTGTCTAAGGAATTGAGTAATCAGCATTTTAATGGGTGACAGACTATCATGGGTGACAGGCTATCAGGAAAGACAGTCAGGAAAGGCAAACAGAAAAAAACAACATTCAAATTTCTGCTGTAGACCACCCCTTCTGTGATGTATGTATGATGATGTATGGAGGGGTGGTCTTGAACTCCAGGGCAGGGAATTTAAAATGTCTGTATAAGGGTGGACACACCTGGGTCCTTTCCTGCGGGTGAGGGGAGCACCCTGTTGCAACAGAACAATAAAGATCAGGCTTACGAGCTGCTTTGCTTCTCAATATTCTCTGGTTGGCCTCTGTTATTTTCTCCTACCAATAGGAAACCTACGTAAGGAATCTATATGGGCTCTTGGATATCCCTTAAAGTAAAAGGGCAGATTTTGTTTACAACATTAGCCATCCAGATTTTGCTGGTAGATAATGTTTACGATAAAGAGAAAACTGTTTTCTTTCACTTGTAGAGTCCGGTGTCCTTTGAAGACGTCGCTGTGTGTTTCTCAAATGAGGAGTGGGCTGTGCTGGATTCTCACCAGAAACTGCTGCATAGAGAAGTCATGGAAGAGATCATTGCCTCTCTCGGTAAAGGGCTTTGCCTGTTTTTATACTGTATTTTGTTTGTGAACTGCCTTGAAATCTTACAAAGACAAGCGGTATATAAATCTACTAAATAAATTTAAAAATAAAACAAGTCTTTTCAGTTTCTCCTTTGTCACAAGCAGTGATTGAACTTGCTCAGTGATTTGAGACTCCCGTTTCTTCCTCAGGCTCTAATCGCTGCAGAAAGAACTTCTGCCGGAGTCCTGCCATTATTCCCTATCAAAGAATCCACACCGGGGAGAAACCGTATCAGTGCTTGGAATGCGGAAAGAGCTTCAGGCAGAAAATAACCCTCATCCGCCACCAAAGAATTCACACTGGGGAAAATCCGTATCAGTGCTTGGAATGCGGAAAGAGCTTCAAACAGAAGATCACTCTCATCCATCATCAAAGAATCCACACAGGAGAGAAACCATACAAATGCTTGGAATGTGGAAAAGACTTCCGTCGCAGTTCTTACCTTACTTCCCATCAGAGAATCCACACAGGGGAGAAGCCGTATAAATGCTTGGAATGTGGGAAGAGTTTCACGAGGAAGAGAAGTCTCACTTCTCATCAGAGTATTCAGGCAGGCGAGAAAGTATATAAGTGCTGGGCTTGTGGAAAGAAGTTCTGTCATGTTTTGTACCTTACTTCCCATCAGATAATCCACACAGGGGAGGAACCATATAAATGTTTGGAATGTGGGAAGAGCTTCCATCACAGTTCTCGCCTTACTTCTCATCAGAGAACTCACACGGGAGAGAAACCGTATCAGTGCTCAGAGTGTGGGAAGAGCTTCACTCGGAAGAGGAACCTCACTTCTCATGGGAGAATTCACACAGGAGAGAAACCGTATCAATGCACTGAATGTGGGAAGAGCTTCCGACACAGGCCGCACCTTATTTCCCATCAGAGAATTCATACCGGGGAGAAACCTTATCAGTGTTTGGAGTGTGAAAAGGGCTTCTACCTTAGTTCTAGCCTAACTCGCCACCAGAGAATTCACAGAGGTAGATAGGCACTTATTTCCACCTGTGGTGGACTTGTATAAAGGTAACTGGTTTTTGGAAACGTGTATTCTGATCATTTCTCAAACATTTTCAATGACCCACAAATGGCATTCCCCCCTAAAAAAATTTTTGAATGGGGGTGGGGGGTGTATACAAAGATCTTTTGGGGGGGTGGACCATGGCAGCTGCCCATCTAAGATGGCCTGTAGGACACAGTTGTTCCGCCTGGCCTTTGGCTTGAAATCAGTTTGATTCCCTTCCCCTCTTTCTTTTTTCCTTTCTCCTCCTGTGATGGAACTCCTATTTGGAGACTTCCCTGGCTTTTTTCTGGCCCACGTGGGACCAGTCTGGATACTTGGCCTTGGTGAAGATTCAACGTTTTCATCCCCCCAAATTTTTTTGATTTGAGTTTCCGTTGAAATGAGGCTGCATTTTATTGTTTTATTTTAATCTTGTTTTTTAAGTTGTATTTCAATCAATTTGTTTTTAGATCGGTTGTTAGGTGCCCTGAGCCTGGTCTTGGCTGGGGAGGGCGGGAAATAAATAAATAAATAAATAAATTATTATTATTATTATTATTATTATTATTACATTATCATTGTCATCATCATCATTATCTAACCGTTGTGGGAGATCAGAAGACATCCGATGCCAAATCTGGGGCCTCACACTAACAGAGAAGTTAACAAATGTGTGCACTTTGCAATCCATGCTCAAAAGATTCATTTTATGTAACTTCGTTCTGCTTTGTTACACATATAGCTTCTAAAGAAGCTGGCTATCCCCTCTTAGTGGTGCAGCAATAAAACTGCTAGCACATTGGCAAAGCTAACCTGGGTCTGGTATGGTTTCAAGTTGGATGAGGGACTATGTGCTGAGAGTCCTGCATTGCAAGGGTTGGACTAGATGACCCAAGAGCCCCTTCCAACTTGTATGATTCTGTGAAATATACATGGCCTTCTGTGGGTGGGGTATCCTAGGTTAATTATCTTTCCCACCCCCCTTAATATTATTTAGCATCATCTGTGATGAAAATTAAAAAGAAGGAATGTTAATGAACAACAAGTACGCATTGTGTTCAGAATCTGTGAGCTGGTTTCTGTTTCGCACCTCGCCCTTCATATTATTGTGTTTATTTGTATATTTTGTATATATCTGAGTTGTATATATCTAAGTTGCTTTTAAAAATTCACAGAGGGGGGAAACTAATGTTTGGAGTGTGTGCTCTGTCATATGACTGTAAGGTGAGAGAATGTTCTCTAAAACTTTAATTACATTACTAAAAAAAGAAAAAAAACCAATTCAGTGTCACGCTTTTAGATATTCAAATATAATTCACTGTTGAGTCTTAGTTGAATGTGCATACCTCCTACAACACCAGTTACTTGATTGTTACTTTACTTTTCTAAATCAGGGCAAAACTGAAATAATGGAATGGAAATTTTTTTACAGAACAAAAGATGGTCAGACAATTTTTTTTTATTTGCATTCCTTTTATAAACCAGGCCAAACCAGAAAGAATGGGAAAAATTCATAGAACAAAAAAATAATTAAACAAAAATATATATATTTTGCAAGGGAAATTTGCATTTCTTTTATAAACCAGAAAGAATGGACATTTTACGGAGCAAAAAAATATTACTGAATGAAATTTATATTTTTTGCAAGGAAAATTTGCATTTCGGCGTTCTCTGGCAAAAGAGACACCCTTTGTCTTTGAAGAACGTTGCCAGCCGTGCTGAACAGGCTTTCGGATGGCACACTTGTTCCTGGGATAGCCAAAAACCTCTTTGCAAGCACCTTCAACATCGGAAAGGAAGCTTCATTTGCCTTCCACCAGGTCAGAGGGCATTCATCGAAGCTCACTCTCGGCATAGCCATATACTCATTTAGCTCTTTTTCTGCTTTCGATGTATCATCCGCCAGCGCCAGGCCCTCTTCTTCTGCCTCTAAACCGAAGATTTTTGCCAACATCCTTTTTCTGGGTGGAGCAGGGCCAGTATTGGGCTCCGTCGAAGCAGCACGCAGACTCCCTTGCAAGTCCGCCATCTTCTTTACGGCCTCCTGCCTGACAGCCTCAGGAGCTTCCAAGAAACGCAGACGAAACCTGGGGTCACACAACGAGGCCAGGCCTAAAGTGGTTGCGGTGGGGGCGCTGTCGTACTTTTCCGACAGCGCCCCCAAAATTTCACGCTTAATGTCCTTCAGCAGTACACTGTCTCCCTCCTCGGGCTGGAGACTTTTCTTAATTTGCCTATAAAGAGGCAGAACAGACGAGGCCGTGATGTAACTGCTTCCGCTTAGAGTCGTGGTGAGGTCCTCTAACACGGTAGCTGCAGACACAAAGTCTTGGACCGCCGAGACGTCGTCCCCTTCCAACATCAAAGGTCTTTTAGATGGATAATCCGTAAGTACCTTGCACAGCGGGAGCTGGTTTTCGAGAAACCTTCGGCACAGCTTGAGCAGACTCCACCACCTGGTGGGACAAGCGCTTGGCAAACCCACCTTGTCCATCTCGAGCATCTCCTGAGCTCTGGTGAGGTCTTGCCTCATTTTCCAGCTACGGCAAATACTGTTTTGTAGCCGTTTCAGCCTCCTGACCGCCCTTCTCAGTTGCGTCAGGTTCAGAGCTCGGTTCACCCCGTCGTTTATATTGTGAGCGAAGCAAGAGATGTGCTCCAAGCCCAGCTGCCAGACCGCTCTGAGGATATTGGCACCGTTATCCGTCGTGCTGCAAAATACGTTCTTCATGTCGATGTCCCACTCAGACAAGGCGTCTCTGAGCATTTCGCAAAGAACAGCTGCGCTGGGCTCCTTCCAAAAATGTCTACAGGCCAAGCAAGCGTCGGTCAACTTCCACTCGTCCGAAATGAAATGGACCGTCACTGCCACAAACGGAGCGCCGGCTACGGACGTCCAGCAATCAGCTGTGACGGCCAGTTCAGTCTTAGTTACGGGGCGTATTTCTCTCTTCATTTTCTCCACCGTGTCCTTGTACAGCTTTGGAACTCCTGCGGTGGCGAAGTAATTTCTACCGGGCAACGGATATTTCGGTTTTAGAGTGTTCACCATCTGGATAAATTTGGGGTGGTCCACTGTGTTATAGGGCTCCAGGCACGTAGCCAGATACTCTGTGATCGCCTGAGTACAAGATCTCGAGCTCTTAGGATTGAACGGCTCAGAATCCAACGCGGTGTTTTGCTGTTCTCTAGGACTTTCCGCAACAGTTACTGCAGCACTCGCTGATGCCGCCGGCTCCGCGGCATTTTTACGCGAAGAGACGGAAACGTCTCTGGACGAAGAAGGCAGCTCCCTAAATTCCTGAGGGTGTTTGAGCTGGAGGTGTTTGCCAAGGTTGGACGTGTTCCCGCCTTTTGCGGACACCGAGTGCGAACATATTTTGCAAATAGCGACACCGTCGGACACCGTGCGGCCGCTCTCGTCGGCAGGCAATCCAAAATGCACCCAGAAAGGACTCTTTGTTTTTCTCTTGTCTACCAAATGGTGGTATTCGGGACATTCCAGAGAACGGGACTGAGGCGGGCTGGAGACAAATAGAGGGGGAACATTTTGAACGACAATAAAACTCTAAAGCCAATGCATTTAATTTATGAAAATATACTCGATGATAGCATGCTTCAGCTACACCTTTGCAGATTTCAGGACAACATATTAATACCAATGTCAATATATGAATACTGATATATTGATGTCAATATATTAATGTAAATACATTGGTGTCAATATATTAATGTTAATATATTAATTTGTTATCACATAACAAACGTGTGAGAAATCAAGGGGGCGAGAGGAGAATTGAAAAGAGTTCTAGGGTAGGTAGTGGGACTGCTGAACATGCTTCTAGTTTGTAAGACCACTGCCTCGCCAGAGAAAGCTCCATGGATTATTTTATTTTTTTCTTTAGTATTTTGTTACTTTTTAAAGTTTTGCCTGAGGTATGTTGACTTTCAAATGCCTGAGTTTTGCTGCACTGCAATATGCCACTGGCTGCATTTTATTTAGTGGATTTGATTGGCTGGGCGGGCCTTTATCTGTTTTAGCGGCCGCAAGGCTACATTTATAGTAGAAGTCACCCTCACACTGTTACATTTATTTGTTTATTTGTACGCCTTTAGCTGCTTGCACTTGTGCTGCATTTTGTATTTTAGTTTTAAAGGTGCGGTTTTTATTTTTATTATTACTATTCCCGCTGCCCAATGAACTTAAAAATCCCTATAGAAGGGACTGCCATCTCTCTCTGGGCTGTCTATAATTCAGGCTACACAAAGCTTCCACTATTCTGACTAATGACTATTTACAATTTGCTTGCCAAGATATATGAAAGAGATGGTGAATAGCAGACCCTCCAATTGTCCCTATTTTCCCAGGATGTCCCTTTTTTAGAGAAGCTGTCCCAGTTTCTGATTTTATCCTGGAATGTCCCACTTTTCCTTAGGGGGTCTCCATTTTCATTGGAGAAATGTTGGAGGGTGTGGAGTTATCCGACCCCCCAAGCCATCTGAAGGCAATCCTGTATAGGGAAGTTTTTTTTAAAAAATGTTTAATATTTTATTATACAGTCGTACCTTTGGCTCCTGAACGCTAAAACCCAGAAGTGAGTGTTCCGGTTTGTGAACGTTCTTTCGGAACCTGAACGTCTGGTGAGGCTTCCGATTGGCTGCAGGAGCGTCCTGCTGCCAATCAGAAAACGCACTTTGGTTGTTGAACGTTTTGGAAGTTGAACGGATTCTGTCCAGCTTCCAAGGTATGACTGTATATTGGAAGCTGCCCAGAGTGTCTGGGGCAACCCAGTAAGATGTGTGGGGTATAAATAGTAAAATTATTGTTATAGAATTGGACATCCCTATTTTCATCATAGAAATGTTGGAGGATATGGAATGTCCTGAATTCTGTATTGTACAGACTGGCAGTATGACTGAAAAGGAGTAGCACTGGAGGCGAAAATGGGGAGAGTAACAGGGTGAGACTCACTTGGAGGGGAAGAGAAGATTCTCGAATGCCAGAGCTAGGTGGGTAGTTGGTCATGGGTTTTTATTTTACTATGAAGCAACTTGAAGGCCAACAAGCATCTCAAGAGTGTATTTATGCCATCAATTATTTTTGAAAAAAATAACATTTTTAAAAATTGGAGACATCACCTTGCCAACAAAGGCCCCGTATAGTTAAAGCTGTGGTTTTCCCAGTAGTGATGGTTGGAAGTGAGAGCTGGACCATAAAGAAGGCTGATCGCCGAAGAATTGATGCTTTTGAATTATGGTGCTGGAGGAGACTCTTGAGAGTCCCATGGACTGCAAGAAGATCAAACCTCTCCATTCTGAAGGAAATCAGCCCTGAGTGCTCACTGGAAGGACAGATCCTGAAGCTGAGGCTCCAATACTTTGGCCACCTCATGAGAAGAGAAGACTCCCTGGAAAAGACCCTGATGTTGGGAAAGATGGAGGGCACAAGGAGAAGGGGACGACACAGCATGAGTTTGACTAAACTGCGGGAGGCAGGGGAAGACAGGAGTGCCTGGCGTGCTCTGGTCCAGGGGGTCACGAAGAGTCGGACACGAGTAAATGACTAAACGACAACAACAATTTTTGAAAGTACATACCTGTTCTCCACTTCCTGGCTATGCTTCCTGGAGTGAGCGTCGCAGCCAGTGTCTGTTGGCTGGGCACCATTGACTCTGCCCAACTCAGCCAGCTTCAGGCAGTTCTCCCTGTGCTTTGCAGATTCCTCATGAACCTTCGTCTTTAAGGAGATCTGTTTCATGTCTGCCACTCCAGTCCGTGCCCAGGGGACAGCGCCACCAAACAGCAAGCAGGGAAAGCACAGGAACGCATTTTTTGAGGTGCTCCCGCAAAGCCACTCCTTACGGTCGTACCAGGCCCTGCTAAACCTCCGAGTGACTGGCTTGCCTTTCTCCAGCACGGTTTGCACAATGCACAGGTCTGGGCAGTCAGGACCGAGCTCTTTAATGCAGCGTTGCTCAGCCAAACTGCGCTGAGGAAAGGGATTTTGCAGCAGGGCTTCTACGCTGTTCACCTTCACACAGCTGCAGGAAGATCTTCTGCTACAGGTCTGAAAAACAGTTTAGAGAGGAAAGAATGAATTATCGTACCAGACTGTCCTTTCTCAAGCTGATCACACTCTGCAAATTCAGGTAGGTAGCCGTGTTGGTCTGACGCAGTCAAAAAAATAATTTAATTTTTTTTAAAAATTGTCCAGTAGCACCTTACAGACCAGGCATGTCCAAAGTCGGTTTCAGGGGCCTAATTTGGCTGGCTGGCTGGTTTAATCCGGCCCCTGTGGCAATTTATTTCCTGGGGTAAAATCCTAAAAAAAGCTCAACAGCTTTGGTTGGCCCCCACGGCCCTTCGCTTCATCAAATCGGCCCTCTTTGAAAAACGTTTGGACACCACTGTTATAGGCCAACTAAGTTTGTTCTGATATAAGCTTTCATGTGCATGGTATCTGAAGAAGTGTGCATGCACACAAAAGCTTATATACCAGAACAAACTTAGTTGGTCTATAAGGTGCTACAGGGCAATTATTTATTTATTTTTATTATTTTTATTTTGACACTCTGCAAATATTAGATGAAACCTTAAAAAGAAGACAGCTCACTGTCAGCCCTGACCAGTCGTTTGGCGCTGATAGCAAACCCGTTTGAAGGTGTGCCGACATCGATAATGGACACTGACAGCGAGCCCAGCTTTGACTGCAGATGCAGTTTGGATTCAGACCTGCCAATGGGCATTTTGTCCCATGAAGCCCCAGCACTTAAGTCCAGTGCTCAAAAGCTTGTTGTGACGGACGGACCCAGAAACCAATCAGGAGAGAGTGAGCTGCAATTAAGCAATATGTAAGTTGTTTACATACATGAAAGTGAAATGAAATCCATGAATCCAACCACAGGCAGCAGAGGAACCAACCTGAAAGGCAGGTTGCCAGGAACGGACAAGACAAGGAAAAGTCCTTGCCATCTGTTTTTATTCAATATTCACAGAGAGAGGCTTGGGAATGTGGCCTCTGGGAATAACAGTGTTGCTCCGAGTAAGTCTCCACCCAGCCCTCTTCCCTTCGTGCATCATCACTACGGGTGCTGACTGTCAGGATCATCCTACTCGTGTGTAGGACCCCGATAGAGAGACATTCCCAAATGGCATGTTCTCTCCCTCCTGGTCTGTCATTCGGGAGCTTCAAAATCTTTCTCCAGCCCAAACATCACAGCGACTGATTCCAAGAGGCGTCAGCACACTTAGGAACAGCAGAGTGTTAGCAGTTTGCATAACAAACTCAGTAGCACAGCATTTTGGCTAAACTACAGTGGTACCTCGGGTTAAGTACTTAATTCGTTCCGGAGGTCCGTTCTTAACCTGAAACTGTTCTTAACCTGAAGCACCACTTTAGCTAATGGGGCCTCCTGCTGCTGCTGCTGTGCCGCCAGAGCACGATTTCTGTTCTCATCCTGAAGCAAAGTTCTTAACCCGAGGTACTATTTCTGGGTTAGCGGAGTCTGTAACCTGAAACGTTTGTAACCTGAAGCATATGTAACCCGAGGTACCACTGTAGTCCTACATCACGGAACACAGTAGCACCAAACATCCTGTCTCCATCACTTCCCACTATGCGGAATGAAAACATACACTGTCATGTGATAGACAACAAGCCCATGACTGCAAGCACGGAGCAAGAATCCTAACACTGTATGCGTCCTCTGCCTTTGAGCTCTTTGCTCTCCTACTTTCAAGGCCCGCCATGTTCTGGGAGAGGGGAGGTCTGGAATGCTTTCTAAAAACACTGAGTCCGTCAGCTGTCGCTCCCCTAGTGCTGCTTCTTCCGCTTCCTCATCCTCTTCCTCATCCTCTCCCATTATTTCCCAACTTTCCCCCTCATCTGTCTCTGAGCAGTGAGCTCCCTCAAACCCCTGTTGTAATTCTGAACTGCCTCCTTCTTCAGTATAAGGATCAGACTGGGGAGACATCTCCATCATTCTTTCTCTGCCCAGTCTCTGACACTGCCCTGGCCAGGGCCCCTGATGCCTTTCAACATATTGGAAGCGTTGGCCTCCTGAGCTTGTGTGCTACGCTGTAAGGACTCGACAACAGCCATAGTTGCGAGATCACCCAATTGCCAAAAATTGGAAAAAGGAAACAATACCGACAAAAAACGGGTGGCAAGATAAATTATTTTACTATATTGAATTGGATGACGCTATGTGAAATGTATTATGGGAAACTGTGGGAACTTTTAAAAACTCATGCAACCCTTTGTTCTGGGCTTTTTCTTTGTTTTTCGTGGAAACCATGTTGCAACAATAAATAGATCAGGCTTCCTAACCAGCTACTGTTTTGCTTCAATCTGCCTGGTTGTGTTCTCTTGCTCGAACCTGAGCAATTCTGAACCTGCAGAGCTAGACCCTAGTGAGGTTGGGAAATGGTTTAAGTACCGCAGCCCAAGGTTTTGTCCTCATCACCTTCACAGCACTTAATTTAGCAGGTCTTCTGGCTGATGAGATGAAGGAATTCTTAATGACAGCACCTCTTCCCCCACACCCTCCCAATGCAGGCTGATACTAAATATCCAAGTGAGTTCATACCCCAAGACCATTTTTTGCCGTGAACTATGTTCTTATTATTGGGACGCGGGTGGCACTGTGGGTTAAACCACAGAGCCTAGGACTTGCCGATCAGAAGGTCGGCAGTTCGAATCCCCGCGACGGGGTGAGCTCCCGTGGCCCGGTCCCTGCTCCTGCCAACCTAAAGCGGCTTAGTCCTGCTGGCCACATGACCCGGAAGCTGTACGCCGGCTCCCTTGGCCAATAAAGCGAGATGAGCGCCGCAACCCCAGAGTCGGTCATGACTGGACCTAATGGTCAGGGGTCCCTTTACCTTTACCTTCTTATTGAAACTGTTTCTATACTCCAGATATTTATGTCTTCTTTTCCCCTGCTGGTGAATGAAGCTTAAAGTCTCCACCCGTCTCTTCAAACGGCTTCTTCTCTTCAATGTGCAATAAGATTTGCGCTATAACCTTCCAGTCCAAACATTAAACTAGTTTCTCTTCTCTCTGGATGCTTTCTTGAACAACAAGAGCCCATTTTTTCACGAAAGCTCCTCCTATAATATGTTATACGGCTTCTCCCCTATGTGTATTATCCATACAATAAAGTTTTTGTTGCAAATGACACTTTTCAGTCAACTTATAACTTACTTCCAGCTTGGAATGCTTGGCTCTTTTTGCTGACACTTTGGGCTGTATCGAACAAAGCCGTTCTGTTGGCGGAAGGTTTTCCGCCTGCACAATGGAAGGTTCCTCCTCTCTCTTCACCTCACAAATCGGTTCCAGGGCTTCACCCAACTCTCCAAACCAGATATTCAGGGGACGCAAGGGGCAGTAGGAATCTACTTCACTTTTAATCTCTGGATCTTTACTTCCTGGAATCAAAATAAAGGAAGCATGTGAGGAACTGAGTCTCTAAGGAGAAGGAACCAACCAAATTCACAGCTGTGGAGAAGATAGCAAAGACATCATCCATGCACATATTCAGTGGGGAGGCAGATCCTGCCATGCATTAAATAAACCGGGCTGATATTTACTAAGGTGTTGTTTTAAGTTAGCTATTCAAGGGTGGAATATTGGTTAGCAGGAACTATTGGGAATTGGTAGCTGTGTCACCCACTGGAACCAAAAATTCTGTCATTTCCTGCAAGAACAAACCAAACTTCTGGAAAGGAAGAGAGCTGAGGGTGGCAGAAGTCTACAAAAAACGAACATACTATTATCAGGGAACCCGTTCAAAAATCACCTGTCTACAGAGGACCTTAACTCAGGTGTGAGGAACTATGTCCCTCCAGATGTTGCTATATTCCCAGCTTACATCATCCTTTATCATTTGGTCAGCTACGACTGGAGGGCCACAGGACCCTCGTACCTACGGGACCACCTCTCCTGGTATGCCCTGCGGAGGACCTTAAGGTCCATAAATAACAACACTTTGGAAGTCCCGAGCCCCAAGGAGGTTAGATTGGCCTCAGTCAAGGCCAGGGCCTTTTCAGCTCTGGCCCTGGCCTGGTGGAACACCCTACCGCAGGAGATCAGGGCCCTGCGGGATTTGACATCTTTCCGCAGGGCCTGCAAGACAGAGCTGTTCCGCCTGGCCTGGACTCAGTCTAACACCCCTCCCCCCATTTATTTTTTTGATGGAACCCCTTTATATGGGATTTGTATATAAATTTTCCATCGGCTCTTTTTGCTGGCCCATGTAGGACCAGCATGGATAGTTGGCCCCGGTGAATATTTGACGGTTTTTTCCCCTTATGGCTTTGATCTATAGGCTACCACTAAAAAGAGGCTGCATTTTAAACTGTATTCTAACTTACATTTTAATCAACTGCTCTCTTTTTTGTTTTGGGGGTTTTGTTTGTTTGTTTTGTTTTTAATGTTTTTACTGTACTTATATTCAGTGTTAGCCGCCCTGAGCCTGGTCTTGGCCAGGGCGGGCGGGGTATAAATAAAAAATTATTATTATTATTAAATAATAATAATAATAATAATAATAATTCTTCACTTCTCCCTTCCTCCTTCCTCCCGGTCATTGTGAGAGTTGCTCATTTTCTTCGACTCCCTGGTGTACCTGGTGAAGACTTGTTCTCCTGCCCCAAGAGTACAAGGGCTACAGAAGCGCCTCTGGGCAATATTTTTGGAAGTCCACAAGATTACTGTGCACCAGACAACCATGGGCAGCTGGTCCATTAGGGCGAAAGGGTCACTGCCCCACAAACCTCAGCCTGCCTGCCTTCTCCCTTACAAACAGCAAGGGACTGGCTCTGGCCATCATTGGCTCTCACTTCGCTCACCGCTGGGTCCCCCTCCATGCTGCCCTGCCAGTCTCAACGGGCACCAGACACCACTGCAGAAAACCTCCACTTTCCAGGCAAGGAGGAGCACATTCGCAATTACCTGCTGCTGAGCATCCTTCCATGCAGGGCGGTATAACCAGCTCTTCGAGCCAGCGGATGAGGTCCGGCCTGGGCATGAGAGGGTCTCCTCCTTCTTGGGAGAAAGGAAAAGCAGGCCTAATTACAAACACATTTCCTTCTGAAACATCCCCGTTTTCGTCTCCCACACCCTGTTCTTGGCAAGAGGAGGAGGTCTCCGCCCCTCCCCCCGTACTTGGGTGCCCACATGCCTATTGCCCAGTTCAGATTTTTGGGGAAGGGCCATTGCTCAGTGTGGCAGCACTGGCCTCACGAGCAGAAGCTCCCAAGTTTAATCCCCGGCTGAACACTGAGCTAGATAGACCAATGGTCAGACTCGCCATAAGGCAGTATGGCTATGAAGAGAACTCTACAGCCTAGATCAGACACGTCCAACTCTCAGGAGACTGCAATCTACTCCCGGTATAATAAATCTAGCAGTGTTCTACCTATCGTCATCTTTCTAGGGAAGATTTACCAGAGTTGTTGAGCTTTATTTAGGGATGAAGGACCAGAGGATTGAGCTAGATGATCCTCAGGGTCCTTTCCAACTCTATGATTATAAATACGATACAATAACCTTTATTGTCCTTGTCCCACACAGATCAACGAAATTGAAAAATCTACATCAGACATTCAAAAACCAACAAGCCTGCTATCCCAGCTATCCCAGTCTGGTTAACCCCCTAAAAACTCTGATACCCCATAATTAGATACAATATACTCCCATAGAGACTACCTTACACTGCGTTTAAAACCAAAATTGCATTTGGATAGAAACTGTTTCTCAGGCGGCTAGTCCTAGTCTTTATAACCCTTTACCTTCTTCCAGAAGGCAGAAGCTGAAAGAGATCATGGTTCTGGTGGTGCGCACTATCCTGCACTATCTCTGCAGCTTCCTTGTGACACCTGGAAGCATAGATTTGATCCAGGTGGGAAGAGAATAATGCACCCAGTTATTCTCTCTGCAGTCTTACAACCCTGGACAGCATTGTTGTCCCCTGACCGTGCAGGCTCCCAAACCACATACACAGACCCTAAGGTTAATACAGCACCTCGAACAGTACAATGGTAAACTGCCATCAACAGGTCCTTTGAGAGATTGTTGTCTGGAGGCTTCTCAGAAAATATGACCTCTGCTGTGACTCTCTTCATCAGGTCTTTGCTGTTTTCTCCCGCTAGAGTTTCTGGGTCAGCTCTCAACGCCATTCCCACGTAAATCGAAACACCGTAGACCTAGTTTCATGCAGGTGACCCTCGAGTGAATCGCAGTGGCTGAATATTCAATTTGCATTTCTAAAGTCCACAATGATCTCTATTGTTATCTCTTTAGGGTTTGGGAGCAAGTTGTTTTTCCTGCACCACTCCCCCAACTGCTCAACTTCCTTCCTATAAGCCGCCTCCCCCTCTCCAGCCGTGATTAAACCAACCACCGTTGTATCATCTGCAAACTTAATAATCTTATTACTAGGGTATTTGGGGCTGGAAACCCCTGCAGAATCAACATATAACTTCAGAGCATATGCTGTCTCAGCAGATATCATACCATCCTGCCTAGTTGCATCCCTCTCTTGCTAGTAAACTTTAACAACAACATCATTAACCCAGAATGGCCATACTGAATGATCCCTGCTGTTGAGACTCCAACACTATACAGTCGCACCTCGGCTCCTGAACGCCTGGGGAGTCAAACGTTCCAGCTCCCAAACGATCGAAAATTGGAAGTGAGTGTTCTGGTTTTTGAACATTCTTTTGGAGGCCGAACGTCTGACGGGGCTTCCAATTGGCTGCAGGAGCCAATCAGAAGCCGCGCTTTGGTTTTCGAACATTTCAGAAGTTGGATGGACTTCCGGAACGGATTGTGTTTGACTTCCGAGGTACGACTGTACCTGTTTGTATTTATATCTTTAATGCTATTTTTAATATAACTTTTTGCCTTGCTTGAAAACCCATGCAACGATGACCAGTTAGGGCAGGTGTGCTATTCTCCAAAATAAACTGAGTCCAGCAATGAAGAGTGAGAAATCTCATCTCTTCAGTGTCTTACGAACCAAAGGGTAGAGAGGTCCCTACCCAGGGAGGTCACATTCCTATAATTTTCCAGCATGATATCCTTGTACAGAGCCTTCTGCCGTGGGTCCAGGAGTTCCCACTCCTCCTTCGTGAAATGTATGGCCAACTCCTCAAAGGACACCAGACCCTGAAAAGTAGTAATAATAATAATAATAATAATGCCCCGCCCATCTGGCTGAGTTTCCCCAGCCACTCTTCACTCCTCACAAATACAGTGGTGCCCCGCAAGACGAACGCCTCGCAAGACGGAAAACCCGCTAGACGAAAGGGTTTTCCGTTTTGGAGGCGCTCATAAACGAATTTCCTATGGGCTTGCTTCGCAAGACGAAAGCCCATAGGGAAATCTCCGGGGACCTCTTTTAAATGCTAGCGGTGGGAGCAAAGCCTTCCCCCCCCCCTCCGGCCTTCAGAAGAGGTCCAGGAAGGCTGGCGGGGGCCGAAAGGCTTTGCTCCCCACCGCCAGCATTTTAAAAGCAGTCCGGGATAGCAGGGAAGCGCTTCCCGCTATCCCGGACGGCTTTTGAAGGCAGGAGAGGTCCGCGAAGCCTGGGCGCGCTGATCTCAGCGCGCGCAGGCTTCGGCATGCCGGCAACTCTCCGCAAGCAGCGGCAGCGCTGACGCTGCTCGCGGAGAGGTCCGCGAAGCCTGGGCGCGCTGATCTCAGCGCGCGCAGGCTCCGGCATGCCGGCAGCTCTCCGCGAGCAGCGGCAGCGCTGCCGCTGCTCGCGGAGAGGTCCGCGAGCCTGGGCGCGCTGATCTCAGCGCGCGCAGGCCCGGCATGCCGGCAACTCTCCGCAAGCAGCGGCAGCGCTGCCGCTGCTCGCGGAGAGGTCCGCGAGCCTGGGCGCGCTGATCTCAGCGCGCGCAGGCCCGGCATGCCGGCAACTCTCCGCAAGCAGCGGCAGCGCTGCCGCTGCTCGCGGAGAGGTCCGCGAGCCTGGGCGCGCTGATCTCAGCGCGCGCAGGCTCCGGCATGCCGGCAACTCTCCGCAAGCAGCGGCAGCGCTGCCGCTGCTCGCGGAGAGGTCCGCGAAGCCTGGGCGCGCTGATCTCAGCGCGCGCAGGCTCCGGCATGCTGGCAACTCTCCGCAAGCAGCGGCAGCGCTGCCGCTGCTCGCGGAGAGGTCCGCGAAGCCTGGGCGCGCTGATCTCAGCGCGCGCAGGCTTCGGCATGCCGGCAACTCTCCGCAAGCAGCGGCAGTGCTGCCGCTGCTTGCGGAGAGGTCCGCGAGCCTTGGCTGGACAGCTTTTGAAGGCAGGTGGGGGGACAAGACTTTCGCCCCCGCCAACCTTCAGAAGAGGTCCAGGACCTCTTCTGAAGGCTGGCGGGGGCAAAGTCTTTGTCCCCCTGCCTGCCTTCCCAGGGGCTTTAAATTGCCCCGGACAGCGGAGAAGTCCTCCGCTGTCCCGGGGCAATTTTAAATGCCGCCCGCCAGCATTTTAAGATCGCCCCGGACAGCGGAGAAGCCCTCCGCTGTCCCGGGGTTTTAAAATGCTGGGGTGGAGTGGGAAGAAAAGCCCTTGTCCCCCCCAGCCTTCAGAAGAGGTCCGGGGACAGTCTGTCCCCCGGACCTGGTCTGAAGTCGGTTTCCCTAGGAACGCATTAATTGATTTTCAATGCATTCCTATGGGAAACCGTGCATCGCAAGACGAAAAACTCGCAAGAAGAAAAAACTTGCGGAACGAATTAATTTCGTCTTGCGAGGCACCACTGTAATCCTAAAGAAATGGGTGTCAATCTGCCTGCTTCACCCACAGTGCAGGTAAAGAAATTTTGGAAATATTGTACAAGAGCCAAAGCTTGTGGCCTACTTAAAGTGCGATGTTGAAAAAGCAAAAGATAGACCCCATAACCAAAGAGGAACCCAAACTTTTCATTCCAATGAATCCCAAAGCATCGTACAAACTAAAGATAAAAGTAACATAATAGAACATCACAAACACAGCATAAATCATAAACAGAATACCTCACCTACCTGAGCTGCCTGCAGAGCAGCCATTTCTTCTCTTTTCACAAAGAGGAGGCCTCCCGGAAGGGGTCACTGAGGTTCTTTCACGACCTGTGGGGACAGGTTGTGGGGTGTGAGAGAGACAAGCAGGGTTGGAAGATCTTTATCCTTTCCCACCTTTCCCCCCCCTTTAGTTCCACCACAACGTGGAAAGGTAAAAAATAACATAACATAAATTCCTTGTGGCCCACGAAGCTCACAGCCCAGCGGACCTTGCAGGGTGCCTTCTTGGAAAACTACAGTTCCCCCAGGGATCCTTGCAGAGAAGTCGGGCCCTTCGAAAAGGTGCCTTGCTTCAAGGGTGTTTCAATGCACAGGGAGGGTCTGCCCTACGCAATGCAATATGTGGGGGAACCACAAATGATCCAGCAGCAGGAGGAGCTGAGCACACCTACTCCTGCGGAATTAATTAACTGATGGATGGATGGATTAATAACAATAATAATTTTATTATTTGCACCCTGTCCATCTGACTGGGTTGCCCAGAGACTACGGGAGAAAATAAGACGTGGTTTCTAAAAAAAACAGAGGAGGGGGGAAATTGCTTGCAAGGTGGTGGGAGGGATTTCCCCCAGCTGGGCTGGTGAGAAGGGGGCTGGGGGTGGGATAAGAGGGAGGTCCCTTTCACCCCTTCCTCGTCCCCCTGGAGGCCTCAGCTGCTGCCTCACCCTCCTAAGACTCACCCTCAGCGCCTCCCCAGCAACAATTGGGGAGGATTTGGGGGGTAATTGGGGAGGGGGAGGGGGGAAGAGTCGCTGGGTGGGCGTAGACACTTCCGGGTTCTCAACGGCAGCGGCTAAGGGTCGTCCATGTGCGGGGCAAGCGGGAGTGGAAATAGGCAGGAGTGGGAGGAGAAGCCTTAAATAAAGCAGGAGGGATTCGAAGGTTCCATATCCCTCCGGCCGAAAAAGGATAATGGCTGGATAATGGCTATATATGAAGCCACATTACGCATGCAACCAGCAAGGAAATGTTGGGGGAGTTTCGTGGATGGAGAGCTTGTAAAATGAGTGGAATTTATATTTAAAAATTGTATGTATTTGTATATATACAAAATATTGTGTGTGTACGTGTCTTATCTATCTATCTGTATGTATGTATGTATGTATAATTATACATATACATTCAAACCTATATATAGTTTATATAAAATAGATACTAATCAGGAAGGGTTATCATATGCCTTTGAAGTCGCTGCGCAACCTGTGGAAGATGTAGACAAATCGCCTTGACTAGACACCTCTCCCGCTTTGACCTCAGCTGCTCCCTCCCTCCCTCCATTCGCTGATTGAACCAGGAAGGAACGTACGCGCTTCCTTTGAACGCTCGCCGCTCATCTCCCCCCCCGCCTCTCTAGGAAGCGCATGACGCTCCCTTTAACCCTTAGAGAGCCAAGCGGCGGCGGGGGTTTGAAAGGCTGGATTCTTAGAGAGGCAGGAAATGGGGGAACAGGGGGATGTCAATAGTGGGAGCAACTTCCTGCCTTGCGTTTCCCCCACCCTCCACAAAATGTTTCTGCAAAAGCGGCTTGTGAATGCTGTTTGCCAGAAGCTGCAGGCAGGTCAGTGGGTGTTGCTAGAGCGCGTGAAAAGTGCATTTGAAAGTGGGTTTGCTGGTGGGGGGAGAGGAGGGGCCGGGTCTTTCTTGGGAGAGGGTGGCAGGTACAAAAGAATTATAGAATCCTAGAGTTGGAAGGGACCCTGAGCATCATCTAGTCCCACCCCCAGACCCTCCAACGTTTTTCCTATGAAAATCATTCCATAATGATAATTTTACTATTTATACCCCACACATCTGACTGGGTTGCCCCAGCTACTCTGGACAGCTTCCAACATACGTAAAAACATAAAAACATTTTTTTTAAAAAAACCTTCCCTATACAGGATCGCCTTCAGATGGCTCAGGGGTCGGATAGCTCCATACCCTCCAATGTTTCTTCAATTAAAATAGGGATGTCCTAAGAAAAAGTGGGACATTCTGGGATCAGATCCAGAAACTGGGTTGGCTTCTCTAAATCAGGGATGTCCCTGGAAAATAGAGACACTTGGAATTGAAGAATATTCCATTGTCCCTTACAGGGATCAAACCTGCAACCTGCTGATGGAGAGGATACAGATTGCTGGTGGAGAGGAGCTGGTGGAGAGGGGAGACGGTGGAGTTGCTGGTGGAGAGGGGAGAGGGTGACTGGCCTGGTGGAGAGGGGAGACGGGGACTGGCCCAAGATCACCCAGCGAGCTTCATGACTGAGCGGGGATTCGAACCCTGCTCTCCCAGTTCCGAGTCCAGCATTCTAACCATTACGCCACCCTGGCTCTCCAGTGAAATGTTGCCAGCCTTTAATTCTGGGTACCCCAAAGAGAAAGCCATTCCTCAGAATCACTCAGTTCTGTGCACGCATCTGCACATCCTTCCTCAAGGCCATTTGTCTTCTTCTTCTGAGGCGATCCCTCGTAGCCGAGTAAGATTGTCTTTCACGAACCCAGTTTTAACAGTGAGTCCGTGAGTGGCTGTGGAGGCCATTCTGGATCCACACCTTTGGTAAAGGCTGTTCTCCACTTGGAGTGCTCACAGGCCAGTGTTTCCCAGTTATCAGTGCTTATACAGTCGTACCTCGGACTTCAAACGCCTTTGGCTCCCAAAGCCGCAAACCCAGAAGTGAGTGTTCTGGTTTGCGAACGTTCTTTGGAACCCAAGCATTCAATGTGGGTTCTGTGGCTTCCGATTGGCTGCAGCAGCTTCCTGCAGCCAATTGGAAGCCGTGCCTTGGTTTCCAAACTTTTTGGAAGTCAAACGTACTTCTGGAACTGATTCCGGATACAGAGGTACCACTGTACAGGGTTACATACGCTTCAGGTTACAGAAACTTGAGGTTACAGACTCCACTAACCCAGAAATAGTACCTTGGGTTAAGAACTTTGTTTCAGGAGGAGAACAGAAATCACATGGTGGCCGTGCTTCAGGTTAAGAACAGTTTCAGGTTAAGAACGGACCTCCAGAACGAATTAAGTATGTAACCAGAGGTACCACTGTGCTAGATTTTTAAAAATTTTGCCTTGAGAGTGTCTTTAAACCTCTTTTGCTGTCTCATGGTTGTTTGTCTCTTTCCCTTCAGGGTGAGTGGTTTGTCATCCACCTGCTTCTGAATGACCTTTCTGCGGTCCGGGGATGAGGCATCTCTGAAAGAGCCCTTCTGAACCCCCTTTTGCATTGACACAGCAGCTCTGGTTCCCAGCGGCGTTGCGGGACGTGGGCAAGAGGCCTCGGGATGGCGGTGGAGCAAGCAGATAGGTCTCCTTCCCTGACTCTCCAGCTGCAGGCCGTGCCGGATGAAAGCAAGGACCCAGAGATGAAGATGGAGCCAGAGGTGCTTCAGGGCCTCAAAGAGGCAACAGGGGCAGGAGACAGCTCCCCAGACTCCCAGTCAGCGGCCAGCGGGGTCCCCAAACGCTGGGAAGAGCTGCAGCGCGTTAAGCAGGAACCAGGTGAGGGTCTGTCGTCGCTCCGCTGGGAAGCCCAGTGGCAGGAATTCCTGAAGGCCGTGCAGACCCCTCACTCTGGCGAGGGCGACCCACAGGTGCCAGAAGCCGTGCCATGGGGTGAAGGCAAGAACGCCCTGTCCCGCTGCGAGAGGGCAGAGGCCGTCAGCCAGGGGACTCAAGAACAGAGCCAGGATGGGGTCCTTCCTTTCAACAGAGCAGCCCAGCAGGCTGATGGGAGGGAGGGCGCCACTGGTGATGTCGGACCAGCGATAAAGATGGAGGACTCCGCCAGCGGAGAGGCCCAGCGTCGGCTTTTCAGGCAGCTCTGCTACTGGGACGCCCGGAGTCCTCGCGAGGTCTACGGGCGGCTCCGGGAACTGTGTGCGCAGTGGCTGAAGCCAGAGAGGAGCACCAAGGAGCAGATCCTGGACCTGGTGATCCTGGAGCAGTTCCTGGCTGTCCTGCCCTCGGAAATGGGGAGCTGGGTGAAGGAGCGAGGCTCAGAGAGCTGCGTCCAGGCCGTGGCCCTGGCAGAGGAATTCCTCCTGAGGCACCAGGAGGCGGAGAAAGCGGGAGGGCAGGTGAGAGGGCCTCATCCTGGGATTTCCCCCTGAGGCGGTTGTGGCGCAAATGTCTGAGTGTCGCACCTTAAAAAGGGTGGGGAGCCTCAGGCACAGGGGCCAAATGCAGGCATCTCTCTGGCCCTCAGGACCCTTCTCAGGCCATACCCTTTGCTGTCCATCGCTCTTCCAGATGTTTAGCTGAAATCTCCTTTCTTGTAACTTGAAGCCATGTGTTCGAGTCCTACCTTCCAGAGCAGGAGAACACAAGCTCGCTCCATCTTCCTTGTGACAACCTTTATTAGAAGATAGCTATCCTAATTCTCCTCTTTTCCTTTTTGTTTTTTTATAATAATTGTTTGATTTTAGAAATTATAAACTTAAAACAAAGTCAATTATAAAAAAGCCATGTAAAGAGATTACTCTGAATCTCAGGACTTTCCCCCCATCCCCTCCATGGGTCCTAATATCAATATTTACAACTGCATATCAGTCCGTTATCCACATTTTTTATCCATCTAAATTGTCCATAGTTTCTGTTACTTTACAAGTGTGGTTAAAATCACGTAAACAGCCTTGATTCCCCTCCCCACGCAAAGAATTCTGGGAACTGTAGTTTGTTCCGGATGCTGAGAGTGCAGGAGGTTCTCATATTCTTACACGGCTAGAAATGGAACACTGGACATTGCTACAATAGTCCCACCCATCCATCAGACTTAGACCTTATCTCTGGTCTGATCCCGTTCCTCACCGCTTCTGTCGTTCTGTGAAATAGTGTCTGGACTACGGTTACCAGATGTCCCCATTTTCTGGGGCAGTCCCCGGATTTGTGAATAAGTCCCCGGACAAATTCCATCCGCGGAATGTCCCCAGATTTCATCTAATGTCCCCGGGAAACGCAGCAGCGGCAGTTTCAGCAGCCCGGGCCAGTCGGCTCTGGCTGGCTTCAGGAGCTGCTCGGAAGTCCCCATATGATGGTGATGCAGGAGCTCTAAGATGCAGCTTCCGGGCTGCCTCCACCTTCCCTGAGCCCAGCAACTCAGCTGCGAAGGGTATCGGAGCAGCCTCCCATCTCCTTGTTGTTGTCGTTTAGTCGTGTCCGACTCTTCGTGACCCCATGGAGCAGAGCACGCCAGGCACTCCTGTCTTCCACTGCCTCCCGCAGTTTGGTCAAACTCATGCTGGTAGCTTTGAGAACACTGTCCAACCATCTCATCCTCTGTTGTCCCCTTCTCCTTGTGCCCTCCATCTTTCCCAACATCAGGGTCTTTTCCAGGGAGTCTTCTTTTCTCATGAGGTGGCCAAAAAATTGGAGCCTCAGCTTCAGGATCTGTCCTTCCAGTGAGCACTCAGGGCTGATTTCCTTCAGAATGGAGAGGTTTGATCCTCTTGCAGTCCATGGGACTCTCAAGAGTCTCCTCCATCACCAGAATTCAAAAGCATCAATTTCCCAACTCCTACTTGCGTGCAAGCAGGAGCGGGGCGGGGATCTCTCAGCTGTGAAGGGAGGCTTCACACTGCCTATCGGAGCTTGCGTGCAAGCAGGAGGGGGCAGGGATCTCTCAGTCAGGCAACAGGAAGCCTCCCTTCCCAGCTGAGGGATCCCTGCTCCCTCCTGCTAGCACGCAAGTAGGAATGGGATTGGGGCTGCTCCGATGGGATGGGAGGCATCGTCCTGCCTGAGCCTCGCTGCTGCTGCTGCTCTTGGCCCTCCTCCGCCTTGTATGCCAGACCCACTGCGCACTGCTTCCCCACCACCACCGAAGAACGTACAACTTAGGGGCTGCCCAGGCTCATGGAGAAAGGAGATAGAAGCCTCAGAGGAAGGGGAAACATGGAGGTTGAGGTCAAGGCGGCGGACGCCCCTCTGCCAGCCCACCGCCATCGCTGCAGTAGCAACATCCCAAACGTGTAGTATGTATGTATGTATATATGTGTAGGGTCCCCAGATTCATTGAAAAAAATCTGGTAACCTTAGTCTGGACCGCTTTGTTTCTTGACTAAAACGTTAACGGGTATTTCAGGTGCCAGGGGCCTTCCAAGAGGCTGCTGTGACCTTCGCTGGAAATGTGGAGGCATCGCCGGAAACAACGCAGAAGCAGCTTGGTGGGGAGTTCAAGCGGGAAAATGAGGGGGTCTCCAGCGTGCTGGGTAAGGGCTCACCCCCCGCCGTGAATTGTCGTTTCTTGTAGGTATAATGCCCTGATGCAGGGAATCACCAACATGGGGTGCTCAGCCCCTTCTGTGACACCCATGAAAGGTCTCAGTAGAGAAACCCCTCAAAAATCCACAGTCCACAACAGACTTGTTTCTTCTTCCTGCTCAGTTCTTGTTTGCATTGACTTAGCCATTCCTACATTGAAATGCCCCCGAAACTGGCTTTAGGGAAGTTTTTAATGTTTGATGTTTTATCGTGTTTTTAATATTCTGTTGGGACGCGGGTGGCGCTGTGGGTTAAACCACAGAGCCTAGGACTTGCCGATCAGAAGGTCGGCAGTTCAAATCCCCGCGACGGGGTGAGCTCCTGTTGCTCAGTCCCTGCTCCTGCCCACCTAGCAGTTCGAAAGCACATCAAAGTGCAAGTAGATAAATAGGTACCACTCCGGCGGGAAGGTAAACAGCATTTCCGTGCGCTGCTCTGGTTCCCTAGAAGCGGCTTAGTCATGCTGGCCACATGACCCAGAAGCTGTACGCCGGCTCCCTCGGCCAATAAAGTGAGATGAGCATCACAACCCCAGAGTCGGTTATGACTGGACCTAATGGTCAGGGGTCCCTTTACCTTTTTAATATTCTGTTGGGAGCCACCCAGAGTGGCTGGGGAGGCCTGGCCAGATGGGCGGGGTATAAGTAATGAAAAATTACTATTACTATTACTATTACAGTGGTACCTCGGGTTAAGAACTTAACTCGTTCTGGAGGTCCGTTCTTAACCTGAAACTGTTCTTAACCTGAGGTACCACTTTAGCTAATGGGGTCTCCTGCTGTCGCTGCGCTGCCGCCACGCGATTTCTGTTCTCATCCTGAAGCAAAGTTCTTAACCCAAGGTACTATTTCTGGGTTAGCGGAGTCTGTAACCTGAAGCGTTAGTAACCTGATGCATCTGTAACCTGAAGCGTCTGTAATCCGAGGTACTACTGTACTACTACTACTACTACTACTACTACTGCTGCTGCTGCTACTACTTCTATTACTATTATTTCATTGGTGGTCAGGATTAGACACGCTCCTTCCCTTCTGCCCTGAACCGAGGAAAGCATTTCTCTTTGTGTATATGCTGAGACATGTCCTTATTCCTGGGATTTTTTTAAAAAAATAGAAAACTCTGGCACTTTGAGAGTTAAACAGAAAAAAGACTTATTTCCCAGAAATGTTTCAGGAGTTGGAAATCTACAAAGAACTAGCAAACTGTATACATTGAACTCTGCAGGTGTCGCAGGCTTTTCAATAAGATGGCGAATGCTCAGCTGAAATTTACGACTTTCCAAAATATTTAGTAGAAAAGCTGCCTTGTCTCTTTGACAAAAGCAGAATCAACTGCTAAAAAATTATAGAATCACTGGGTTGGAGATAGCTTTTTGGCTCCACGAAGCTGATTGGCCTTGAAGATGAAATTTAACAGGTGGGCGGGGAAACCCCCTGTCAATCACCTGATGTCGCAATAACATCAGGTGGAAGGTGCCGCTAAAACAAAGTGTTTTCCCTCCCTCCTTCATTTTAAGCGGGGCGTTCTGATGCAAACACCATCCTGTTTCACATCTGGTCTAACCCCACCCCCCAGTCTGGGTGAAAGAACATGATTTGCAAATGAGAGGTTCTTTCTGCAGCTTAACTTGTTGCATCCCTAACTCATGGGATCATAGAATTGTAGCATTGGAAAGGATTTTGAGGGTCATCTGGCCCAAACACCCGCAATGCAGGAATCTCAGCTAAAGCATCCATGACAGATGGCCTTCTAAAAACCTCCAATGAAGCAGGTTTTATTTATTTATTTATTTATTTATTTATTTATACATACATACATACATACCCCGCCCATCTGGCTGGGTTTCTCCAGCCACTCTGGGTGGCTTCCAACAGAATATTAAAATACAATAGTCTATTATAAAAGCTTCCCTAAACAGGGCTGCCTTCAGATGTCTTCTAAAAGTCTGGTAGTTGTTGTTCTCTTTGACATCTGGTGGGAGGGCATTCCACAGGTTGGGTGCCACTACCGAGAAGGCCCTCTGCCTGGTTCCCTGTAACTTAGCTTCTCGCAGGGAGGGAACCGCCAGAAGGCCCTCGGCGTTGGACCTCAGTATCCGGGCAGAACAATGGGGGTGGAGACGCTCCTTCAGGTATACTGGGCTGAGGCCGTTTAGGACTTTAAAGGTCAGCACCAACACTTTGAATTGTGCTCGGAAACATACTGGGAGCCAGGGTTAGTTGCTCCAGCTCATTCCTAAAAATCTCCTTTTGTTATTTCAGCAGGTGGCAGGGACCAGTGTGCTACTGGTGGAGAACTATTCTGGGTCCCACAAGGTAGACCGATGGGTCAGGAGCTGGAGGAAAAAGGTGGAAGCCAAGGAAAGTCAGATAAGCTTCGGAGCCATGAGATGTGGAGAGACAAATATCTCCCTTGCCTGGACGACGGCGACGCCTGCGAAATGTCAGCCCAGCAGGGCGCTCTCAAAAGGAAGAAGCGCGTCAGAAGCGCAGTGAGCGAGAAGCTTCTCCGAGACGAATCAAACCTCCGTGGAATCCACACGGGGGAGAAACCGCACGACTGCTCGGTCTGCGGGAAGATATTCCGCAGGCGCTCGGACCTCAACAGCCACCAGCGAACCCACACGGGAGAGAAGCCTTACGTTTGCCTGAACTGCGGGAAGAGGTTCAACCGGAGCACGAACCTTATTTCACACAAGAGAATCCACACAGGGGAGAAGCCCTATAAATGCTCGGACTGCGGGAAAAACTTCTGCCACAAATCCGGCCTGATCAGGCACCGGAGGACCCACACGGGAGAGAAGCCGTACGCCTGTTCCGAGTGCGGGAAGAGCTTTAGCCAGAGGCAACATCTGATAACCCACCAGCGGAACCACACGGGAGAAAAACCGTTCACGTGCTCCGAGTGCGGGAAGAGCTTCAACCAGAGCCAGCACCTTACCACGCACCAGAGAAACCACACTGGGGAGAAGCCCTTTGAATGCTCCCAGTGCGGCAAACGCTTTTGCGACAAGTCCACCCTTTTTAGACACCAGAGAAGCCACATTGGGAAGAAACCTTTCAAATGCTCCAAATGCGAAGAGAGCTTCTACCGGAGCAAGCATCTTATCAGACATCAGAGAATCCATCTTGAACCTTCGACGGTCTAATTTCATGGGGTTTTTTCCCCCTCCTAAGTTAATGTATATAAACAGTGTTTGTTCCTTGCTTTTTGCTGTCCGCAAATCATGTTTCGAAGACATTGGGGATACCGTATTTTTTGCTCCATAAAACGCACTTTTGTCTTCCTAAAAAGTAAGGGGAAATGTCTGTGCGTCTTATGGAGCGAATATGTGGTCCCTAGAGCCGAATTGCCCAGGGGCAAAATGCAGATCATGCTTTTTTGAGATAGAGAGAGAGAGAGGGAAGTGGGTGTTCAAACAAAGCCGCTGATCGGCAAGCAATCGGGAGCGAGATAAGGGACGCTAGCAATAAAGGAGGCTGCCTGCGAGGGGGGAGGTAAAGACAGCAAACTTGCAAGGAGAGGAGACAGGAAGACTAAAGCAATGAGGAGAGAAATTAGAAGAAAGGGAGGAGCAAAAAACTGCTCCAGCTAAGGAAAAGACAATAAGGCAAACAAGAGGGAAGGGGGTGTTGAAATCGGGGAGGGAGATAAGGGACACTAGCAATAAAGGAGGCTGCCTGGGAGGGGGAGGTAAAAGCCCATGGATCCTCAGGATTACATTGGGTCACCCCAAATTTACCATCAGATCACATAGCATGTCCATGGCTACAGCCTGCACCAAAAATATCATGCACCTACTGTTGCCTGGGGCCGCAATGGTGCAAAAGCGTGGTTACAAAGCACGGATCCACATGGATCCTCAGGATTTTTGCATTGGGCTACTCCAAACTCACTGTCAAATCACATGTCTGTGGCCACAGCATGAACCACAAAAATCATACATCCACTGTTTCGTTCGGAATATTTTTTTTCTTGTTTTCTTCTAAAAACTAGGTGTGTCTTATGGAGCGGAAAATACAGTAATTACTGCCTTCAGACAGATGGGTGGGGTACAAATAAAAAAATTACCATCATCATCACTCGATAGCACTCTCCTCTGTGAATTTGTCTTTTTTAAAATCAGTGGCTGTTGGTGCTTCCTGTGGCAGTGAGTTCCACAGTTTAACTGTGAGATACTTTTCTTTGGTCCAACGTTCGGCATCATTGGACGTCTGGTGTTATGGGAGCGCGAGAAGCACGTTGTCAGTGTTCCCCATGGCTTGCATTTCTTTTTGCGTGCCACGCATTAGTTTTCCCTCCTCAAAATAAAATAAATGTGACAAGCAGCCCATAAGATGGACCGCGCATAATTTTATAAAGTTCTGCCTTGTTGCCTCTTTCTCGCATTTCCATCTAAACCAAAAAAAATCCCCAAATGTTGAAACCTCTCCTTACGGGGGAGATGGTCCGACTTTGGTGGGTGTTTTCTGAAACTCTTCCCAACTCTATGATATCCTTTTGGGAGGGTGGGGACCACATGGGCAAAGCAGCGTTGTTAGCAGAAATATGAATTACTTAGTCCTTTTACAATTTCTCTCTCTGTTAGAAGCTGCCTTAAAGGTAAAGGGACCCCTGACCATTAGGTCCAGTCGTGACCGACTCTGGGGTTGCGGCGCTCATCCCACTTTACTAGCCAAGGGAGCCGGTGTACAGCTTCCGGGTCATGTGGCCAGCATGACTAAGCCGCTTCTGGCAAACCAGAGCAGCGCATGGAAACGCCGTTTACCTTCCCACCGGAGCTGTACCTATTTATCTACTTGCACTTTGACGTGCTTTCGAACTGCTAGGTTAGCAGGAGCAGGGACCAAGCAATGGGAGCTCACCCCGTCGCGGGAATTCGAACCGCCGACCTTCTGATCGGCAAGTCCTAGGCTCTGTGGTTTAACCCACAGCGCCACCCGTGTCCCTTCTAGGAAGCTGCCTCACGCCAGGTCAAATTATCCGGCCGTCTAGCCCAGCAGTGGTGAGTGTCTGCAAATATTTTGGATCTCAGACAGAAAAAAGTCTTTCCCCTCCTCCTGCTCCCTGGTCTTTTTAAACGGAGTTTGAACCCAAGACCTTGTGAGGCAGGTGTTCTGCCACCAAGCTACAAATCCTGCAGTATTTGAATATCCCGATATCCACCCTCCCACTGTCTTCCCCCCACCCTAAAATCCCACTCTGTAAAGACTGCATTTCCCACTTGGTTCCTGACATCGTTTGTTCAGATGTGAAACTCGGCCAGATGAGAGGGGAATGAATGAATGAATGAATGAATGAATGAATACATAAATATGACAATTCCTGATCCAACACAATTAACCTTCCTCTCCTGTCCGGCCACTGCCGGGATGAAATTGTGTCTTCATTTTTTATTTTTTTTAAATCATTTTTATTGATTTTCCAATAAAAACAGCCAATCGAGATATCCGAATCATAATCCAATTAAAAATAATAAACTAAAATAAAAACAACAACCAAATTATAGTCCAAATTGCAATTATCAATTTTTATGGGCTCCCCATAGTCTGGACCTCTGAAGCATATCTCCAAATCTTCCTTCCTGCCTCTTCTCGTTGCTTTCATATTTTCCGCCTTCTGATTTTAACGCTTTAAAGTTCTCCGTTCCTGGCTATGCGATTCTCAGTCATGTCAAAAATCATATATCCTTTCATCCATCGAATACAGCTTTATTTGTAAATATATATTTTTTCGTGTCTTCATTTTTTCATATCGGGTTCTATTAAGGGTTTTCAGCATAAAACACAATGGAAGCCAAATTAATGAAAAGAACTAGGAAAGAAGCAAGAATAAGGAAAAGAAGGAAATAACAAAGTAGAAAAAGAAGCGAAGACGAAAAAGAAGTGTGTGTGTGTGTGTGTGTGTGTGTAAATCCACAAGATCCTCTATCCTAATTTTATCTTAACCCCCGAGGGATGACAACCAAGATGATCAAAGGTCTGGAATCTAAACCTTATGAGGAACGGTTGAAGGTTCTGGGTAGGTTTAGCCTTGAAAAGAGGAGACCAAGAAGAGGCAAGGTAGCCAATTTCAGATTTCGAAAAATAAATGTCAAAAACCAGGCGGAGGGCCTTCTCGGTAGTGGCGCCCTCCCTGTGGAACGCCTTTCCTTCAGATGTCAAGGAGATTTTTTTTTTTTACTTAATTCTTTATAACATTTCTGCTAAAGCCATATAATCTTGTGTCTTCCAATACTTTGCGATAAGTATTCTTGCTGCTGTTGTAGCATACATAAAGAAAGTTCTATCCTTCTTTGTCACCAATTGGCCGACTATGCCCAGGAGGTTAGCCCAAGGCAACAGCTCTCCAGGACCTCAGAGCCTACCTCCCAGCCCCACCTGCGAGGCAACAGGATTTGAACCTAGGACCTTCCACATGCAAAATGTGTTCTCCCACTAAGCTACTGCCTCTTCCTCTAAAAATAAAGCAAGATTCTAGTCCTCATTTTTTTTGTTTAGTCGTTTAGTCGTGTCCGACCCTTCATGACCCCATGGACCAGAGCATGCCAGGCACTCCTGTCTTCCACCACCTCCCGCAGTTTGGTCAAACTCATGCTGGTAGTTTCGAGAACACTGTCCAACCATCTCGTTCTCTGTCGTCCCCTTCTCCTTGTGCCCTCCATCTTTCCCAACATCAGGGTCTTTTCCAGGGAGTCTTCTCTTCTCATGAGGTGGCCAAAGTCTTGGAGTCTCAGCTTCAGGATTTCCTTCCAGTGAACACTCAGCGCTGATTTCCATCAGAATGGATCGGCTTGATCTTCTTGCAGTCCATGGGACTCTCAAGAGTCTCCTCCAGCACCATAATTCAAAAGCATCAATTCTTCGGCGATCAGCCTTCTTGATGGTCCAGCTCTCACTTCCATACATCACTACTGGGAAAACCATGGCTTTTACTATACGGACCTTTGTTGGGTGATGTCTGTGATGTCTAGGTTTGTCATTGTCTAGTCCTCATAGTTCTGAGCAAACAGCTGGTTTAAAAATGAATGTAGGAAGCTGTCTCAGGACATCGGTCCATCCAGTAACTAGCAGAGGCTCCTCAGGGTTTCGTTAAGAGACTGTTTTGTGAAGGATGCTGGGAATTGTAGTCTTGCGCTGGGACAAACTACAATTCCCAGGATTTCTTTGGGGAAAGCCATGTGCTTTGAATGTGGTTTGTATGCAAGCCCGGGAAACGGGAACAAGCAGAATGCACCAAGCTCTGGCGTTGCAGTGAAAGTGAACCATGGTGGACATGTCCAGAGATTTTAAAAATTTGGGATATGATTCATGAAGAGATTTAAAAAATGGATAAAAGTATCGTATACCAAAAGGGCAGAAGCATTTCTATTAGGAATTTTGAATAAGGACATTCCCAATGACAAAATGAACATATTTCTGTCCGCAACAACGGCAGCGAGAATGTTAGTAGCCAGTAACTGGAAAGGAAATTATATCCCAACAAAGGGGGAACGTATAAGTAAACTTTGTGAGTACCTGGAGTTAGCAAAATTGACGGATTTAATACGGCATAAATCAAAAATTATCATTCAGAAACAATGGAAATGTTTAAAGGATTATTTATACAAGCAGGGCTCAAATATGAAAGTTTGGTTGTGTCTAGACTAACCTTGTGAAGAATACAGAGAATATAAAGATTTGATCGATTATGAAAGAATTTAAGGAAGGGAAATGACTGAAGAACAGATGTAAATGCGAGCAAGATAACTAAGAGGCGTGTGATGAATGTGGTGGAAGTCTTTTAAAATATTTTAACTAAGATTATATACTGTAGTGTTTGAAGCAAGAATTTGGTAATATTTTCTTTTTTCTTCTTTTCCTTTTATCTGTTTTCTTATAACTTTTCTTCTTTTTTTCTTATTAGTTTTCATTTTGGGAAATATGTATATAAGGGTGTTTACAGTGCTATGTATCGTTTTTTGTTCTTTTTGTTGTCTTTTTACTGAAATAAAAAAATCAATCAATAAATATATAAAAAAGAAAGCGAACCATTTTACAGAATCAACAGCACACTGCAAGGCTCATGCATTGTTTTTTTGACTCAGTGCAAATAGTTTGGAGGTGAAGAGGCGGTGGAAGAATCTGACCCCCTCCCTGGGTTGTGTAGGTTTCCACATAACCCCAAATCACCGTTTGTACGCTTCCTCTCCCATGTGCATCCTCTGGTGCTCAGTCAGGGCGGATCCTCGCTGGAAGCTCTCCCCACACATGGAGCGTTCATGAGGATGTTCTTCGGCATTCAGCCTCCCCAGACCCAAACTGTGCTGGCCGTTCCTCCCATGATTTGAGGAGAAGGGCTTTTCTGCTCCAAAGTGCACTGGGCTTTCACTAAAGGGAACTGGACTTCTGGGTGATGGCTGCGTTCATTTGCTCCCTGGTGTCCTTTGGACTCACGCTTTTGCTCTGCAATCTCAGCTAACAAAGGAATGTTCCTTAGGGATATTCCCTCTGGCACAGCTTCCCCTTGGTGGGAATTCTCCATCTTGATCTCTCTCCTTTTACCTGCAGGTGAAACCAAAAACATTTTTTAAACATTATGTGTGTGGGAAACCCCTAAGCAGGACCTGGGAACAAGCGCCCCTCCTGGAGGCTCCAGCAACTGCTATTCAGGAGGATTACTGCTTCCAACCATGGAGGCAGAGCATATAACCATCCAAAGTCTTCAGGTAAAGGTAAAGGGACCATTAGGTCCAGCCATGGCTGACTCTGGGGTTGCGGCGCTCATCTTGCTTTATTGGCCGAGGGAGCTGACGTGCAGCTTCCGGGTCATGTGGCCAGCATGACGAAGCTGCTTCTGGCGAACCAGAGCAGCGCATGGAAATGCCGTTTACCTTCCCGCCGGAGCGGTACCTATTTATCTACTTGCACTTTAGCGTGCTTTTGAACTGCTAGGTTGGCAGGAGCAGGGACTGAGCAACGGGAGCTCACCCCATCGCGGGGATTCAAACTGCCAGCCTTCTGATCGGCAAGCCCTAGACCCTGTGGTTTAACCCACAGCGCCACCCGTATCTAATCCCCTGTTAAAGCCCTCCAGGTTTTTCAGCCATTGGAAGGCACCACACTTTATTAGGAATATAGGAAGATTTTACACTGTGTAGTAATATTGATTAATAATAATAGCCAAGTCGTACCAGGTATTCATATCTAGGGAAGGAACGCCATAACTGGGCTGCCACCATTCAGATGGTGCCTTCTGCCAGGTCCATCGAGGTCAGTCTTGCCTCCACTGACTGGCAGTGGCTCTGCAAGGTCTTCCCAACCATACCTGCAGATGTCCTGGCCAGGGATGATGGGAGCTGTAGTCTTCAGCAAACAGAGGGCACCAGGTTGGCAAGGCTGAAAGCGTCTGTTTCAATCTGAAGTTCTTTGCCAGCGTGTTAAAAAGGGATAAAGTTAGAACTAGCAACCAGATTTTTAGGAGTTCTCTTCACGGAATCAAGTCCCGCCTGCTAAATCAGAACTCCTGTCCATTTAGGGCAGAGGCATATTTTCTCCCAATTCAAAAATGACAAGGAAGCCTATGAATGAAAAATGTTGCAGTATGAGATATAAGGATTTGCTAGAAAATAAAACCCCAAGGTGGCTGTCACCAATGGAAGCGAAAGCCTTGAAAAAGGTCAATATGGAGGTCAAATGGCCGAAATATTGGGAAATTTTGGAACAAGACGGAGATAGGCTGAAATTGCAGAGTTTTGAAAAACTAAAAAACAAAGTGCGAGACTGGCTTCATTATTATCAAATAATGGAGGTATTTAAATTGGACAGGAAAATTGGCTTCCAGGTGGAAAGATCCAAATCAGAAACAGAATTGTTAGAACCCAAGACTAAGAATTTGTCAAGAATGTATAACTTGCTGCTGAAGTGGAATACTCAGGATGAAACGGTAAAATCGGCTATGATTAAATGGGCACAGGACGTTGGTCATAACATTATGTTTGCTGACTGGGAACAGTTATGGACCACAGGTATGAAATTTACGGCATGTAATGCCTTAAGAGAGAATATTATGAAAATGATATACAGGTGGTACATAACCCCAGTTAAGCTTGCGAAAATTTATCACTTGCCCGATAACAAATGTTGGAAATGTAAAGAAATTGAAGGTACTTTTTTTCACCTTTGGTGGACATGCCCAAAGATTAAGGCGTTCTGGGAAATGATATATAATGAATTAAAAATGGTATTTAAGTATACCTTCCCCAAGAAACCAGAGGCCTTTCTCCTGGGCATAGTAGGCCAAATAGTGTTAAAAAAGGATAGAACTTTCTTTATGTATGCAACAACAGCAGCAAGAATACTCATCGCAAAGTATTGGAAGACACAAGAACTTCCCACGCTGGAGGAATGGCAGATGAAACTTATGGACTATATGGAATTGGCGGAAATGACTGGTAGAATCCGTGACCAGGGAGAAGAGTCGATGGAGGAAGACTGGAAGAAATTCAAAGACTATCTTCAGAAACACTGCAAAATTAAGGAATGTTAGAGTGATGTTGGACTGAAAACAAGTGGTTTCCAGCTGTACAGGTTAAAGTTAAGGATAGATTAAGATTAAAGATCAAGATTAAAGATGTTTAAAGAAATGGAAATTTGATAATAAAAGGGAAAAATTTAAAGCTATATGATATTAAGATCAAGGATTAGGTTTAAAAAAGTTGAAGTTATATATTTTAACGTTTTATTAAATTAAAGATTGGGATTAAAAAAGTGGAAAAGAAACTGCTGGACAAATAATGTGGATTGGAATACAAAAGAGGGAGGTATGAGGAAGTCCAGAAAATAAGTAATTTAAAATTGGAAATGGAAAAGAGAGTTTGTTTTTAATTGTTATGTTTTGTGTTTTTATTGTTAAATTTTGTATTGTTTTTTGTGTGTGTTGTTTTTCTTTTTTGTTTGTTTAAAACCTTAATAAAAAATTATTAAAAAAAAGAAAAGAAAAATGTTGCAGTATGAATACCACAACTTACCAGGTACGTGTGTGTTTGTGTGTAAGCAAAAGCATGGGAAGCAATCCAAAAGCATTGTCTGCTACTTGAGAAAACATTCAGCAATTGCAAAGACCTGGAGACGGTTTTTTTTTTTAAAAAAAATAAAGATCACGTGATCACTGAGTCATTTCCAGGAAGGGAAACTCCCAGTGACTGAAAACTGAAAAAGCGAAACTTAACTCGGGTCTTCAGCGCGAGGGAGGCATGGCTGCTGCAGGGGGTCACATCCAGAATCTCCTTGATGAAGCCACTTGCTCCATCTGCCTGGATTACTTCAAGGATCCAGTGACCATCCCAGAGTGTGGGCACAACTTCTGCCGATCCTGCTTGGTCCTGTTCTGGGGGGAATCGGAGGCAGAGGCTTCCTGCCCTCAGTGCAGAGAAAGAGTCCAGAGAAGGAGCCTCATCCGCAATCGGCAGCTGGCTAACGTGGTAGAAATAGCCAAGAATCTCAGCCTTCAAGAGGGAAAGGAGGAAGGAGGGAAAGGAGGAGTCTGTGAGAAGCACCAGGAGCCCCTGAAGCTCTTCTGCAAGGAGGATGAAGCCCCCATCTGCGTGGTGTGTGACAGATCAAAGGGGCACAAAGAGCACGAGGTGATTCCTCTGGAGGAGGCTTTCCAGGAATACAAGGTAGGAGATCCCTGGATCTGGAGGGGGAGAAATAAATAGCTGTGGATTCTTCTTGGGAGGTTTTCTTTTTAGTTCTGAAGTCCAAAGTAGACATGGCATTGATTGGTCATTGTTTATCACCTTGGAAGCAGCCCAGGGGAAGCCTGAGGGCTCCTGGGATGGCTGGAGTGGGGAGCTGAAGTCTTTCTCTCTGCCAGGGGGACAAAGGGATCTTGAAATACTCACAGCAGCTTCAAAGATTTGAACTGGGACCTTGGCAGGGAGAGAAAGGGTTAACCTCATCCACATCCCCCAGAAAGATTGCGATGTACATATTTAGAACAGTAGAAATGTAAATGGCACATACACAACTAAGTACATGTCTCCTTTGGTTACCAGGATTCCTGCTCAATGCCCTGCAAAACAGAGAGCAGCAAGGGATCAGCGTGGGGTGGGGGGGACCGGGACTGTTAGCCAGGAATTGACCAGATGGTGCAGGATCCCACCCCCCAAGTATCTGTTGGAAGCAGATTTGGGAGTGGGGAGTGGAAGGATCTACTGGTGGCTTATTCTGGGGGTGCCGTGGAGCCTGTGCAATGAGGTTTGGGGGGGGGGCTGAGGATCTTCTCCCACCCCAAATGGCAAAGGACTCCATGGTTCAGAGTAGCATCTGCAAGGACAAGGCGGAAATATGACTTTTTCATGGCAACTCGAATTGGACCTGTGCAATTAGATACTATAAATAATGCCTTTTAATCCCTTTTTAAAAATCACTTGTTCTACTACAGTGGTGCAAAAATGCTCCTGTGGCATGCAATGCCAATAATGCCACAAAACAGTAATAATAGAAGCTGGTCCCTTTGAATTGGCGGGAGGACCAGACAGCAATCTTCTGACCGAAGGAGCTACTTGGGTGGATTCTGGCCGTAGCAAGAACTTCTTTGGCCCAGAAATGGAAAAAGCTGCAGCACTTACCGTATTTTTCGCTCCATAGGACACAGTTTTTCCGTCTTAAAAACTAAGGGGAGAAGTCTGTGCATCCTATGGAGCGAATGCAGGGGGGGAGGCAAGCAGGAAAAGGCCCCAAGAGCTACACACAAGCTTCGCGAGGCTCTTGCGGGCTTTTCCCCAGGAGGGAGAAGGGACTGACGCGGCCAGTCAGCCCCTTCTCCCTCCTCTGGAAAAGCCTTGCGCAACCTCTCCAGCTGGGGGGGGGGGGGAGGCTGTGCAAGGCTAAAGAAGCCAACTTTTTAAAAATCTCTCTATCTCTACCTCTTTTTCTTTTTTCATCCTTTCGCCACCCCCTTCTCTGGGCAGGAATTCCCTCGGCTTAAGTGGGGTGGGGGAAGAGTGGCAGGTAAGGGGGTACCTACCTAGACACTGAAGCCACATGTCTCTCTGATGAAAGTTGGGGGTGGGCATTGTGTGAAGTGGCTGTGGATCTCCTGCCACAGAATTGTAGGACTGTATAGAGTTGGGAGGGCCACCCGAGGGTCATCTAGCCCAGCCCCCTCACAATGTAGGAATCACAGCTAAAGAACGCCAGGCAGATGGTCCCCCAACTGCTGCTTAAAAGCCTCCAGTGGTGGAGACCCCCAACACCTTCTGAGGTCATAGAATTGCAGGGTTGGAAGGGAACCCCAGGAGTCATCTAGTCCAGTCCCGGTGGACAGCAGGCGCGATCCATCCCGTTGTGCAAGGCTAAAGAGGAAGCCAAGGCAGCAAGCGGGATGGATCGCGCTCGCTGCCTTGTCGTCTTCTTTAGCTGCGCTGGAGAGGTTTAGCTCCTGGCTGGAGAGGTTGCGCGGCTATGGATCCCACTCGCTGTCTTGGCTTCTTTGCTCTTTGGGGCTGGGGGGGGGGATAATATTTTTTTCCTTGATTTCCCCCTCTAAAAACAAGGTGCATCCTGTGGTCCGGTGCGTCCAATAGAGTGAAAAATACAGTAAATCTCCCCTGGTGGCCCAAGCACACGTGGGCTCTGGCTACTGCAGAGAAAATAACTGCCAAATAGCAGAAAACCACAATTGCCATCTGACCCAATTCAGCGGCAAAGCAGAGGGGTCAAGAGGAAGTGTGGAAAAGCCCTAGGCTTGCAGAAGAGGGGTTTGGAATGGGTGAAGTTTTGAGAAGGGCTGCTCTATCCCTGCATCTCTCTATCCCTGCATCTCAAGGGGGGACCTAACTGGGATCCTGAGGCCACAGGGGTGCTGAAGATAGAAGGTAGCTGATCCATGGAGCCGTGGGCCCAAAAACACTGAAAACCTCTGTACTTTTATTTCCTCCAGGAAACTACTTTGCTATTCTAGCAAGGCCACTGGGCGCAAGAAGCCATTGTGATTTTCATTTCTCTGTGTGTCTCAATCAAAGCTGAATTTTCCCTTTTCTCTTTAGAGAGAGATCTGTCGCCGCCTGGAGATTTTGAGGAAAGAGAGAAGGGAAATTCTGGCCCATCAAGCAGATCTGGACAAGGAAAGCAAAGACCTCCTTGTAAGTGTCTCTGTTGTTACTAGACAGGGAACAAGCACTTGAGGCCTCCAGGTATAGGGCAGTATATAAATTCAGTAAAGAAGAAGAAGAAGAAGAAGAAGAAGAAGAAGAAGAAGAAGAAGAAGAAGAAGAAGAAGAAGAATTGAGTCAGGACTGAGAAGTGATGGGGAAATCTGCCCATTTCAGCTTCTCCTCATTTCTCATTTTTCATATCAGTCTGTTTATTAATTTATTGTTCTAAAATGAATCAGATGTTAGGGTAGCTACCTCCTTGTATAAATATTCTGATCTGTACTTTACCCTCATAAATACATTTTTTGTGAATATTACCTGGCTGGGTCAAGCTTGAAAATATCAGAATTTTAAAACTCTGTTTTGGTCTCCATATTTTTTCAGCCAGAGCAAATTAGGCAAGTTCACCTTTGAATGCCGCTAAATTGAGTTTATTTCCCCTTATCGTCTATTATGTGAATAGCAGTCAAGGAGAAGCCTGAGGACTTGTGAGCTGAAAGGGTGGAAGCAATTCAAACCAAATCCTGATTTACCATAAATATTACTAAAGAATTGTCTTTCTAAATGTGGGCTCTTGTTCATTTTAAGTAAACTCAGGCCATTTTGAACCTTTAAAGAAAACAGGGGAGCTATGGGGATGAACTCTGCACTTTGTTCTCCTGTGTTTCTGTTCCTTCCTACACCCCAGTCTAAATTGAGGGGTGTTTTATGTCCCTGGATGTTCTCTGAACAACTGTGAACTCTGGTTATGCCATGCCCCAAAACATGCAGGGAACATCCGTGGCTAGGAAAAAAGAGCTCCTTCCTTTAGGCTGTATCCGTCTGCAAACTAGAAGTCAACAGAAACAGCAATGGAGAGGCCGCCCCTCAAAATAAAGGTTTACTTCTTTAGCCACTGGAGGTTTCATGTCTATAGAAAAATCAGAAGTGTCCTCCCTGTGGAATTCTCATAATTTTGTTTCTGCTGTTTCGAGGCTAAGCACCAAACACACTCAGACCTCCTCTTTTCTTGCAGAAATTAACAGAAACGGAGAGGCTGAAGATTGTGGAGAAGTTCAGAGAACTGCGCCAGTTCCTGGAAGAACAAGAAAAAGGTCTGCTGAATCACATGGAAGAGGTGGAGAAGGAGATTGCAGGGAGAAGGGATGAGCAGCTGGCCAGACTCTCCAGGAAACTCTCCTCTCTTGAGAGGATCATCCAGGAGATGGAGGAGAAGAGTCAGCAGCCAGCGAGTGAACTCCTGCAGGTAAGACGGTGGCAGGAACAGCCCAAGGCTCCAGGAAAAGGCTGCCTCCCATCCTTCATGTGTCTCTTTCATGTATGCAAGAAGTGCAGGGGTTCAGATGATGGAGCCTCTAGTCAGGTTTGTAATGGACAGGAAGACCCAAGAGACCTGGGATGCTTAACTCACCTGAATGCAGACTAGAGATTCTTCTGTGTTCTCGATGGAACAGGAGGTGGTTTTCTGCTCTTTGCTGATGATTTGTCTCCAAATGCCTTCCTTCTTGGCAATGCTGCCTTCCTGCCCTGGGCTGGGCTTCAGCGAGGATTCAGGCCTCCTTCCAACATGAGGCAGTCTCTTGACCAAGCTTCTTTTCCACTTCCCTCCACAACTTCTTGGTTGATCCCCATCCCCATGGATCCAGATCAGCCCAAAATGGTGCTCAGTCACAGTGACGAAAGAACAAGACAGAGGGACTCATCCTGTCCCACCCCTTTCCTCAAGGAAAACCTGCTCTCTATGGCTGAATGAGAGCAAACATCAGCCAGGTTTTATCCAGATTGACGTTTGCTTAGATGTTGAACTAAGGAGCAGGTTTTCCCTGAGGGAAAGCGGATGGGCAAAGGCAAAACCACTTGGACCCGTGTTTTCTGGGCACAGGAAAAGCAGAAGTGTGGATGAGCCCAAAGAAACACGGAGCTGTTTTATTACCCCTTTGGAGGCATTTTATGCTGCAGGTGCTTTTCTTATTTCCAGTTGGAAAGTAGAATTTGAAATTTGGGGACTTCTGTGGAAGACAATTTGGAACAGTTCCCTGGTAGGATTATCCTGTAGGCTTACTTAAGTCTGAATTGCACAGTGCAAACTGGATTAAAGTTAATAAATTATAATCTAAGACATGAGATGGGTTGGAATCTTCTATTGAATCCATAAACATGAGATTCCCTTAAATGCTGGTGGATTTTCATAAGGACTTTCAACAATAATTTCAAACTGATGTGGAAATGTGGAGAACTTGATATTGGAAAAATTCACAATTTCAGATTGGAAAAATAAAAGTTGTGAGAAACCAAAACTGGCTCATTCAGCCATTCCTACCCAAAACCTTGCCATGTGCCAGGCAGACTGACATCCGAGGGGCAGGGTCTGAGGGGGTCTCCCTAGTGTGGCCTGTGGTGTGCAGTGAATTCCCTTCTCTTTTCCCCTCTAGGATGTGAGAAGGACCTTGCAGAGGTAAGTGGATCTGGCTCATTTCCATTAGCCTCACTCAATGAGGCCGGGATGCCAGAACCTCAGACATGGCCCTCCAGGGGCTGCAGGGGGGAGACTGGAGGACTCACTCCCTGAGGCATCTCACAGGTAAAACAGGACCCCCTCTTTGGAACTTGACAATGGGTAGATCACAGTTGGTCTTTTTATACTGTGAGTAGATCTCAGTCTCTTGGGAGTTGGACGTGTCTGCCTTAGTTGTTTCCTTCTAGACTGACTAGTTCAGTCATTCTGCAGCAAACACTCTGCCTGCCACCCCACCCTGTCCCAAGCAAACTACTGCCCCATAGAGCCCCTTGAGAGGGGGCGATTATTGACCAAGGAGCAGGAATTGGCTATTTTCTTGACCATATTCCAGCTGCAGTATTTATATTTAAGGTATCACTCAGGTGCAGAGTAGAGGTTTTAAGGAACATTTCTTGTTTCCCAACAAAAGTGCATCTCTTTTTCTTCCTCACCCCTTCTCTGGGGACATCTAGAGAAAGGAAATGTGTGCTGTGCTGTCACCACCCTCAGACAATTCCTGCCCCTTGATACCATATGATTCTGCTGCTTCTTTGAATAGACATCAGTGGGGAGACCCAGAGGCCTGGGGTTGCTGTTTTGGCCCTTGGGGGTCTGGCTGAGGAGTCCGTAGTGAGGAAGAAACTCCCCACTCAGCGCCTGCCTGTCCCTCTAGGCTTCTTCCAGCTGACTTCCTCTCAATTCCTTTCTTTTCCTTTAATAGAAATTGTGGATTTGAATGCACTGACATTGTTTTTCTTTTCACCAGGTATGAGAAAAGAGAGAGTCCAGAGAAGCCACTGCCTTTCCCTCCAGAGCTGAGGAACAGGATCTTGGAATCCTGTGATCTAAATCACCTTGTGGAAGATGCAATGAAACAATGGAAAGGTAATGAAAATTGGCTGCCAGGATTTCACACTGGGAATTCTAATATTTCTTCAGAACTGAACATGCCAGGCTCTTATTGCATGGAATTTAATAACCCCAGGATACCTTCCTTCTTGGTGCTCCAGCCTTCATTTCCTGTCCCCCAGAATGGCCCATGTATATTGTGACACTGGATCCTGTAAAGGAAGCCTGAACCAGAATGTATCTGTTTTCAATTATACGGAACCTCCTTTTCCTTTTGGTTACCCGTCTACACAATCTGGGGTTGTCCTGCTCTGAATGGAGTCAATTCAAGGATGCCACATTATGAAGTGTTACTTTTGTATGGAGATTTATCTAAGGTGGAAGAGTGTTGCCCTAACACTTTATATCTTTCTGCTTCCTCAGATGCTGTGTTATACAAAAAACAGACTCAGAAAGGTAAATTTCCAGGGGAGGAACAATTTGACAGGAGGGATGGGGACTGATATTTCATGGTGTTAAACCGTCTTTTCTGCAGACTTTGGGACCCCCATCAATGGCGTCACTCTGGGAAACAGTCCTCTAGGGGGTTTGGGTTCTTTCTGTGTCCCATGAATGAACTGGGAGGGAGGTTGAAGGCTTGGATTGGGGGCAGAGATTGTCTGTGCGAAGAACCCACACCCCAGTCTGAGTTTTACTCCTGCCTATAGACTAGTATCCTGGTTTCACCCTCGATTTTATAGATTTTGCTTTCTTTCATAAAATCTATATACTGCTTGTTTGTAGGGGAAACCCTCAGAGCCTTACAATATCCTACAAAAGCCCTTAAGGAAGATCCTGCAGGGTCAGTCCAATGTCCATCTTGTCGGTTTCTCATGTATAAGGAATCTCCCTTGCGTTTTGTTTTCCCTCCACACAATCTGCAGAGGTTCTTCTGGGGCTTTTGAGATCAGCCCCATTCCAGGAGGGAGGACTTCCCATTGCATGAGACCCTTTGAATTACAGGGTAAAGCTCTGCCGATTCTTCCTTTGGTTTGTCAGCATGCTTGGAAATTCCGCTTTCAAGAGCTTTTTCCCACCAGTTCACTTGGCGCTGATGTTAACTTTCCTCCAGCCATTCAGTACAGATTCCCATTTTATTCGTGGCTTTTGAATGATTGTATTCTGCCATTTTCTAGCATGGTTTACCATTTCTGATTTCCCCATGGAATCATGGAATAGTAGAGTTTGAAAGGATCCTAAGGGTCATCTAGTCCATGGGTAGGCAAACTAAGGCCTGGGGGCTGGATCTGGCCCAATCTTCTATATCTGGTCCGCGGACTGTCTGGGAATCAGCGTGTTTTTACATGAGTAGAATGTGTCCTTTTATTTAAAATGCATCTCTGGGTTATTTGTGGGGCATAGGATTTTGTTCATTCCCCCCCCAAAAAATATAGTCCAGCCCGCCACAAGGTCTGAGGACAGTGGACTGGCCCCCTCCTGAAAAAGTTTGCTGACCCCTGATCTAGCCCAACCCCCTGCAATGCAGGAATCACAGCTAAACAGGTTAATTGTTTTAATTCCTTAGGCCTACAGTTGTTGTCTTTCAATTACTTGTTTTATGATGTCATCTTTTGCTTGAAACAAGGAAACAACAGATGCTATGTTATGTTGATGTTTTGTAAAAAGATTTTCTTTGAACTATTGCAGTGTAGACCATTAAGCCTCTCTTTTTGCTTCCTCAGATGTCCAGTCACTCAGAAGTCTCCAGAGAGGTAAATTTCACATGGAGACCCCAGTTCACAGGAGGGGGGGGACTAGTGTTTCATGGGGGGTCAAGAGTCTCTTCTGTACAGTTGAGAACCATCCACCCCTTGACTCTAGCCCTGCTGTTTCTGCCACAAAGGCAGAGAAGGTGGACTTGAAGGGGGAGAGAGAAAATTCCCAGAAGGATCAGGCGGAGGAGGGAAGAGTTTTTTTCCTGCCTAGAGAGAGTTGGGTTGCTTTCCCATGTGACCTTTTTCAGGCCTGGTTGCCATGTGTCCTCCTTTTGCCAGCCATGTCTTCTATTTTCATGATCAAAATTTCTTAAAATTTGTATCGGGGCAGATTTTTAAAATTTGGCAGAATGTCCCCAAGTTTTTTTGTCCAGTTTTTTGGTTTACAAGAACCCATGAAATTTTTAATATTGCATTAGAGCAGGCATAGGCAACCTCGGCCCTCCAAATGTTTCAGTACTACAATTCCCATCATCCCTGACCACTGGTCCTGTTAGCTAGGAGTTGTAGTCCGAAAACATCTGGAAGGCCAAAGTTGCCTATGCCTGCATTAGAGTCAGATCTAAGGCACCCGGTTAGGCTAATCTGCAGCAGAGAATCACAACAAAGCTGCATCTTAAGCTAGCGACATACTGTAAAAATCCCTTCTCTTGTGGCTGAACCAAAAGGACGCTGGCTCAGCTACAAGATCTTGGAGGAGGAGTCCGGGAGGGCAAGAGTTAAGATCCCCCTGCCCTTAAGGAGAGTCCACATGCAGATGTTCAACAGTTTAATAAATTGTTATGTGCGCACTTACGTTCAGAAAGATGTGAACATGTGCCCAAATATTTCATGTGGCAAATGAGGGAGTTATATGTATTCTTACTATTCTTTTGTTGTTGAAAGTTAAGAACACTGCTACTAGCAATATATCACAGCTTCTATAGCCTACATATAGTAGGGGTATTTCAGAGGAGAGTCGTCATAGCGAACCATGGTTAAAAGTCAAAGTTGGCAAATGTGTCCTCTTTCTTGCTCTTCAAAATAGGGCAGCCCTACACTTGCCTAGCATGACTGTCTCAGCCCCAAACTGGTAACCTTTTGAGTTATTCCCCGCTTCTCTCAGGGAACTAGTCTTAAGGTATATATGAAATCCCAAAGAGAAGCATGGAATAAGCAGTCCTTTGTAAAATTGCCCTGCCACCTGCCTCCTCTTCCCTGGCGGCAAGGCCTAAACTTCCAAGATGGTTGGGAGGAAGGAGAGACCAAGTGGGTGAGAGAGATGGAGAGCAGGAATAAACAGGCTCCCCATTTAACACAATTTTCACTTGTGGGCACGAGGGCCCAGAACATAACCCATGCGAAAGTGAGGGGAGGCCTCTATGTGGTTTTGTGTTGTATTTTAATGCTGTGGACCACCCTGAGACCTATATATGATGGGCAGTATGCAAAGTTGATATTATTATTATTATTATTATTATTATTATTATTATTATTATTAGAACAGGGGGTCCTCCTCCCCCAGCCCAACCCAGAGGTCCCCAAAGGCCAATTCCCACAGAGATTGTCAGAGGAAAGCAGCTTCTCTCCTCTCCTGCCTCCTCCAATTCTCCTCTCTTTCCCCTTAGATAACACAGAAGAGCTGAGTAAAAGGTTTCCTGGGTGGTTTTTCCCCTTAGAAAATGCCTTGGTTGGAAGGAGGGCAGGCACAATGTGCATTGAATATAAGAAAGTGAAGGAAACTGATTTAAAAATCAACCAGAAGATATTTATTCTGATGGGAGTCTGCAAGGAGGAGTCTCAGTCATGCATGTGATGCAAATAAATCCCCTTGATCTGAAAGGGAATCTGGGTTTTTTGGGTGTTTTTTTTTAATCAGGATGTCCATCTCTGTCTCTCTGCTGACTCTGCCTAATCTTCTCTCTCCCTCATCTTCTTCCCAACAGCAAATGTCACTCTGGATCCAGACACAGCCCATCCCCAACTCATCCTGTCCAAGGATCGGAAAAGCCTGAGACTGGGAGACAAACCTCAAGCCCTGCCTGATAATCCTGAGAGATTCAGCGACTATTTTTGTGTGTTGGGACGTGAGGGATTCACAGCAGGCAGACATTTCTGGGAAGTCACTGTGGGAAGTGGGGGATGCTGGGATGTGGGGGTCGCCAGGAAGTCTGTGGAGAGAAAGGGCATCTTCTCCTTAAGGCCTGAGAGAGGGATCTGGGCTGTGGGGAAGTGGGGAGGGGGGTACTTTGCCTGGACATCCCCTGTTTCCTCTTTTCTGTCCCTGAGTGAGGAGCCCAGGAGGATCCGGGTGACGCTGGACTATGAAGGGGGACGTGTGTCTTTTTCTGACGCCGACTCAGGAGCCGAACTCTACACGTTCTCAGGAGCCTCGTTCTCGGGAGAGACCCTCCTCCCTTACTTTCATCTGAGGGGATATGAAACCCACCTCAGTATCTCCTGAGGAGACTAAATCTGCCTCTCAGGCCCAGCAGGAGTTTCTCTCCAGACCAGAGTGACTCATATAAAAAACATTTACCCACCAGGAGAACCTTGGGCAGTTTTTCAAGGGCCTTTTGAGAAGATTCATTTTCCTTCCTTTCCCCAGAATTCCCTCTGCAGCTTACTTCTTCTTAAAGAGACAGTCACACTTTTAACAGTCCCAATAAATCATCTTTTCCTCACCTTCAGTCTTGTTTTCCTTTTGAGATGTCTGATTTGGCAGAGCACGAGACTCTTAATCCCACGGTTGTGGGGCCCACGTTCGGCAAAGGTTTCCTGCACTGCAGGGGGTGGGACTAGATGACCCTCAGGGACACTTGCAACCCTGCGATTCTACGAAACCTCCCTCTCCCCACAAGACCTTATGCAGCTGTGAAAATGCATGCATAATTGGCTTAATAAAGGACTAAAAAATGAACCCCTTCCCCCACATCAGGCAGGATAGCTCCTTACTCTGGAGACCTCAGATGGGAAGAAAATAAAAAAATTGAACAGCGCGTCAGCTTCAAATGCCCTCTGCAAATACAGCCTCCCCATCTCCACACGTTGTCAGAAATAAACCTCATTGCATTGAGTGGGGCTTCGGCCCAGTTATATGTGTTTAGGGTTGATGCATTAACGTTCCGTATTTACAGGCTGGATTCTGTCTATCAGGGGCATCAAATGGGGTGTCCTCTGGATAATGCTGGACTCCAACTCCCGTCTGACCCATCCAGCATGGCCAGGGGTCAGAGAGGATGGGAGCTGCAGTCCGGCAGCTTCCGGAGGGGGCCCCATGGGCTGGGCTGCCCTATACATTTCGCAGGACACCTTCCCCTTGTTCCTCAGCCCCACCCGAAATGCACAATGCTCCCCCAAGGAGCGACTTTTCAGCACCAGCTGCATCTGATTTCTCTCCCGGGATACTAAGAGCTAGAACAACAAATGCCTGTGGAATTGACCCCTCAAAGATCTGGCAGGACTTTCTCCGGCTCCACTATCATTTTTTTAAAAAAATGATATTTATTACTTTTCGAACGGTTTCAACACAACACTACGAACAAAAACAAAAAAACAAAAAAAAAAGAACAATACAAATACAATACAAAAACACTGCATACAAAAACAAACAAAAACAATTTAAAAACACCTCAAACATTTTCAATATCTTATCTTTCATTCGCTTCTTTCCGACGACCTCCTCTCACCTCCCTTTTTGTATTCCACTTCTATTAATTGTTTCAGCAATTCCTTTCCATCTTCCTCTGTTTTCTATCCTATAATTATCTTAACACATTCTTGCCTTATTTTTTCCTTTAATTTTCTGTTAATCTATTTATACTTAATTCCTTATAACATTTCTACTAAAGCCATATAACTTCATTCCAACATTCTTCTAACATTCAATAATTTTACAATATTTCTATAAATAGTCTTTAAACTTTTTCCAGTCTTCTTCCCCCGACTCTTCTCCCTGGTCTCGGATCTTGCCAGTCATTTCCGCCAATTCCATATAGTCCATCAACTTCATCTGCCATTATCCAACACTTCAGTGCTTTCAAGAAGCAACCATTCTCTCAGCCAGCAGAAAGCAGATGGTTCACAACAAAGTTTAAGGGTCTGGCAGGGCAAGTCCACCTCCTTTTTTGGCATCCGTCAATATCTTAAATTTTACTCGAGGCTTCCTGCCCTGCCAAACAAATCTAGAGACGTCCCTCTGCCACCTCCTGAAACAATCCATCCCATCCAAAGCTTGCAATGTTTGAAACAAAAGCAACATCCCCGACAACACAGCAACCCTCATCCCCACCACAGCAACTCGGCCCAACAATAACATCTTCAGATTTGTCCATATTTCCAAATCCCCCTTCTCTTCAATCCAACATCCTTCACAGTTATCCTTGAATAAATTCACATTTCTGGCGGTCATACTAACCCCCATATACCTCTCTTTCTCAACCGATGTTAGTCCTGTCTCCTCCTGAAACTCTGTCAAGCTATCCTTTTCCTCAGGTAGGGCTCTGATCCTCAAATTCATCTGTTTCTCTTTAAGTTCAATCATAACCAATGTCAGCTTATGTTCATCAAGTTGTCCTTGTTTGGATGGGACACTCTCTCTCTCCAGTTGTGTTGCTTTACATTCAGCAGCAAGGGTTTTCTCCTTGACTTCATCCGCAGTTTGCCGTGTCAAAGTAGATTCCTGTATCAATTTCTGGATGGTTTCTGTATTGGTATTCACCTTTTGTCCCAGCTTATTTAAACTTTCTGCCATTAAGTCTATTTTAGTATTTGCAGCATCCACTTTCACATTTATCACGTCTGTTTTCTTGTGAAGCTGTTCCAGCGAATCGTTTATTTTCACTAATACGACCGCTAAGGCCTCTTCTGTCGACATTCCGTCTGTTTTTTCCTTTCCATTTGCCATAACACTTAAGAGATTCAAGGTCAATCCCAGAGTCTCACAATTCTTTATCTTGCAGCTGGAAATTCCCTAGCCCAGCTCCTGTAGAGCAACCAATTTCAAAAGCTTCCACTAGGGGAAAACAGTTTCTATTTGTATTAGTCAGTACTGTCCTCTTTTAAACAATGTTCCAATAATCCCAAGTTAGTTTCAGTTTTCAGTTACTTTTAAAAAACAGCCGGAGACAGTAGAAACAATGTATTCTCTTGTTTAGCTACCTGTCAATGAACGTTCTAAACGCTGTCAATGAACATTCCAAAAGACATCGATCCTGCTAGCAGCCCGTTTCCAGGGACTGAGCGGCGGTATTTTAACTCTCTTGACTCTCTCCTACAGGCATATTCAGTCCACCACTCCCCCCCCCTCTTCTCCTGTCTCCAAAGGGGGGGTTTAGTTCTTTGCCGATGGAGATTTAGTCTTTTTTCAAAAGGCTTTCCAAGACTTCAGCTTGCAGGCTCATTGCTTTAGTTTATTTACAAAAGGGGAGGCAGACTTCCTGTATTGAACCTCCCCGTTTCGATGCCAAATTAAACGTTTAAAAATCCAATTCCCCCACTTCAGCTCTACTCACGGGTAATTACTTTAGAGTCAAATTGTCCACAGGAAAAGGTCAGTGCTCTCCGGCAACAGCTGTGCGGCTTCGCTCCATGGAAGAAGCAGACGATTCGAAGCACCGCGCCGCTCACCCCGCGTCGCTCCGGATCCCCGAAACCGGGTTTCCCCGCCAGTAGGGGAGACGCAAAAGGTGCCCGCCGAATCCACGTTCACAGGCTTCTCCCGCCTGTGATTTTTACGGGTCTCCGCCTTCGCCGTGGCGGTACAGACCCAAATTCCCACGGGGCAAATTCCTCCCGATCAGAGGAATTCAGCCATTACCGGAGGCACCTCCCCGGAAGTCTCCTTGGCTCCACTATCAGGGCTGCCGACTACTGACCTGTGCAGCCTGATGTCCTTTTCCTGCATTTCCCATGGGGTGGTGGCACATGTCAAAATAAAGACACCTCCCCCCCACCTGCCTGAGGGCCACCTCCCCTTGCTCCACCCCCTATATGATATTGGTGGTCTTTGTGTGTACTTTTCCCTTTGATTCCTTGCAAATGTCTGCTTCTTCGCACCCCCAAACCACCAGCCTTTAGGAGAAAATTGTATGTGCTTTCTACTTCAGTAGCAGCTAGAGTGTTGGACTGTGACCTGGGAGACCAGGGTTCAAATCTCTGTTCGGCTACGAAGCTCAAAAGGTTGACCTTGGGCCAGTCTCAGCCCATCCTACCTCACAGGGTTGTTGTTGCGAGGATTAAATGAGGAGCAAGGAGAACCATGTAAAATGGGGAGGACAAACTATGCAACCCCCCTTGAGCTCCTTGGAGGTGTAATAAACGAAAATCTGCCCTTATTCCCTTATGGGGTACACAAGAGCCCTTGTAGAGTCCTTTGTAGGTTCTCCATCGGTAGGAGAAAATAACAGAGGCCAAACAGAGAATATTAAGAAGCAAAGCAGCTTGTAAGCCTGATCTTTATTCAACTATTGCAAAAGGGTGCCCCCTCACAGACACGAGAAAGGAGGAGGAACCCCTAACAAAAGCGTGCCTGCCCTTATATAGAAATTTAAAATTGCACACCCTCAAGTCCCAAGACCACCCCCAGAAGCATCATACATACATCACAGAAAAGGCGGTCTACAACAGAAATCTGAGTGCCTTGTTTATTTCCTGTCTGGCAGGTTACCTGTTTAATGAGAGCCTGGAGCCTGGCCAGTCTTTTGTAATGATAAATACTTAGTTCCTGCGCCAGGTCACAGGCTCACACCCTATTCAAACACAAACATACCCTTAAGACAGGATTTGTGAGGAAAGAGACATTGGGGAGGTTTCCTGCGCCAGGTCACAGGCTCACACCCTATTCAAACACAAACATACCCTTAAGACAGGATTTGTGAGGAAAGAGACATTGGGGAGGTTTCCCACTTTGACCTTTCAGAGAAATATTTGAGGTAAATTTGTTCAGGACTTTTTTTCTGTGGGGTTTCAGGCACGTGGCTTATATACAGTGGTACCTTGGGTTAAGAACTTAATTCGTTCCGGAGGTCCGTTCTTAACCTGAAACTGTTCTTAACCTGAGGTACAACTTTAGCTAATGGGGCCTCCTGCTGCTGCCGTGCCGCCGAAGCACGATTTCTGTTCTCATCCTGAAGCAAAGTTCTTAACTCGAGGTAATATTTCTGGGTTAGCGGAGTCTGTAACCTGAAGCGTCTGTAACCTGAAGCGTATGTAACCCTAGGTACCACTGTATTTATGTACGTGTTTGCTTGGTACATTTATGAACATTTATTACATATCTAAGACCTTAAAATTTTTATAACAGAGGAAAGGTGAGGATGCAAATGTTAAGAAGAAGAAGAAGAAGAATGCCGTATTGGCCCAAATATAAGCCGCACCCACAAATAAGCCGCACCTTTAAAATTCAAGGGGGGGGGGAGAAAAAAGATAATACCCAAATATAAGCCACTCCCTTAAAATTGGGTTACAGGCTGAAAATTGCTGCCGCTGGTACAATTGTAACTCCAAGCCAATTTAAGCCTTTGATCTTGCAAGCCCACAAAAGTTACCGTACAATCGCTAAAATCGCAAATTACTATTCAGCTGCTACAATTCTGCAGGCACTCACACCCGTAAATAGCAAATGAAGTCTCAAGCTTGCAAATCGGCAATCAAACTTTTTTTGGTTCCCTTTCACCGTTATGTCTGTTTCAGCAGCAATATCGTGAAAGGCAGTTTTTGTAAGGTCGCAAATTTAAGCCGCACTTTAAATTTTCAAGGTCAGAATTTGGGGGGGGGGGGGGAATGCAGCTTATATTCGGGCCAATACGGTAATAATAATAATAATAATAATAATAATAATAATAATGCACTGTTTCTAATAAGGCTGCACCTAAGATAGCTCAGATGGCAGAGCATGAGACTCTGAATCTCAGGGACGTGGGTTCCAGCCCCATGTCGGGTGAAAAATTCCTGCATTGCAGGGGGTTGGACTAGATGACCCTCGGGTCCCTTCCAAGTCTGCGATTCTGCAAGGATCTGTGCAGCTGAAGAGTTAAACCCACAGAGCTGCAATTTCTAGAGTTGCACGAGGGAGGCGGGCTTGTGAAAGCCAGGAAGGGTTTTTCCTCCCTGGTTAGGGGGTGGGCCTTGGTTTTGAATTTCTTTTGCAGCTGGCATAAAAGGAGGAGGAAAGAAGGAGAGGAGAAGACAGGAGGACAGTGTGCTAGACTGGGGCATGGAGGCGGAGAGGCAGGGAATTGCTGGAAGAGAAAAAAAGACCCTCTTTTACAATCGCTCTTCCTCTTCTGGGTAGCAGCCGGGGGTCTCTCTGCTGCTGATTTTCCCCTTCCAGAAGAAGCAAACTCTTTGAGCAAGCTGGGTCAAAGGGTACGTGGACAGCGCTTTTCTATGGGGTACTGGGGAGGGGCAGTAGGGCAGGGGGACGCCATGGGGCAGGGAGCCTCCTAAAACGAGGGGGGCCTGCCTGCTTGAGCCTCCTACAATTCCTGGGTGATGGGGGAGGCTTCTGCAGAGCATCGGAGACCAAAGCGCATAGCAGCGTATTGTTAACCTCTGGAACTCCCCTCCACAGGAGAGAATAATAATAATAATAATAATAATAATAATTTATACCCCGCCCTCCCCAGCCAAGACCGGGCTCAGGGCAGCTAACACCCGGTATAAAAACAAATTGATTGAAATACAATGTAAAAACAAGATTAAAATACAACATTAAAATATTAAAATACAGCCTCATTTCAATGGAAACTCAAATCAAAAACTTCTTGGGGGATGAAAACATCAAGTCTTCACCAAGGCTAACTTTCCAATGATCGTCCCCAACACAGGCAGCTTTGAAAAGAGGATCAGACTCATTCATTTGGTCTGAACTGGAAATGGATCTGCTTATACCTTATTTAAAAAGTGGGACACTTTTCTTGTGGAATAGCCTCAGATCGGAGGCCGCATACTGTGCGGTAGCCTCAAAATTATAACTCTTGATTTAACACCCATGTTTCCCGTCTTTCCTTCTAGGGAGAAGCTCCTCGCGCTGGTTTTGGGACCGCCAATATCTCCTCCTCTCCCGTCCTAGTTCCCTGCTGAGCATTTTGATCCTCGGAAATCATCCCTGTGGAGATCAGGAAGGGATGAAAATGGAGGAGCAAGAATCGGCACCCGAGAGATCACAGAGGGCAGGAAAAGCCCCCCAGCTCGTCCCGGCCACAAGTATCGGGGAGTCTCTGTGTCGGACAGTTGCGCAGCCAAAGGTCAAGGAGGAACCCAGCAAAGGTCTTCTCCTTCACCACTGGGAGGCCCAGTGGCAGGAGTTCCTGAAGACGATGGAGTCTCCTCTGCCTGGATCGGGCGCCCCATATCTGCATGGCGAGGTGGCCCCATGGGACGATGCCAAGGGCTTTCTGGCCTCCTTCGAGCGGGTGGCCGAGGCCTGCCAGTGGCCCAAGGGAGAGTGGGCGGCCAGGCTGCTGCCAGCCCTCCGAGGAGGGGCCGAGCAGGCCTTTGGCAGCCTGGAGGTCAGCGACAGAGAGGATTATGGGAAAGTGAAGGCGGCCATCTTGCGCGGGGACACCACCACCCAGGAGAAGCAGCGGCAGCACTTCCGCCGCTTCTGCTACCAGGAGGCCGAGGGGCCGAGAGAGGCCTATGGCCGCCTCCAGGAGCTCTGCCGTGGGTGGTTAAAAGTGGACCGGCACACCAAGGAGCAGATCCTGGAGCTGCTGATTCTGGAGCAGTTCCTGGCTATCCTGCCGCCCGAGGTCCAGGGCTGGGTCAGGGAGGCCGGGCCTGAGAGCTGCTCCCAGGCAGTGGCCCTGGCCGAGGAATACCTCCAGGCGCAACGGGAAGCTGAGGGGCAGGAGCAGCCGGTGAGGCGGTGGCGCGGCGCCGCTCACATGCGCCTTGGGGCTGTGTTGCCAGGGGGCTCTTGTGGGTCTGATCCTGCCACTCCCTGGGTTGTTAACCAAGAGAGCGAAGCCTGTCCGTTTCACGCCGCTTAAGGAGTGGAAGTCCGATTCTGTGCCCCTAACTCGCTCAGTGAAACACTTAATCTCAGGGTTGTGGGTTCAAGTCCCGTTTGGGGCAAAAGATTCCTGCGTTGCAAGGGGTTGGACTAGATGACCCTTGGGATCCCTTCCAACTCTATGATTCCTGTGCTCTTCTAGGCATACTCCCCAAGTATCCCTTTTCTCCAATGACAGTTCTGGAATTATGAAAGCCATCCCAGCTTCTGATTTGACCCCGGAGTGTCCCTAATTCTGCTGCCAGTGCTGAGATCGGGGAATAGTATGAGCCGGCACTTGTCCCAAGCGATGGCAGCTGCGAGAGGGCATCCTGTTTCCTCTCCGTGGCCTCTCCACGGCTGCTGCTACCAGCTTCCTCCCTTGGGCAGCTGCTAGTGGCTGCTGGATAGCGGGTGAGGAGGAGAGGCCACCACCATTGAGGCCCTGTTTGACGCACCAGCTCTGAGGGGCAGGCAGAGGACAAGAAGAAAGAAAGAGATGTTTAGCTGGGAAAGAAGAAAGGGGGAGTAGAGCAGAGCACAAGGAATCTTGATTTTTGTATAGTGGAACCTCGGTTTTCGAGTGTATCGGATGCTGACCGATTTGGAACCCGAACGCCGAAAACTCGGAAGCAATTGTTTTTGTTTTTGAACACGCCTCGGAAGTCGAACGGCTTCCGAGTCACATATCTCCATTTTTTCAAGGGATTTTACCGACCGCCCATTGCGCCTTGGCTGTCGAACGTTTCAGAAGTCGAACGGTCTTCAGGAACGGATTACATTCGGAAACCGAGGTTCCGCTGTATTTGAAAAAAGCGATTTGTGCGTCCGCATCTAATCTTGCCCCTTTCTAAAATATATTCAGTGGTGTGTGCTTCTCTTTTTGTTGATCAACCAAAAAATAAAATAAAGCTGGGATTAAGGGTTTGTCTCAGGAGGGCGTTTGTGCTGCGTCCCATTGTTGTGGTTGTGGTGAAAATGCTCTGCTGGGATGGGTTGGGGGAAAAAATGGGAGTTGGGGATGAGGAGGGTCATTTGAGTGGGGAGAGAGAAAAGCCCCTCTTTTCATCTAAGGAGGGTATGGCTGGGTGATGGCTTCAGCGTGGGGTTTGAGGGAGGCTCTGGGTTTCCCCCCCAGGCCTCTCCCTCCTTGCCCTGTTGCTCTGTCCTGACGGGGTTCCTTCCTGATGTTGCAGGTGGGATTTGAGGAGGCCGCCGCAGATGTCTCTGAGGAAGACCGGGTGCCGTCCGATGTCAAACAGAGACCCCTATATGTGGAGGCCAAGCAGGAAGATGCAAGTGAGGCCCAACTGGCAGGTAAGTAGGGCCACATTTAGAGTCGTGCCCCTGGATCATGAACCTTCATTGTATTGTTCCTGTCACATGCTGAAGACACAACCACTTTGACTTAGCGTGTGCAGAGGAGGGCAACTAGGATGATCTAGAAGCTAAGCCTTATGAGGAACGGTTGAAGGAGCTGTGTATGTTTAGCCTGGAAAAGAGGAGAATGAGATTTTTGTACAATATGGTAGCCATCTTTAAAGATCTGACGGGCTGACACATAGAGGATGGAGCAAGCTTGTTTCATCCTGCTCTGGAAGGTAGGACTCGAACCAATGGCTTCAAGTTGCAGGAAAGGAGTTAGATGGCTATCTGTCATTGATGCTTTAGCTGAGGCCTGCATTGCTGGGGGTTGGACTAGATGACCCTCGGGTCCCTTACGACTCTGTGATTCTATGATCTGAGAGACACGTTTTTCAGGTCACAGCCGATCACTGTGACTGTAAATTGTCTTGAACTGCTTTCAGCATTGAATTTTTTTTATTTATTATTTCTTTATTACAGTCCAGAGACCCAACAAATTGTTACAAAGCAATGCACAATTCAGACAGCTTACCTCCTGATTAAACAAGCATTTTGTTCAGACTTAAAGACAGGGATCATTGGTTCTTGCAACCACCGATAAAAACTTCGCCACTGCTAATGTTCTAGCGTTTGTCCAGCCTTCCAATAGGAACCTGACATAGTGAGCCTCTGATTTTCCCGGGAAAGGCACTAGCAAGGGTAATATCAGTTCAGCCCTGGCTTGCTGTATTTCGCACAGTGCAGCAAAATATGTTTTATGGAATCGATGTCTTGGGCACACGAGCAAAGTCTGTCCTGGTAGGGAACTCCTCTCAACCTGCCATCCAACACTGCAGAAGGAAAGACGTTTAGTCTGGCTTTGGTGAATAACCTTCGATAATTTGGTTCTGAATTTTAAATTTCTGTAGTCCACTGAGGGACGTTAGGGCGAAGAAATCAAATAAAGAGAAGTAAGCGAAATAACCTTCTTTTTCTCATTTATTCAGCAGGTAAAAGGTGGGTGGGCATACCTGAGGGAGAAAGATACACACCTGAAGATGGTGAGGGGTTTTCCGGAGGGAGAGCAGAGGAGGAGAACTTTTCCTCGTGTAGTGAACAAGAAAATGCCCCTGAGAGTCATGAATGGCAAAGTCAAGGCCACAAAGCAGAAGGAGCACACGAGTCTGGTTCCTGCGAGGGTGATGGCAAGAACTTCAGCGAAACCGCGGACCAGAAGGAAGTCTGCACTGGCAAGAGGCAAAACACATTTCGTGGGAAAAGCTTCGGCCAAAGTCCAGGCCTCCTTGTCAACCAAAGAGCCCGTGTAGGAGGAAAACCACAGAACAAATGTTTGATTTGCGGGAAGTCCTTCCTTTACAGCTCCGACCTTGTCATCCACCATGGAATCCACACCGGCGAGCGGCCCTACGAATGTCCCGACTGCGGCAAGAGATTCAGCCGAGGCTCCGACCGCAACCGCCACCAGAGGATCCACACGCAGGAAAAACTGTACAAATGCCTGGCCTGCGGGAAATGCTTCCTCTATAGCTCGGACCTCGTCATTCATCAGAGAATCCACACCGGGGAGAGGCCCTACGAGTGCTTGGACTGCGGGAAAAGATTCAGTTGCAGCTCGGACCGCAACCGCCACCAAAGGATCCACACGGGGGAGAAACCGTACGACTGCATGGACTGTGGGAAAAGGTTCAGTCAGAACGTTCACCTCAAGAGGCACCGAAGGACCCATGTGGGAGAGAAATCGTACCAGCGCCCAGAATACGGGGAAAGTCTGAGCGTGAGCTGAGGAATGAAAACCATGTTCCCAATTACGTTTTATGAGGTAGTTTGTGGACCTCAGCCAAGGTAGTTATGACGTCACGTGTTTCCGTTCTGTTTTTTAAACTTTGTTTCCTGCTTTCAAGTTCCGTTTCCCCCCCATTTTTTAAATTCATTTTATAACACAAATAAACAATACAAACAGAAATACAAACAATACAAATTCTTGTCTTATTCTTATTTTTTCTAAACATTAGGTGAGCTTCCCCAAGTCCCCCCTAGCTGATTTTCATTTTACCTCATTTTAGCAGTTTCATATATCATAATGGTGTTCTAGGAAACTAAAAAAACCCCACAAGAGTTCAGTTTTGAAATAGGTGGTTAAAACCAGCATAGTTTTGAAAGGTGCAGCCTACCATCTTGATTCAAAATGGTGCCCAATTGTGTCCAAACGTAATAAAAAACAACAACAACTGCTGCTTGATCTCAGGACCCACCTGGCGGACTATAAGTTGAGGTGACAGGGGTGCAAATTAGGCTATAGGTTTCTCTTCTGGGGGGGGGATGTTTGTGTGGGAGTCACCCAGACTTTGGTAACAAATTCGGATAATAAAAAGTCTGAACTGCACGGGAGAGCTTTGCGTTTGGTTGACATCTTGGTAAGGAAGTGATAATCACCAGCACTCTCTCTTCCTGTGGTTTCCAGCAACAGGCATTCAGGGGCAACAATGGATGGAAAAAATCACCATCGTAGCTGTCTAGTAGCTGTCAGCAACCATATCCTTTTCAAATTCTCATTGGATGGCTAAAAAAAGACCCCCAGAGCTGTTTACTAATCACAAAAACTCCCTGCCCTCAGAGTCACAATCTGGAAAGACACGACACAAAAGGAAAATGGATTGGGAGGGAGGAGGAAATAAAAATATATCCGGGGTTCAAGTTCATAGTTCAAAGTTGTCCTGACCAGCTAGGGTAGGAAAGCTCAAGGAGAGAAGGCACCAAAATGTGGGTCTCAGCTGTGCCAATGTGGGGGCCTTGCACCACTTCTCTTACTTTTTCTGCTCCCCACAGGCAGCATTTGATGGAGGAAGGAGCAGATTGTGGTCCTACATCTCTGCAAAGGGTTGACTGCAAGTCTTGGCATACCTGACCATTGGCTATGCTGCCAGGGGCTGATGAGTCCAAGAGAGACTGAAGGGTCACAGGCTCCTTGCTTGTGATTTAAATCCAATAATAGCATCTTTGTACCCAATGGTCCTTAGGGGTTCTAGGAAACTAAAAAACAAACAAACAACAGTTCAGTTTTGAAATAGGTGGTTAAAATCAGCACAGTTTTGAAAGGGGCAGCCTGCCATCTTGATTCAAAATGGCATCTCAGTTGAAAACCTTGCTCCTTGACCTCAGGAACCATCGTGCCAGATTTGGAGATGATTATTTGGAGATGATTATTTATATTTTATCATCATTGTTACGACTGCTAACAACCCACCGTGGTCTTCTTCTCATGGGACAGTTCAAAACACAGAAGAAATGTAACGTAGTTTAAAAACAGATAGAAAAATGAATATTATTATTATTATTATTATTATTATTATTATTATTATTACTATACCCTGCCCATCTGGCTGGGTTGCCTCAGCCACTCTGGGCAGCTTCCAACACATTGAAAAGCTTCCTGATACAGGACTGCCTTCAGATGTCTTCTAAAAGTTGAGTAGTTATTTATCTCATTGACGTCTGATGGGAGGGGTAGTGAGAGCAATGGAAACGAGAAAAATGATGGCACAGAGATCATGGGGCCATGAAGAGTCGGACACAACTAAACGACTAAACAACAACGTGTCCGACTCTTCGTGGACCAGAGCACGCCAGGCACTCCTGTCTTCCACTGCCTCCCACAGTTGGGTCAAACTCATGTTCGTAGCTTCGAGAACACTGTCCAGCCATCTCGTCCTCTGTCGTCCCCTTCTTCTTGTGCCCTCCATCTTTCCCAACATCAGGATCTTTTCCAGGGAGTCTTCTCTTCTCATGAGGTGGCCAAAGTCTTGGAGCCTCAGCTTCAGGATCTGTCCTTCCAGTGAGCACTCAGGGCTGATTTCCTTCAGAATGGATAGGTTTGATCTTCTTGCAGTCCATGGGACTCTCAAGAGTCACCTCCAGCACCATAATTCAAAAGCATCAATTCTTCGGGGAAGCTATGCTTTTCCCAGTAGTGATGTATGGAAGTGAGAGCTGGTCCATACAGAAGGCTGATTGCCAAAGAATTGATGCTTTTGAATTATGGTGCTGGAGGTGACTCTTGAGAGTTGATGTTGGGAAAGATTGAGGGCACAAGGAGAAGAGGACGACAGAGGATGAGAGGGTTGGACAGTGTTCTGGAAGACAGGAGTGCCTGGCGTGCTCTGAAGAGTCGGACACGACTAAACGACTCAACAACAACAATCTGCGCCCAGGGAAAGGGTGGCAACCACAGAGCCCGCTCGTCCTAGAAGGGAGCATCTCTCTTCTCGCAGTGTTTTTCCCCGTCCCGGAAACGGGTCTCTTTTGAATGCACTTTTTCCCCGGGAGCTGGTGCAACCTGGGCAGGGCGATCCGGGTTGGGGGTTTTTTTGGAGAGGGAGGAGGGTCTTGGGTAAGTGGCAAGGGCGCACTTTGCGCGCGCGCAGAGGCTGGGGAATCCCTGCCTGGAAGGGGAGGGTGGAAGGAGGGAGAGGCAGCCTGCCCTGGGTCTAAATGCAAACACAGGCTTCTTCTGTGTTGCTTTTTGCAAAAATGATGGGCAAGGCATTGGTTTTTGCGGGGCAGAGAGAAAGAGATTTCTGCACGATGCGGTTCTGCATTATGGTTGCTGATGCTGAAGCTGCCTGATCCGGAGTCAGTCCGGAGTTGGTTGCCCCTGCAGTCCCAAGGTCATAGGATCGTAGGGACCCAAGGAGTCATTATTCCAACCCTCCGGGGCAACACAATAATCGCAGCTGAAGCACCCCTGACCCATGGCCACCCAGCATCTTTTTTAAAGTCTCCAATGAAGTGGAGTCCACCATCTTCCGAGGGAGACTGTTCCAGGAGGTTCTTTCAAATATTTAGCCAGAACATCTTCCCCCGCCCTCCTCCAGTGCAATCAATAACAGCAAGTCTCTGCAAAGGGGAAGGGACCAAGAGTGAGCAGGGATAGCAAACCCAGGTGCCAATTCATTTAAAAAGTTACTTTTCGTAATGATCAGTTGGCCCAGTTCAGTGCCCGATGGTGTTGGGCAGAGCCAAAGGACTCTTTTTCACATCTTGGATACAGTGGTAGCTCGGGTTAAGTACTTAATTTGTTCTGGAGGTCCGTTCTTAACCTGAAACTGTTCTTAACCTGAAGCACCACTTTAGCTAATGGGGCCTCTGACTGCTGCCGCACGATTTCTGTTCTCATCCTGAAGCAAAGTTCTTAACCTGAGGTACTATTTCTGGGTTAGCAGAGTCTGTAACCTGAAGTGTCTGTAACCCAAGGTACCACTGTATTTCCTGATTTTAACACAGTTCTTTCGTTGTGTGTTTCAGCTGGGCGTTCGCTGCTGCCTAACCGGCTTCGGAGTCTGATTTGACGCTGAGCGTCAGACGGATGGTTAACGGAGGCTCTTAATAGGCTTTGCCAGGCTGGACCACCGAGGGAGGAAGCCCTGGAGTTGAACCTCTGCCACCCACGGCCGGCATCTGGGAGCTCCGGGAGAGATAGGGAGAAAGGAGATGGACGCAGGTCGAAGGAAGAACGAGCCAGATGACGTGGTCCAGGCTGCGCTCAAGCAGTGGCCGCTCGCAGGCCTGAAAACGGAAGACCAAGACCATGGTGGTGCTACAACAAGGGAGGAATTCGTTGAAGGAGGGAGAGACCTTTGTGCTTTCCGGACTGGGAGGATGGGGGACATTGAATCCAGGGTACCAGGAGAGAAGGTGAAGCAGGAGTCGGGCGCAGGGCTTCTTCAGCACTGGGAATCCCAGTGGCAGGAGTTCTTGAAGATGGTGGAGTCCCACCACACGCACTGGGAGATCCCAGCAGAAGAGCCTACCCCTTGGGAGGATGCCAAGGGCTTTCTGGCCTCCTTCGAGCAAGTGGCCAAAGCCTGTCGGTGGCCCCAGGAGGAGTGGGCGGCCCGGCTCCTGCCAGCACTCAGTGGAGAAGCGGAGCAGGCCTTCGGCAGCTTGGAAGCTGGGGACAGAGAGGATTATGGGAAAGTGAAGGCGGCCATCTTGCGCCGGGACGCCCTGGCCCGGGAGCAGTGGTGCCAACACTTCCGGCATTTCTGCTACCAGGAGGCCGAGGGGCCAAGAGGCGCCTACAGCCGCCTGCGAGACGTCTGCCACCGGTGGCTCAAAGTGAAGAGGAACAGCAAGGAGCAGATCCTGGAGCTGCTGATTCTGGAGCAGCTCCTGGCTGTCTTGCCGCCCGAGGTCCAGGGGTGGGTGAGGGAGGTTGGGCCCGAAACGTGCTCCCAGGCGGTGGCTCTGGCGGAGGAGTTCTTGCTGAGGCAGCGAGAGGCCGAGAGGCCGCAGAAACAGGTGAGGCTGCTGTGGCGGAGAGCTTTGAGGGCCAGAGCGACAAAATGTGGGGTGAGGAAGGGGAACTGTTGCAAGGCATCCTGGGACCAGCCCTGCCTGTATCTCGATGGTGTCCACATAGCAACATAGGGTGGTATTTGACAATGGTATACTCAGAAAGCTCAGTGGATTAGAGCGTGGTGCTGATAACGCCAAGGTTGCAGGTTCGATCCCTGCGTGTATATTTTTTACAAATTTTTCAGTTTATGAAAAATAAATATTTTCAGTTTATGAAGCAATTCTGTATCCTTCCACCACGCTGACGAAGAATTCTACGAAACAGTAGTCAATATCCGGAATCACTGTTCAGTGTTAGACCTCATATTTGCTGAATACACAAAGCTTCACAGCTTGTCATTCATCGTACAAAGTCCAGTACCTCGCTTCAGTTAAAGATTTCCAGAGACTTTGAGACTAAAGATTTCATTATGTACTTGTTATGGTTTGAAGGAATTCTATAAAGATTGTCTATTGCGTATGTACATGGTCATCGTGTTGCCTAGACATTGCTGACATTCTCTTTGCAACACAGGGGTTTGTTTGGTTACTTCTTGTCGTTCCAGATGCAGGCAGCCTTTGAGGAGGATGGCTACGGTTTCTCTGAACCAGCGCAGGTTCTGACCGACACGGGGCAGAGGCAGCAGGAGAGGGGAGCGAAGGAGGAGGCCGGCTCTGGAGACGCAAGCTCACGAGGTAAGGAGGATACCCAATCTCAGGCTTGCAGTCGAAAAGGCGTGGCACAAAAGGAAAAGGGACTGGGGTGGGAGGAGGAGTAGATGGGGGATAGCAAACGCCAGACACTCTTTTTAATTAGGGAATCCTTGTCATGAGCAGCTGAGAAGGAAAATTTTCAAAGAGAGGAGGAGACAAATGTTTCTGTTCTTCCAGCAGAAGAATGGAAAGTCCTTTCTCCCTGTCTCCCACACCTGTAGTCAATGGAATAGACCATGAAATAACAACAACAACAACTTTTATTTATACCCCGCCCTCCCCCGGAGAGTTACATCCCCCCCCCCCGGTCACCCTCTTTGGTTGTCACTTTTTTTCAACGATCACTATGATTTACATTTTTTATTTGTATGCTGCTTTCCCATTTAAAACAAAAAAACACTCAAAATGTCTTGTGAAAGAACAACAAAAATGTGAATCAATACACCATTAACCATAACAATCAAATGGGGGGAATTGTTTCGAAACATAGCAGTCCAACATAGAATTTGCTTTATTTGTTTATTTATAATTAATTTCAATCAGCAAAATTTATATTCCGCTTAATTGTCGTGAAACCTCTAAGCGGCTTACAAGGAACATTAGAAGCATCAATAAACATCAATGGATAATGTTTACTGAATATTTTAAGAACCAGTATAGACAAAGACATAGCTTAGCAGGTTTTGAGTAAATCCAGTAGAGTTGAAATAGATGTGGATTAGGCGGAATAGTGAGGGACGCGGGTGGCGCTATGGGTAAAACCTCAGTGCCTAGGACTTGCTGATTGTATGGTCAGCGGTTCGAATCCCCGCGGCGGGGTGAGCTCCCGTCGTTGGGTCCCAGCTCCTGCCCACCTAGCAGTTTGAAAGCACTCTTAAGTGCAAGTAGATAAATAGGTACCGCTTTATAGCGGGGAGGTAAATGGCATTTCCGTGTGCTGCGCTGGTGCTGGCTCGCCAGAAGCAGCTTCGTCACGCTGGCCACGTGACCCGGAAGTGTCTTTGGACGGCGCCGGCTCACGGCCTATAGAGCGAGATGAGCACGCAACCCTAGAGTCGGACACGACTGGCCCATACGGGCAGGGGTACCTTTACCTTTACCTTTTAGGCGGAATAGTAGAAAAGCAAAGGAACCAGGAACCAGGGGTAGAAGGGGAGTCATATGGTATATATATATATATCGTACTTTTCCATGTATAAGACTAGGTTTTTTACTAAAAAAAAAGTTTAAAAGGGGGGGTCAACCCAGCCGCATGGGCAGGGTATAAATAATAAAATGCTTATGATTCTTATTAATCACATCAACATTCTTTTAACAATTTCAACAGATTACATGCAAGTGGGTGAGTGCGACGGGCAAAACCGTCCCCAGGAAAGCCGTGACAACGTGGAACCATCCATCACGGAAAGCGTCGCCCGGGTTTGCAAAGAGGGCAAAACCTCGGAGGGTCAGGGCGAACCAAAGAGGCCACAGGCGAGCTGGCCGGGGAATCGGGTGGGGGAATCTGTTCCCTGCGGGACGAGCGAGATCTCTCTTGATCAAACCCCACTGCGGCGGCAGCCTCAAGGCTCAGACGGCGGATCTGGCGAAAGCTTCGATTCGGAGTTCGTGAAGTACGAAGCGGTTGAAATCCAGGAATCGGCCTACCCATGCGAGGACGGGACGCAACTCAGTTGCAAGGAGGATCTCAGGAGAAACAGCCCGCACTTCCGCGGGAAGCCGTACCAGTGCAGTTATTGCGAAAAGGCCTTCAGCCGCCGGTCGCACCTGGTGACACACGAGAGGACCCACACGGGAGAGAAACCCTACGCCTGCTCCTTCTGCGGCAAGAGCTTCATCCAGAGCTCCCACCTCATCCTCCATGAGAGGACCCACACCGGCGAGAAGCCCTATCGGTGTTGCGCCTGCGGAAAGAGCTTCAGCAGCACCTCCAACCTCCTGGCCCACGGCAGGACCCACACGGGCGAGAAGCCCTACAAGTGCGCCGTCTGCGAGAAGGGCTTCATCAGCAAGTCGCACCTGGTCCGCCACCGCAGGAACCACGCTGGGGACAGGCCACCCACAGAACAATCCTGCTCCGGGAAAGCCTTCTGCTTGGCCTAGTTTCTTACGAGACCAAGAAAGGGAGACTACTTCAGAGTAAAGCCATAGCAGAAAGCCCACCTTCTTTTTACAAAGAAGGTGTGGGGCGTGGCAGAGAGAGACATTTTTATTTTGGTCCAGATTTGGCTGCTTCGGAAGGTGTTCCAGGCCTGGAAAAAAATGTAATACAAGAAAAAAGCACACCAAGAACTCAGGCCAATGTAAGTTTCAACAGTGGGAGTGGTCCCTACTCACAAATCAATAGTCAATAGCAACAAAAACTAACCCAAGGATTAGTTTCTGACAAGGATTACAAACTCAAATAGAGATTACAAACTCCAACAGAGATTACAAACTTAAACCCATAAAAATATGTATAACACAATAATTCATTACAGAATTAGAAATAAGAGTTTATGAGTAGAAATAAATTCATGTTCGTCCAAATTCGTCATGGAGGTCCCAGCCTCAATCATTGAGCTGAAGTCAGAAGTCAATTATGGATTAGAGACCAGGACAGGGCTGTTGGAGTTTGTAATCTCTATTTGAGTTTGTAATCCTTGTCAGAATACATACTTTTGAATGGATTAGTTTTTGTAGCTATTGACTATTGATTTGCGAGTAGGGACCACTCCCACTGTTGAAACTTACATTGGCCTGAGTTCTTGGTGTGCTTTTTTCTTGGTATATTTAATAACTGGAAAATATTGTAGCCCGGGAGCGGCAAAACCTGTGGCTGTCCAATTCCTCTTATCATTCCTGATGAGAATAATTTTATTACTTATATGCCGCCCATCTCACTGGGTTTCCCCAGGCACTCTGAGCAGCTTCCGGGGAAATATAAAAACACAATCAAACATCAAATGTTAAAAACTTCCCAATACTGGGCTGCTTTCAGATGTCTACGTAAGGTCATATAATATTGTTTATCTCCTTGACATCTGGTGGGGGGGGGGGTTCCACGGGGCGGGTGCCACCACTGAGAAGGCCCTGTGCCTGGTTCTCTGTAACCTCCCTTCTCGCAGGGAGGGAACCAGCAAAAGGCCCTCAGAGCTGGACCTCAGCTGAATGATGGAAGTGGAGACAGGATCGCAAGCAATATTAACTGTAGTATGCAATTTCTTTAAAGAAATTGTATACTACAATTTATATTGTTTGCGATCCTGTCTCCTGGCATTGATTATTGATGAACTGGGGGGTGGGGAGCAGGTGGCGCTGTGGTCTAAACCACCAAGCCTCTTAGGCTTGCCGATCGGAAGGCTGGTGGTTCGAATCCCTGCAACGGGGTGAGCTCCCGTTGCTCTGTCCCAGCTCCTGCCAACCTAGCAGCTCGAAAGCACGCCAGTGCAAGTAGATAAATAGGTACCGCTCTGGCGGGAAGGTAAATGGCGTTTCCGTGTGCTCTGACACTCGTCACAGTGTCCCGTTGTGCCAGAAGCAGTTTAGTCATTCTGGCCACATGACTGGAAAAGCCATTGGCGGACAAACGCCGGCTCCCTCAGCCTGAAAGTGAGATGAGTGCCGCAACCCCATAGTCTAATTTGACTGGACTTAACTGTCCAGGGGTCCTTTACCTTTTACCTTTATTGGTGAACCTACCGGTTAGAAATGCCTGTCCTTCTGGGAGCTGGACTTGAAGGGAGAACTTGAGGAAATGCATAGATCCTGGATCATTACTTGACGTGAAAATTGTTGGATCATTCTGTTCAAAGTGTGTGTATGTGTTTCTGTGTTTGTAGAGACAGAGGCAAAAATCCTTTGGATCATTCGTTTGATGAAATAAATTTCAAACCATTGCTTTACTTCCGTTGCACAGCATCCAACCATGTCTTGTTAGGTTTTAGGTAAAGGTAAAGGTACCCCTGCCCGTATGGGCCAGTCGTGTCCGACTCTAGGGTTGTGCACCTATCTCACTTAAGAGGCCGGGGGCCAGCGCTGTCCAGAGACACTTCCGGGTCACGTGGCCAGCGTGACAAGCTGCATCTGGCGAGCCAGCGCAGCACACGGAAACGCCGTTTACCTTCCTGCTAGTAAGCGGTCCCTATTTGTCTACTTGCACCCGGGGGTGCTTTCGAATTGCTAGGTTGGCAGGCGCTGGGACTGAGCAACGGGAGCGCATCCCGCCGCGGGGATTCGAACCGCCGACCTGATGATCGGCAAGTCCTAGGTGCTGAGGTTTTACCCACAGCGCCACCCGCGTCCCTTGTTAGGTTTTACCTGCCTTAAATGTTAGCGACATTCGCACTCTGCACTAGCCGGGACTCTGTAGGCCTAATAATAATAATAATAATAATAATAATAATAATAATAAATTTATTATTTATACCCTGCCCATCTGGCTTGGTTTCCCAGCCACTCTGGGCAGCTCACAGCACGTAAAACATTAGACTTTAACAATTTTCCAATACAGGGTTGTCTTCAGATGTCTTCCAAAAGTCAGATAGTTGTATGTAGCTGTTGTATGTCTGTAAAGAAGTTCCCTTTAATAATAAACACAACGGAGTATGAGTCTTTCTGCTTGGACCTAACACATGTACCAAAATGCCATCTTTGAAAGTCTTCACCTTCACAGGTGGGGAACCTGTTCAAGACCAGTTCTCAAGTTCTTTCTATAATATTCCAACACGCACTCTTTGTCAGCCTTGCTCCATCATCTCCTCAAGTGCTTTTTCCTGGCCTTTAGATGTCCTTAGTTGCTTGGGGTGGATAAAGAGGGCTTTGGGTGGGTGCAAACCCATGACTCTATAGTCCCCTGCTGGGACGTGGCCCTCAGAAAGTTCTCCACAAGAGAATGCGGCCCTGGTCTTAATCCTTACGATGGGCAGCAGTTCCCTGATGAAAGCTCTACGGTTGCTAAAAACACCAGCGGTTGGTGGTGTTCCCCCATAGTAAAAAACCCCCCAGAATTTCCGCATAATTTTTACATAAACATACAAATGGTCAATAATAAAGTCTAGGAACTTTAAGGTTTGCCACACTTCTGGAACATGGAAAAAACAAAACAACGCTCCAAGTGGAATTTAACAATCGCTACGCTAATTAAATAAAGGGACGCGGGTGGCGCTGTGGGTAAAACCTCAGTGCCTAGGGCTTGCCGATCGCATGGTCGGCGGTTCGAATCCCCGCGGCGGGGTGAGCTCCCGTCTTTCGGTCCCAGCTCCTGCCCACCTAGCAGTTCGAAGCACTCTTAAGTGCAAGTAGATAAATAGGTACCGCTTTCTAGCGGGAAGGTAAACGGCGTTTCCGTGTGCTGCGCTGGCACTGGCTCGCCAGAGCAGCTTCGTCACGCTGGCCACGTGACCCGGAAGTGTCTCCGGACAGCGCTGGCCCCCGGCCTCTTAAGCGAGATGGGCGCACAACCCTAGAGTCGGACACGACTGGCCCGTACGGGCAGGGGTACCTTTACTTTACTTTTACGCTAATTAAATAGATTTGAAATATGTATCCAAGGGAATATAAACTCCATTAAAAGGTTTTTTTTAAAAAAAAGAGGAATTGGACTGTGAGCTGTGTTGATTTATGACTGTGGAACTGCATGATCTTTCGCTTTCTTTGACTTATGGCTACTGTGTGGAGAGAGTGATTGGCTTGTTTTCTTCTTATTCTTATTAGTACTTTGTGTTTTTGTTCTGAATTTTTATGCCGTGAAGCGTCCTGAGATCTTCAGATGAAGAGCGGTATGCAAAATCATTACCGTATTTTTCGCCCTATAGGGCGCACCGGCCCATAGGGCGCACTTATTTTTTTTGGGGGGGGGAATAAAGAAAAACATTTTTATTTCCCCCCCGCAAGCTCCAGGAGCAATGGCAAGGTTGCACTCGCTCCAGGAGCTTGCTGGGCTGGGGGCGGGGGAAGTCCGAGCTTCCCCCGATCCCAGCCCCCAGAACGGGTCCGGGAGCGATGGCGAGGTTGCGCTCAACCTCGCCATCGCTCCCAGAGCTTGCTGCTATCTGAAGCCCGGGGAGCGCAGCGCTGTAGCCCGCTGCGCACCCTGGGCTTCGGGCAGCTATCCGCAAGCCTGCGGCGCCCGGCAGGAACTCCCGCCAGGCACCGCAGGCTTGCGGATAGCTGCCCTAAGCCCGGGGTGCACAGTGCCGCGCTTGCCGGGCTCCGCAGGCTTGCAGATAGCATCCTGAAGCCTGGAGAACAAGAGGGGTCGGGGCGCACCGACCCCCCTCGCTCTCCAGGCTTCAGCGAAAGCCTGCATTTGCCCCATATGACGCACACACATTTCCCCTTCATTTTTGGAGGGGAAAAAGTTCGTCCTGTAGGGCGAAAAATACGGTAAGTAAATAAATAGTAATTGGGGAGCCACCACCGAGAAGGCCTTGTCATGGTTGAACGCCGACCGGGCACCACCAAAAGATCATAGGTCCCGAGATGGTTGATATTAGGAGTGCCGCTCTATTAGGAATTTGGATCCCAACCAGTTTAGGGCTTTATACGCTAGTACCACCCCGCTGAATTGAGCCTGGTAGCTCCCTGGCTCCCTTGATGCTGCACCAAGATTTATCTTTGGAATTACTGAGTAGGAAATCTGTATGCCCTGTATTCGGTCACTACCTTTGCAGAAGGACTACGTGGAGGATTGAAGAACATTAGGAATGGGACTGGGGAAAATAAAAGCTGTGGATTATCTATTGGTGTTTCGCAACTTTCTGACTTGTTGCAGGACCTTAGCCAGACCTAGCAGAGTATGCGCAGAGTCCACGGAAGCAATTGGCAACTGGCTGCAGACAGGATGGACGAAGCAGGAACCAGTAACTTGTAGGTATAGGTGTTTATTATATACAGTGGACTATCTACAGGAACAGAACACGGATCTTTGACTAGCTCTCTCTTACACGACTCACAACTCTCAACCTCCAACTCCTACACTAGCCACTCCAACTAACACATTCCAGTTAGTAGGCCATAAAGCATTATTCCTGTGAGAGCTTGACCAATCATGGAGCTGTCTCCATGCCTCTGTATCACCAGGCAGATTACACTCCTTTACGTTGCCTTGGCTGTCGGCCAAACCCTCATTGACTCTGTGTGAAGCTGCAGGTATTCAGATTCCCAACATTGTCTTCATGTCATCATACGAATCTAGGGTGAGGCCTTATATCCCGCCAGCAAAACTAAAAAACAAAGTGCGAGACTGGCTTCATTATTATCAGATAATGGAGGCATTTAAATTGGACAGGAAAATTGGCTTCCAGGTGGAAAGATCCAAATTAGAAACAGAATTGTTAGAACCCAAAACTAAGAATTTGTCAAGAATGTACAACTTGCTGCTGAAATGGAATACTCAGGATGAAACGGTAAAATCGGCTATGATTAAATGGGCACAGGACGTTGGACATAATATTATGTTTGCTGACTGGGAACAGTTATGGACCACAGGTATGAAATTTACGGCATGTAATGCCTTAAGAGAGAATATTATGAAAATGATATACAGGTGGTACATAACCCCAGTCAAGCTTGCAAAAATCTATCACTTGCCCGATAACAAATGTTGGAAATGTAAAGAAACTGAAGGTACATTTTTTCACCTTTGGTGGACGTGCCCAAAGATTAAGGCTTTCTGGGAAATGATATATAATGAATTAAAAAGGTATTTAAGTATACCTTCCCTAAGAAACCAGAGGCCTTTCTCCTGGGCATAGTCGGCCAAATTGTGTTTAAAAAGGATAGTACTTTCTTTATGTATGCAACAACAGCAGCAAGAATACTCATCGCAAAGTATTGGAAGACACAAGAACTTCCCACGCTGGAGGAATGGCAGATGAAACTTATGGACTATATGGAATTGGCGGAAATGACTGGTAGAATCTGTGACCAGGGAGAAGAGTCGATGGAGGAAGATTGGAAGAAATTTAAAGACTATCTTCAGAAACATTGCAAAATTAAAGAATGTTAGAGTGATGTTGGACTGAAAATAAGCGGTTTCCAGCTGTACAGGTTAAAGCTAATGATAGACTAAGATTAAAGATTAGGATTAAAGATGTTTAAAGAAATGGAAATTTGACATTAAGAGGAAAAATTTTAACGTTATATGATACTAAGACCAAAGATCAGGTTTAAAGAAGTTGAAGTTATATATTTTAATATCTTATTAAAGCTAAAGATTGGGATTAAAAAAGTGGAAAAGAAATTGCTGGACAACAATTTGGATTGGAATACAAAAGAGGGAGGTATGAGGAAGTCCAGAAAATAAGTAACTAAAACACGGAAATGGAAAAGAGATATTGTTTTTAATTGTTATGTTTTTTGTTCTTTTATTGTTGAATTTTGTTTTTTTGTGTGTGTGTTTTTGTTATATGTATTGTGTATGTTTTTCTTTTCTTTCTTTGTTGTTCAAAACTTTAATAAAAATTATTTAATAAAAAAATATATATCCCGCCAGCAAAAATTGTGCAAGCAAGTCGGGGAGAATTACCGTATTTTTCGCTCTATAGGACGCACCTGACCATAGGATGCACCTTGTTTTAGAGGGGAAGAACAAGGGGGGGGAAATTCTCCCCCTCTCTGCTCAGCGCCCCTTCAGCGAAGCGGCTGGAGAACCGGAGCCCCTTCCATTTCTCCTCCCGCTTAGCTGAAGGGGCATTGTGCCTTAGCTGAAGGGGCACCTACCCTTCAGCGAAAGGAACCCGAAGCCTCCGGAGCGCAGCAGGAGCGCTCCCACTGCACTTCAGAGGCTTCGCATTGCTGTCGCTGAAGCCAAGGAGCCTGCATTAGCTCCATAAAACGCACACACATCTCCCTTTAATTTTTGGAGGGGAAAATGTGCGTCTTATAGAGCGAAAAATACGGTACGCACCATAAAACTGACTGACCAGAGTTGGGTCGGCTCCAGATGACTAGATCTGGAGTGAGAATTGGGAGTGTAAACGCTTTCACAACTTGATCGAGATGGGAGAGAGACTAGGATGGGAGAGAGACACATGTCATTTTCCTAGTGAGGCTTCAGTCTGTCCCCCTTTGACCCTTGGACTAGGCCTGCGTCTCTAGAAAGGCCTCTGGAAAGAAGGAATTATGGCTCTCCCTGATCTGCTACCTCCTCTGGGGAGGGAGCAAAAACAGCCCTTTGTCTTTCCCATCCAGGGAAGAATCTGGTGAGTATCTTTTGCAGGCAGTGGGGAGGCAAGACTGCAATGGAGGATTGGTGGAAAATGCGCTTTGGGGAGGGAGGTCGCCCCACGTGGAGACCCTCCAACCTCAAAGGGCGGCCAGTGGGACAAGAAGAGGCAGGGAGGCAGCTGCTGATGGAGGCAAGCCGAGTAGGACAGAAAGGATCAGCCCCCCCTTTCCCAGCATTGGACTGAGGGCTCCCCACAGATGCAATGTCTAAATTAAAATCCCAGCCAAACCCAACTGGAAAATGTATTGTCTAGATGAGTCCTAAGAGGTGGAAGACCACAAAAACAAACAACATTTGGAAGTATTTTATTGGAAAGATTGGAAAAAGAGGAAGCACAGTCTTATTTTGCCACCTATTGCTTTTTCATCACTTGCACACCTACCAACAAACTACAAGAACATCTATCAAAAGAATCGACAGAAATATGGACAGCGTGGAAAGCAGGTAGCTCTTAACCAAAACCATCTTTTGTTTTCTCTCCATGACACCCTTAGCACCCTGAATAAATAAAATAGACACTTTAAAAAATATATTTTGGAAAATTCAATGTAATGAACATTTTGATGGAAATTAAGGGATGGGCCCTGACTGAAACTCCTTCCACAATCCAGGTTTCTTAGATCATTAGCATGCATTGTGCTTGACCTGAAGCTTTCCCCACGTTCCAGACATTAAAATGGTTCCTAAATTTACTATTTAAAGATGGTTCTCTTGACTGGAGCTCATTCCGCACTCCAGGCATTTAAACAGCATATCTCCTGGGTGAATTCTTTGATGGGAAGGAAGGTCTCCTCTTCAACAGAAGCTCTTTCCACACTCCAGACATTTAAATGGTTCTCTCCAGCATGAATTCTTTTGTGCTTCTCAAGGTTTGTGCCCCTACTGAAGCTCTTGCCACAGTCGGGGCATTTATATGGCTTCCCCTCTGTGTGGATTCTCTGATGTGATGTAAGGCTCGTGCTCACAGTAAAGGTCTTGCCGCACTCCAAGCATTTATAGGGTTTCTCCCCTGTGTGGATCCTCTCATGCTTAATAAGGTTTGTGCTCTGACTGAAGCTTTTCCCACACTCTGGGCATTTGTACGGTCTCTCCTGTGTGTGGATTCTTTGATGTGAAGTAAGGTTTTTTCTCCAGCTGAAGCTCTTCCCGCACTCCAGACATTCGTAGGGCTTCTCTCCCGTGTGGATTTTGTCATGTTTCGTAAGGGCCGTGCTCTGACTGAAACACATACCACACTCCAGGCATTTAAATGGCTTTTCGCCCGTGTGTATTCTCTGATGGGAAATGAGGTCTGAGCTTTGACTGAAGCTCTTTCCGCACTCCAGGCATTTGAAAGGCTTCTTCCCCGTGTGGATTCTCCCGTGCTTGGTAAGGTTTGTGTTCTGACTGAAGGCCTTGCCACACTCCAGACACTGATAGGGCTTCTCCCCGGTGTGAATTATTTGATGGGAAATCAGGTTTGAGCTCTGACTAAAGTGCTTCCCACACTCCAGGCATTTAAACGGTTTCTCCCCTGTGTGAGTTCTTAGATGTTTAGTAAGGTTTGTGCTTCGACTGAAGCTCTTTCCGCATTCCAGGCATTTACGATGTTTCTCTCTCCCATGAGTTGCCTGGTGTGAAGCTTGGTGTTTGCTTTGACTAAAGTCCTTTCCAAACTCCAGGCCCTTAACTTTTCTCTGTCCCGTGTGGATTATCTGATGAGAGATGAGGTTTGCACTGCGACTGAAGCTATTACCACTGGCCAGTGGTTTCTCCTCTGTGTGCGCTCTCTGGATAGGGATTTCACAGACGTCTACTTGGTTTCCGCCCTGCTTCCTCCACATTTCTTGATCCCCAAAGGTCTCTTCTCCCTCTTCATTCTTGACGGGTTCCAAGGACACCCCAACTGGCTCTTCGTAATCCTCACTGCCCTGCCCAGTTGCTGCAGAGGGAAAAGAGAGAATCCTGATTAGAGTTGGAAGGCACCTCCAAAGGTCATTCAGCCCTTGCTCAATGCAGGAGCCACCATGCAGGACGCTACTACACTATCCCCGATAGGGGGCCAGCTCCTGCTTTCAAGCCTATTATTATTATTATTATTATTATTATCTTATACCCCGCCCATCTGGCTGGTGTTCCCCAGTCACTCTGGGCAGCTCCCAACAGAATATTAAAAATACAATAAAACATCAAACATTAAAAACTTCCAGATACAGGACTGCCTTCAGATGTCTTCTAAAAGTCAGATAGTTCTTTATTTCCTTGACATCTGATGGGAGGGCGTTCCACAGGGCGGGTGCCACTACTGAGAAGGCCCTCTGTCTGATTCCCTGTAACCTCTCTTCTCGCAGGGAGGGAACCGCCAGAAGACCCTCGCAGCTGGACCTCAGTGTCTGGGCTGAACGATGAGGGTGGAGACGCTCCTTCAGGTATACTGGGCCAAGGCCGTTTAGGGCTTTAAAGGTCAGCACCAACCTGGTCCCTAATTTGGCTTAGGGGTGAATGAAAAAACCTTGCTGGCTTTCACAGAACCCAACCAGATGGCTCTGAAAAAGCCCACAAGCAGCTGTTCTTACCTAGAGAAGCTACACTCCCCTGTACCTCCTCCATGACTTCCTTGCACAAGGCTCTGTGCCCTGGATCCAGTAACGCCTGCTCTGCTCCTCCTCAGGGAAATAAATACACAGCTGCCGCCTCAAAGATCACCAGACCCTAAAAGAAATAGAGAAAATTCTCTCCTAGTATTTTCCTACAGGACTGAAAAACTTACCCACAGAGTCATCTGGCCAAAAAATCCTCAAGGTTCGGTAATAAGAGTGGGACACCCTGGGCACTTGGGCTGCAGCACGAGGTGGGAAGGGAAGCGGGTGGTGCTGTGGTCTAAACCACTGAGCCTTTTAGGCTTGATGATCAGAAGGTCGGCAGTTCGAATCCCTGCGATGGGGTGAGCTCCCGTTGCTCTGTCCCAGCTCCTGCCAGCCTAGCAGTCCAAAAGCATACGGGTGCAAGTAGATAAATAGGTACCGCTGTGGCGGGAAGGTAAACGGCGTTTCCATGCGCTCTAGTTTCCGTCACGGTGTCCCGTTGCGCCAGAAGGGGTTTAGTCCTGCTGTCCACATGACCTGGAAAGCTTTCTGTGGACAAACACCGGCTCCCTCGGCCTGAAAGCGAGATGAATGCCGCAACCCCATGGTCTCCTTTGACTGGACTTAACCATCCAGGGGTCCTTTACCTTTCACCTTTTTTACCTTGTACCCATTTGCTTTTGGAAGAAACCAACACTTTGCTCAAGGCCCAGTTACGTACCTGCTGCTGGAATTCGCAGGAGAGGAGAGCAATGTCGGGCTCCCGTCAAGGTTGTCCGCCTGTAACAAACTCTAAACAAACCCGGCAGGGAGAATCTGTAGGAGCACCACTGGTCGTCCTCTGAGTTGATGAGGTTCACCTGACAACAAGAAGAAATGACAAGAAGAAATGACATCATCTGCCCAGTTGGGGAGTAGTCTGCCAACAGAGATTCAGTGGGTGCCTTCTGCCTCAGCTTCTGAACACCTGCTAAAAACCTTTCTATGCTGCCAATCCTATGCAGGAAATTATGAGAATATCCTTTAATGGTTAGTTGTTTTGGCATCCATCTGTCTTGAGAAACAATGGAGTACGCCTCCGGGGCATAGCTGTCAACCTTCCCTTTTTTTGCGGGAAATTCCCTTATTCCAGCACCGTTTCCCGCTGTTTCCCGCTGCTATCCTGGATTGTTAGCTATCCAGTAGACTGTCCCTGGGACAGGTGAGGCTGCTGATCCCTTATTTTCAAGGCTGCTGATCCCTTATTTTCAAATCTGAAAGTTGATAGCTATGCTCCGGGGAGGGGGGGTGAAGTAGAACCGCTGTGTTAGCAGCACCAAAGCGACCTGCCTGGGGTGCAAGCCAGGGCAGTGGAGGTCTTGGGCTGCCCGGTTGGCAAGACACCCCCCTCCTCGGCCTCACTGATGGGGGTCCAAAGGAAAGCAGAGCAAGACGTTTGGCACCAGCTTAGCTGCAGGAGTTTCCGGAAGCAGGCGTACAAGGTGCCATCCAACTGTCTTAGGGACTCCGCTCCGGATGTGTGTAGGGTTTGCTTTTCTTCTCTTGCAATGCCCAAATCCCTTAAATTCCTGGAGGAGAAGCTCCCTTTCCCCCCTGTACCTCCAAGGCGCGCCCAGCTGTTCATCTCCCTTCTCCCCAACTTCACAAACTGGGCAGGACATTCAGAGCTGACGCCTATTCAGGTTCCCATTTGAAGGCAGCCAGAGGATGCGGGGCTGCTGCTTCTTTCTGTTGGCAACTGGAAATCTCTCTGTCTCTCTGGCTCCTCTCCTGCTTTCACTTATCCCTTTGGAGGGACGCGGTTGGTCACTTCTGGTACCGCCCCCGTCCCTGCGGAATGCTCAGCCAATAGATATTCAGTGGGCGTCTTCTCCATTAACCTTTAAATGCCCGCAAAAACTTTGTTGCGTAGCCAAGCCAATGCAGGCAATTAAGAAGATTCTTCTGTAGTAGTTGGGCTCACTCCTCCGTTGTCTCCTGAGACAGGCCGATGCCAATCAATCAATAGTTGATTTCTGATTTTTTAAAAATGGATTTACGAATGTATGATTGTTGAAAGTCAGTCTTTTTTTTTAATGAACAGCACTACGTATATAGATTTTTTAAAAAATACAGATATATAAAAACCAGCCTTTGATTTTTCCAAGCATGGCTCCCACCCATCTTTCCTGGTTTGGGGCAGAAGCTGCGTTCCCTATCTGAAGAAAGGTGCTCTGCATATGTTTTTTTGTTTGTTTGCCCAGACAGAAAGTGGGGAGCATTAATCTCTGCAGGAAAGCATTCTGCACATGCTCAAAGGCCGTCTGCCTATAGATCTTCTTCCCCCCAGAAAGGAGGGAAATGATTCTGCCGTTTTTAAAAAAAACAGCACTCTGCACAGGCTGTGGGATACTACGTGCAGCCCCAAGAAAGGGAGAAAAGTAGCAGTTCCCCATCTGGAGAAAGGCGCTCTGTTGGAAAAGGTTTGTAGGTTATATGAAGAATCACTGCAAGCAGGTTAAAACGTTAGCAGGTTTATATTTGTTTGTTTGTACCCTGCCCATCTGGCTGGGTTTCCCCAGCCACTCTGGGCGGATTCCAACAAAGATTAAAAATACATTAAAATGTCACACATTAAAAACTTCCCTGAACAGGGCTGCCTTCAGATGTCTTCTAAAAGTCAGGTAGTTGTTTATCTCTTTGACATCTGATGGGAGGCTGTTCCACAGGGCAGGTGCCACTACCGAGAAGGCCCTCTGCCTGGTTCCCTGTAACTTGGCTTCTCGCAGTGAGGGAACCACCAGAAGGCCCTCGCAGCTGGACCTCAGTGTCTGGGCTGAACGATGGGGGTGGAGACGCTCCTTCAGGTATACTGGACTGAGGCTGTTTAGGGCTTGAAAGGTCAGCACCAACACTTTGAATTGTGCTCAGAAACGTACTGGGAGCCAATGAAGGTCTTTCAAGACTGGTGTTATGTGGTCTCGGCGGCCGCTCCCAGTCACCAGTCCAGCTGCTGCATTCTGGATTAGTTGTAGTTTCTGGGTCACCTTCAAAGGTAGCCCCACATAGAGTGCATTGCAGTAGTCCAAGCGGGAGATAACTAGAGCAGGCACCACTCTGGCCAGACAATCCACAGTCAGGTAGGGTCTCAGCCTGCATACCAGATGGAGCTGGTAGACAGCTGCCCTGGACACAGAATTAACCTGCGCCTCCATGGACAGCTGTGAGTCCAAAATGACTCCCAGGCTGCGCACCTGGTCCTTCAGGGGCACAGTTACCCCATTCAGGACCAGGGAGTCCTCCACACCTGCCCGCCTCCTGTCCCCCCAAAACAGTACTTCTGTCTTGTCAGGATTCAACCTCAATCCATTAGCCGCCATCCATCCTCCAACCGCCTTTAGAGTAAACCCAGCACTCTAACGGAGTTAAAAACGAGAATCAAGAAAGGTAAACAAAGGAGAAACAAGAAAGGGAAAATATTGCATGATTAGAACATGCAGTGAAGGGAAGTAGATGTTCAGTTCCTCTTGAATGTAATGTAAAGTAATGCAATGTCGAAAAGTACAATGGTGAAAAATATAAATGAAAATCTAAATAGAGAAAGAGATTCTCCATCCGTAGCTTTTTTGTTTGTTGATTCGCCCAGACAGAAAGCAGAGGACTGCATTACCCTCTGCAGGAAGGCGCTCTGCACGGGCTCAGGAATACTTTTTTGGGGAGATGGAAACCACCGCCTCCGGCCAGATCCCTTTGCAGCGACCAGCAGAGGGCGAGGAGCGCAGGGCGCGCGCGTCTCCTCTCCTCCGGCTCCGGAGGGAGGGATGGAGGTCGGACGGAAGGGGCTGAGCTTCTTGCCAAGCGGCGGATTTAGCATCCGGGGGTGCCTCTGAAGCCTTGGGGGCGGAGAGAGGCACCCACCCACCCAGCAACCCCAGATGTGCAGCGGGATCGGCGGAGGAGCCTCCTGCGCGCTTGGAGCCTGGACGGGAGACACGCCTTTGCCCGACGACAGCTCAAGCCCTGCAAGCAGGTTTGCAAGGAAAGAAGCGCCTGATCCGGATCATCACCGCCCCTAACATCAACAGGGCGCCCGGAGAAAACAGGGTACCACACACGCGCGCGCCGGCACCCCCAAGCATCTCCAAAATAGCTGCTTGGTGCGCCTTTTCCACCCGCCTGCCCACCTGTCGGAAGGTCTAGGCGCGCCTACTCCCGAGGAAGCCCCGTTGACTTCAGTGGGGCTTGAAATCCCCGGAGAACCCTAGGATCATAGAGTTGGAAAGAACATTTTCTTTCTAGGTATATAAAATTTGTATATCGTTTTTGTATACATGTTGGAAATTATAGTAAGTCCTGTAACGTAATATGACAACGTTTACTGATGTAATATAATAATGTTAACAAATAAATAAAATGCAAATTCCAAAAAAAAAGGATCGTAGAGTTGGAAGGGGTCCCCGAGGGTCATCTAGTCCAACCCGCTGCAGTGCAGGAATCTCAGCTAAAGCATCCATTATGGATGGTCATCCAACCTCTGCTTGAAAGCTTACAAGGAAGGAGAGTGCAAAACCTCCCTTCCACGGTCAAACAGCTCTTTCTGTCAGAAAGCTATTCTATATGTTGAGTCGGAATCTCTTCTCTTGCAGCTTGAAGCACTTGGTTCGAGTCCTACCCTCCAGAGCAGGAGAAAACAAGCTTGTTCCCTCTTCCATGTGGCAGCGCTTCAGATATTTGATGATGGCTCTTGTATCTCCTCTCAGTCCCCTCTTGTTCAGGCTAAACATACCCAGCTCCTTCGACCACTCTTCATAAGGCCTTCTGTCGAGTCAGCTCTTGTATTCACTGACCGGCAGCAGCAGCCTGCAGGGTTTGAGACATTCCCAGTCCTACCCCAGAGATGCCAGGAATGGAATTCAGGGCTTTTAGGGACCATCTGACTTAGATGCTTGAGCTGAGATTCCTCCATTGCAGGGGGTTGGACTAGATGACCCTCGGGGTCCCTTCCAGCTCCACAACTCTATGATTCAATAGCTTCTGATGCTCGGCCCCTGAACCACTGCCCTTGCTTGGTCTGGCGTGCAGAGGATTGCAGCCATCGCCTACTCCAGGATCTGTTGTCCTCTCTCCGCAGAATTCTCCTGCCTCTGAGTTATCTCTCTCTCTTTTCCCCCCACACCTGCAGGCGTCTCACCTCTGCTGAGTCAAAACGTCCAGGGAAGGAGAGGAACTGGAGGAATGGATGGCACGCAGCTGAGTCAGGTAAGGGATTTTGTGGGTGGTTTGCGGTTCGTGCCCCAATCATCCCTCAAACCCAGCCAAAACTTGTTGGGTTGTTGTTGTTTTTTAAAGAGATATGCCTGGGGCACTTTTTCCTCTCTCTCTACCTCGGCTTCTAGTCTAGCCTGTGTATAACGGGATAAATTCCTGCTTTTAAAAACATATCTATACAGTGGTACCTCAGGTTACATACGCTTCAGGTTACATACGCTTCAGGTTACAGACTCCACTAACCCAGAAATACTACCTCGGGTTAAGAACTTTGCTTCAGGATGAGAACAGAAATCGCGTGGTGCTAGCGGGAGGCCCCATTAGCTAAAGTGGCGCTTCAGGTTAAGAACAGTTTCAGGTTAAGAACGGACCTCCGGAACGAATTAAGTATGTAACCAGAGGTGCCACTGTATATTATTGCATTTATTTCCCATCTTTTGCTCTGTGGAACTCAAGGTGACATCTCTGCCCCCCCCCCATTTAAACCCCACAACAACCTTGTGAGGTAGAGAGACTGGCCCAAGATTGCCCCGTGATCACTAGTCCAACACTCTTAAGTACACCTTTTCTCAACCGGTTTTTCTGCAAAGGCGAATGACGCTGGTGCCGTGAGTCCTTGCATAAGGTGGAAGAGACAGGGAAACTCAGTGGTGAATCAGCGAAGGAAGGCAGTGTGGTGCAGTGGTTAGGGTGTTGGACTAAGACCCTGGAGACGAGAGTTTGAATCCCCACTCAGCTGTGAAGCTCACTTGGTGGCCTTTGTCTCCCAGTCTAACCCACTTCGCTGCGTTGTTGATAACAGGGAGTACTGTGAATGCCACCAAGAGCTCCTTTAAAGGAAAGGTGCAAATAATAACAATAATAATAATGTGCTATAGGATCCCCGAGCCCTTAAAATCCAGCTTGTTTATGAAGATCACCTGAAGAGGTGCTTTTAATTGGTCCTTGTTTTAAAGAGGTCCACTTTGCCTCTGGTAGAAGGTGGGTGTTTAGGGTACACAATCGCCTGCTATGTAACTGCTTTCCCAGCAGAGATTTGGCAAAAGCTTTTGACTTTCAGGAGTCTCTCAAAGACATTTTTATTGCCAGCTGGACTTCTTGCTGATTATATTTTCTACTTTAAAAAAAAAATGGATTAGCCTGTCACCTTAAGGATTCTTTTAATTGTGTTTTGTATTTTAATGTTGTGCGCTGCCCTGAGATATATAGATACAAACAGACACACGAGCACACACAAATATATATATATATGTATATATAGATGGAACATTGCAGAAATACTTTCATAAATAAATATTCGCAGCCTTTAAAATACCCACAAGCAGCAAAGTGAGTAGTTCTGCCTATAAATTATCTCCTGGAAGTGCCTTCAAAACGTATCCTGACTTTTAAATTAATTGTTTTATTGTTTATGAAATTTGTATACCTCTTTTCCATCCGTAGCTCTTAGGGCAGTTCACAACACAAAAACACAAAATACATCATAAAAACAAAAAGTGCCCCACTAGTGATGTGAGGTGAGAATATTCTCTGGAGAATATTCTCCACAAACTGTAAATTCTGTGTCGTCTACACAGCTGCTTTAAATGTACACACCTCATTAATCGAGAACATTCTCCAAAACATTATTCTTGAGAATTTAACATCACTACCCGCCACAAACCAGTAACCCCCCCCTTCCCCCTTTGTTGCCACCAGCAACCCTGCTAACTGCTTTTTTGTTTTTTCCAGGTTGTTGAGGCTCTGGGAGACAGGTGAGCTTGAATTATGGGTACAGGGGATTCTTACTGCGGGTTTCACCTTCAGCGGAGCTGGAAAGGGACCTCAAATGTGGGGTGGTCAGACCATGGGGTAGGGACACGTCTTGTATCTGATGCTGCCTGGAACCAGGCAAAGGGCCTTCTCGGTGGTGGCGCCTGCCCTGTGGAACTCCCTCCCACCAGATGTCAAAGAAATAAACCACTATCTGACTTTTAGAAGACATCTGAAGGCAGCCCTGCTTAGGGAAGCTTTTAATGTTTGATGAATTGTTCTATTTTAATATTTTGCTGGAAGGTGCCCAGAGTGACTGGGAAACCCAGCCAGATGGACAGAGTATAAATAAATTATTATTGTTATCATTATGCCTGTCTTGAACATCCTTCTCTGTCTCTTTTCTCCAGCAAGGAAGGCATCAAGCTTCCCCCAAAAACCAAACTATTTCTGGTGGAGTCGAAACAGGGAGCCGGTGCTCATTTGGAGGAAAAGTCTGCCTTTCAGGAGGAGCTCCTTGGATGCAAAGGTTGAATATGAGTCTTTCTTGATTCTGCTCCAGCCATGGTGCAAAAGTGGTTTGGGGTGGGTGGAGATTGCAGTTCCTCATCCTTACCCCGCTCCCTGCAAGTCCATAACCATGGCTGAAAAGTATACAGTGGTACCTCGGATTACAGATGCTTCAGGTTACATACACTTCAAGTTACAGACTCCGCTAACCCAGAAATAGTACCTCAGGTTAAGAACTTTGCTTCAGGATGAGAACAGAAATCGTGCTCCGGCGGCGGGGCGGCAGCAGGAGGCCCCATTAGCTAAAGTGGTGCTTCAGGTTAAGAACAGTTTCAGGTTAAGTACGGACCTCCGGAACGAATAAAGTACTTAACCCGAGGTACTACTGTACATACATATACAGTGGTACCTCGGTTTTCGAACGTAATCTGTTCCGGAAGACCGTTCGAGTTCTGAAACCTTCGAAAACTGAAAACTCAACAGCCAGCAGATAGGCCTCAGGATCTTGCACTCAGCGGAAGCCGCGTGGCATGTTCGACTTCCAAGGCATGTTCGAAAACCAAATTGTTCATCAACAGAGACGTTCGAAAACAGAGGTACCACTGTACATATATGTAATTTTTTATAATTTTATAAAAAATTATAAAAATGTCATCCCTGTGTGTGAGACCACTTTAACTTTCAGGATACCAGTGTTACAGAATATTCATTCTGCGCTTGTAAGAAATTTGTCTTTTTCCATGGTAACATTTTAACTTTGGAACTACCTGCCTATTAGCGTCAGGCAGCCACCTTTACTGAACTGTTTTCAGCTTGAAATATTTATCTTTAGGCAAGCCTATCTAGACACATAGATGTTGACATGTCTTAATCTCTTTTCCTGATAAGTTTAATTATTTTTAAATCTTATGTTGATCATCTTAATATTTCTTGTAAGTGACTTAGAGGCTACAATCGAGTGATATATATATATATAGATATATATATATGATAAATTTTTATTTATACCCCGCCCTTCCCGGTTCAAAAACTGGGCTCAGGGCGGCTAACAACAAATTTAAAACACTTAATTGATGCAACAAAAAAACAGCATAAAATACGGTATAAAACGTGAATAACAATAAGTTCAGAATTGAAAAATCAATTTAGGGGGAAAATACATCCAATAAACATTAGATGATCACCAGGGCTGGCTGGCTAAATTAGTCCCACTTGGGCCAGCAAGGAGACCAGGGGAGAATTAGCTGTGGGATCCCAGAGCGGGTAATCTTCATAAAAAGGGGAGGGAGAGGGAAGGAAGGGGAACAAAAGATCAGGCTAAGTTCAAGTTGAAAACCTGGCAGAATACCTCTGTCTTACAGGCCCTGCGGAAGGAAGTTAAATCCTGCAGGGCCCTGGTCTCACGGGACAGAGCATTCCACCAGGTCGGAGCCATCACTGAGAAGGCCCTGGCCCTGGCGGAGGATAATCTAACTTCCTTAGGGCCCGGGACCTCTAAGCTATGGTTATTCATGGACCTTAAGGTCCTCTGTGGGGCATACCAGGAGAGGCGGTCCTGTAAATATAATATATATTATGTTGTTGAATAAATTAAATTAATCTCCTAGGCTGTTTATCTGCGTTTGGTCAGGCTGTCCCTAATTTGCAGGGTCTCTCTTGTTTTTTAAATGGACATGGAATCATAGAAGGGACACTGAGGGTCACCTTGTTCAACCCCCTGCAATGCAGGAATCTCAACTAAAGCCCTAAATGGCCTCAGCCCAGTTTACCTATAGCAGCATCTCCACCCCCATCCTTCAGCCTGAGGTCCAGCTCCGAGGGCCTTCTGGCGGTTCCCTCCCTGTGAGAAGTGAAGTTACAGGGAACCAGGCAGAGGGCCTTCTCGGTAGTGGCACCCACCCTATGGAACACCCTCCCACCAGATGTCAAGGAAATAAACATCTATCTGACTTTTAGAAGACATCCGAAGGCAACGCTGTTTAAGGAAGTTTTTAATGTTTGATGTTTTATAGTATTTTTAATATTTTGTTGGGAACCACCCAGGGTGGGTAGGGTATAAATATATTATTATTATTATTATTATTAATGACAGAGGACCATCCAACTTCTGCTTAAAAACCTTCAATGAAGGAGAGTTCACTGCACATCTATGTCTGACTAGATGTTCAAATGAAGCAATTTTTAATGCATGAGTTAACTGTGCCTCTTGCAGAGGAACCTTTGATGAATTCCAGGACTGGACTGTTACCAAACTTGCTGCTAATCATGCTTATTTTACTACAGTGTTACCTCGGGTTAAGTAATTAATTCATTCTGGAGGTCCGTTCTTAACCTGAAACTGTTCTTAACCTGAAGCACCACTTTAGCTAATGGGGCCTCCCGCTGCCAGAGCACAATTTCTGTTCTCATCCTGAAGCAAAGTTCTTAACCTGAGGTACTATTTCTGGGTTAGCGGAGTCTGTAACCTGAAGTGTATGTAACCTGAAGCGTATGTAACCCGAGGTACCACTGTATCCTCTTGAATTATATACCCAGCACATGAAACCTTACAAAAGGACAATACGAGTGGACTCTCTGAGCCCTAACCGCGGCAAAAAGACTGATACTGATGAATTAGAAAAAATAAAAATGCAGCAAAGTTCTTAAGCTGAGGTACTATTTCTGGGTTAGCAGAGTCTGTAACCTGAAGCATATGTAACCTGAGGTACCGCTGTATCTCTCTTTTTCAATAGGTCAAGGGTTGACAACCGAGGAGAACAGCGACGAAACAACTCGCAGTGCAGACAGTTCTGGGAGATGGTTAGGAAAAGCCAAAAACACCGTTTTCCCGGCTCCTCGGCAGGACATGACTTTGGAAAACGAGCAAAAGCAAAAGGGGACACCTCCAGGAAGAGAAGGCCGAAACAAGTCAGTCCTTCGTGCGGCCGGCAACAAAGTCAGCGCCAACAAGAGGCAACTGGCGTGCAGCAAGTGTGGGAAAGGCTTCAGCAACAGCTCGAACCTTATCGCTCACGAGAGAATCCACACTGGCGAGAAGCCCCACAAGTGCCCGAGCTGTGGGAAGAGCTTTGGTAAGAAATCGACCCTCGTCGCTCACGAGAGAATCCACACCGAGGAGAAACCGTACGAGTGTTCGGTGTGCGGGAGAAGCTTCAGCCAGACCTCGAGCCTCGTCGCCCACGAGAGGATCCACACGGAGGAGAAGCCGTACGAGTGCTCCAAGTGCGGAAGGAGCTTCAGTTTAAAATCGAGCCTGGTCGCCCACGAGAGGATCCACACGGGCGAGAAGCCATACAAGTGCTCCGACTGTGGGAAAAGCTTCAGCCAGAAGTCCGCCCTCATCCCGCACGTGAGGACCCACAAGGGGGAAAAGCCCTACACCTGCTCAGCCTGCGGCAAAGGCTTCAGCCAGAGCTCGAACCTTATTGCACACGAGAGAATCCACACGGGGGAGAAACCTTATCAGTGCGCGAACTGCGGCAGGAGTTTCAACTGCAGCTCCAGCCTTATCAGGCACCAGAGGATCCACACGGAGGACAAGCCGTACGACTGCTCGGACTGCGGGAAAAGCTTCGGCTGCAGCTCCAGCCTCAACAGGCACCAAAGGACTCACACGGGAGAGAAACCCTACGAATGCTCGGATTGCGGCAAAACCTTCAGCGTCAGCTCGCAGCTCAGTGTGCACCAGAGGACGCACACCGGAGAGAAGCCCTTTGAGTGCTCGGCTTGCGGGAAAAGTTTCAGCGTGCGATCGAGCCTGAACGCCCACGAGAAAATCCACACGGGGAAGAAACCGTACAAGTGCGGGGACTGCCCTACGAGCGTCTACTTGAAATCCAGCCTCAACGCACACAAGAAACTGCACCGAGGCGAGAAGCCGTACGACTGCGCCGAGTGCGGGAAGAGCTTTTCCTGCAGCTCCAGCTTCCTCCGACATCAGAGAATCCACACCGGAGAGAAACCGTACAACTGCGCCGACTGCGGGAAGAGCTTCACTCTGAACTCGAACCTTATCACTCACCAGAGAACCCACACGGGCGAGAAGCCCTACCAGTGCCGGGACTGCGGTAAGTTTTTCAGCGTGAGTTCGCAGCTCAACGTTCACCAGCGGACACACACGGGCGAAAAGCCCTTTGAATGCTCGGACTGCAGCAAGTGTTTCACCTGTAGCTCCGCCTTGATTCGACACCAACGGACCCACACGGGAGAGAAACCCTACCAGTGCTCCGAGTGCGGGAAAAGGTTCAACCTGAGTTCGAACCTTATCGCTCATCAGAAAACCCACACGGGAGAGAAGCCGTATAAATGCATGTATTGCGGTGAGAGCTTCTATACGAGGCCGCATTTTGTCGAGCACCATAAAACCAGCCACCTAGAGGCTATAAATGCGAAAACAGACGACAGCAAAGCTCATCGTGACTCCCAGTCCATCAAGTACCAGATAAACTATGTAGGCTGGGATTGACAAATTGACTGAGAAAAGCGTAGTGGCAGAGCTGATGGGAGGTTGTACACTGCTCTCCTGTGTTTTGCAAAATAAAAATCCATGTTTCTTCCGTATCAGCCTTGCCAGAGACATTATTTCAGATGTAAACTCCTGTCGGGTTCTAGACATCAAATAAAGGTGCGGAAACAGGGCTTAATATTTTTTTAAGGGGCTGGAGAGATGAGCCAGCTCTTTTTATTAGGATCTTGTATGGAGCTAGAACAGGGAGGTCCAACGCACAAGGCCTTTTTTGGCTGCCCTCAGCAGCATTTGACACCCTCCCTCCACCCCTCCACCCTCACACTACCTTCCCAAAGCTGGGTAAGCGAGGAAAAAATGCAAAACCAAAAATCCATCCTCTGCCCCTGTTTCAGCATTTCTACATCATGTTTCTTAAGAAGGCAAAAAGGCCCGGAGCAGTCAAAACAGAAAAGGATTGTGCATCTTTTTTTTTTTTGTTAGCCTCCTTTAAAGGTTTATTGAAAAGTCAAGAAGGATGTTTTAACAGAAAATAAAGAGTGCTGTTTGGGTAAAGGTAAAGGGACCCCTGACCATTAAGTCTAGTTGTGAACGACTCTGGGGCTGCGGCGCTCATCTCGCTTTATTGGCTGAGGGAGCTTCCGGGTCATGTGGCCAGCATGACTAAGCCGCTTCTGGCGAACCAGAGCAGCGCACGGAAACGCCGTTTACCTTCCTGCCGGAGCGGTACCTATTTATCTACTTGCACTTTGACGTGCTTTCGAACTGCTAGGGTGGCAGGAGCAAGGACTGAGCAACGGGAGCTCACCCCGTCGCGGGGATTCGAACCACCAACCTTCTGATCGGCAAGCCCTAGGCTCTGTGGTTTAACCCACAGTGCCACCCGCGTCCCGCTGTTTGTGTAGGCACAGTTTATTTTTTAATTCTTGCTGGAAAACATATGCATACATACATCATCATCATCATCATCATCATCATCATCACAGACTTATTGCACTAGCCATAGGCCATGGCATCATTCAGAAAAATAACAAAAGGAAAAACAGCAATAACCATAAAAATCATCAGGCACCACACATACAATATAAACCACGGTCACAAGTACAGTGGTACCTTGGGTTACAGACGCTTCAGGTTACAGACTCCGCTAACCCAGAAATAGTACCTCGGGTTAAGAACTTTGCTTCAGGATGAGAACAGAAACCGTGCTCTGGCGGCGCGGCAGCAGCGGGAGGCCCCATTAGCTAAAGTGGTCTTCAGGTTAAGAACAGACCTCCAGAACAAATTAAGTTCTTAACCCGAGGTACCACTTTACTAAAATTGTTTGTTGCATAAAATAGAATAGCAGAAGATTCTCTAGTAAAATTAAATATCCGAATCCCCTTTGCAGTTGACCGCTATTTTATCTAGTTCTTTCCTCCTGACCTACTTAGCTGCCAACACACAGAGTGCTACTTTATAAGTTACGAAGTCATCAGTATCGCTCAGCAGCCATTTCCCCCTTTCTACCCTATTCAAGTGAGTTCCATTCGGAAACAGGGGTTTTATGAATCTGTCTCTTGGGTCTATATATAGCGGGCACTGCAGCAAATAGTGGCACAGGTCCTCCACACAGGGTTGCCCACACAGACAAAGCCTCTCTTCATAATGTACAGTGGTACCTCGCAAGACGAATGCCTCGCAAGACAAAAAACTCGCTAGACAAAAGGGTTTTTTGTTTTTTGAGCTGCTTCGCAAGACGATTTTCCCTATGGGCTTGCTTCGCAAGACGGAAATGTCTTGCAAGTTTGTTTTCTTTTTCTTAACATCGTTAATACAGTTGCTACTTGACTTCGAGGAGCAACTCATAGAACGCGGTGTGGTAGCCTTTTTTGAGGTTTTTAAAGACTTTGGTGATTTTTGAAGCTTTTCCAAAATTTTCCTGACACCGTGCTTCACAAGACGAAAAAAATCGCAAGACGACAAAACTCGCGGAACGAATTAATTTCGTCTTGCGAGGCACCACTGTACTTTGCCGTAGCATCCATCCAACACTGCCGAGGGCATCGATTGGAATTGTAATTCTGTGACACTCTTGGTAGAAGCCATCTGGCAGGGACCAAATCTCAGAGGTCAATTAAAAGTTGTGAAGAGATTAGACCACCTCCTGTACGTTTTGGAAACAGGAGCTGTTGTCACGATGAAACAATTTAAATGGCAAATTCACAAGATGAGCAATTGGGATCATTGTTTGATTATAATATGTGTTCTCTCTCTGTGCGTGTTTGGATCTAGAGGACGACATACATGTTTACACCATGTGAATACATAAAGAGGGCACCGTTGCATACAATCAGCTACAAAAACGGAGTCCTGTTTATACTGAAAATAAAATATCTGCAATGAAAGAATTGAGATGGTGATGTACTTTGCATTTAACCCTTCCTGTAATTTGGAAGGAAGATGTAGCCAACCTACTTTAATGTCTTTAATTGCGATGGGTCTGCAGCCACTGTTGTCACCATTGTTGTTAATAATACAGTAATAATAATAATAATAATCAGTGCTTTTTTTTCTAAAATAATGTTTAGGGGTACTCTCATTTTCCTACTCATATTGGAATACTGCCCCTCAATGAGGCCAAACTTAGATTCACAAAATGTTTAGACCACAAGGTCTGAGGGACAGTGGACCGGCCCCCTGCTGAAAAAGTTTGCTGACCCCTGTCTTAAGGCTTGCTTGAGAGCTGGTTTCCCCGGTCAGTTGGCAACCCCCGGCTCCTCTGCCCGTCCCCGCAAGAGGGCTCTGAGCATCCTTGAGGCGCCTGGCGGCAGCCGCGGTCCTTCTCTCTCCGGTGGGGGCGGAGCTTCGCCCGGCGGCGCCCAATCGCTGCGGAGAACGGAGAGAAGGAGGCACATCAAAGGGAGAGGAGATCAAAGCGCTTGGCGGCGCCTCCTCCGCCTCCGCGGAGACAAAAGCGGGGAGCATCCGCGGACCGGGGTGGGGGCAGCTCTTGCTCCCCTCTTCCTCCTCCTCCTCCAGATCAGGGGATCTGTTTGGGGGAGGCCTCGGGTAGATCCCTGTCGTTGCAAGGCTTGCTGCTTCAGGATGGAGAAAATCACTTTTTGCACAGGGCAGCCATTGAACTGCTCGGCCTCTTCCTGAAAACCTTCCCCTTCCTCCTTATTCTGCTCCTCCTCGTCCAGCTGCCCCACGTTCCCTACATCGGCTTTATTCCGCATCATCGGTGGGGGGGAGTGGGAGCACCCTGGAACCTGCTCAGGTAAGTTTGGGCCAGAGGTGGTGGGTTTTCACCTGCGCCCCCCCCCCTTTCTGGGCATTCCCCCCCCTTTGGGGTCAAAACCCCTGCGCTGGGCGGCTTCCAACCGAATATTAAAAACAATACAGTGTCAGACATTCCCTAAACAGGGAATCAGTTGTCAGGCCATCAGTTGTCTTTTAAAAGTAAAATAGTTGTTTATTGCCTTGACATCTGCTGGGAGGGCGTTCCACAAGGCAGGCACCACTACTAAGAAGGCCCTCTGCCTGGTTCCCTGTAACCTTGCAGGGAGGGAACCACCAGAAGGCCCTCGGTGCTGGACCTCAGTGTCTGGGCTGGATGATGGGGGTGGAGACACTCCTTCAAGTATACAGGACCAAGGCTGTTTAAGGCTTTAAAGGTCAGCACCAACACTTTGAATTGTGCTTGGAAACGTACTGGGAGCCAATGAAGATCTTTCAGGACCGGTGTTATATGGTCTCGGCGGCCGCTCCCAGTCACCAGTCTAGCTGCCACATTCTGGATTCGTTGTAGTTTCCAGGTCACCTTCAAAGGTAGCCCCACAGAGAGCGCATTGCAGTAGTCCAAGCGAGAGATAACCAGAGCATGCACCACTCTGGTGAGACAGTCTATGGGCAGGTAGGGTCTCAGCCTACGTACCAGATGGAGCTGGTAAACAGCTGCCCTGGACACAGAATTGACCTGCTCCTCCATGGACAGCTGCGAGTCCAAAATGACTCCCAGGCTGCGCACCTGGTCCTTCAGGGGCACAGTTACCCCATTCAGGACCAGGGAGTCCTCCACACCAGCCCTCCCCCTGTCCCCCAAGAACAGTATTTCTGTCTTGTCAGGATTCAACCTCAATCCATTAACCGCCATCCATCCTCCAACCGCCTCCAGACACTCACACAGGACCTTCACCGCCTTCACTGGTTCTGATTTAAAAGAGAGGTAGAGCTGGGTATCATCCGCATACTGATGAACACCCAGCCCAAACCCCCTGATGATCTCTCCCATTGGCTGCATGTAGATGTTGAAAAGCATGGGGGAGAGGACGGAACCCTGAGGCACCCCACAAGTGAGAGCCCAGGGGTCTGAACACTCATCCCCCACCACCACTTTCTGGACACGGCCCTGGAGGAAGGAGCGGAACCACTGTATGACAGTGCCCCCACCTCCCAGCCCCTCAAGACGGTCCAGAAGGATGTTATGGAGCTCAGCTTTTCATCTATTGGGGCTTTCTGCCAGTACTTTAGGTGTCTATGGGCAATGAGACTGTGTGTTGGACCCCTTGTAAGAAAATCCTCCAGCCTCTCCTTTCCCCGTCACACTGTGCAATTTTGCTCAGTGCGAGACCACTTCTGTGAGATTTTTAAGCGGAGGCAGCATGGCTGCCTGTCAGGTCTGATCCAGTTGAGATTCCTGCATTGCAGGGGGGGCGGGTTGGACTAGATGACCCTCGGGGTCTCTTCCAACCCTACAGTTCTGTGATTCTACGTACAAAGGTCCCAGGTTGAATCCCCAGCATCTCCAGGTAGGACAGCGGGATAGCTCAGTTGGTAGAGAAATAGACTCTTTAGGGTTGTGGGTTTGAGCCCCACGTTGGGCAAAAGATTCCTGAATCGCAAGGGGTTGGACTAGATGACCCTCAGGTCCCTACTGACTCTACAATTCTGTGGTTCTACTGCAGAGAAAGGGACGCAGGTGGTGCTGTAGGTTAAACCACAGAGCCTAGGACTTGCTGATCAGAAGGTTGGCAGTTCGAATCCCCGCGACGGGGTGAGCTCCCGTTGCTCGGTCCCACCTCCTGCCAACCTAGCAGTTCAAAAGCACATCAAAGTGCAAGTAGATAAATAGGTACCACTCCGGCAGGGAGGTAAACGCCGTTTCTGTAGGCTGCTCTGGTTCGCCAGAAGCGGCTTAGTCATGCTGGCCACATGATCCAGAAGCTGTACGCCGGCTCCCTCGGCCAATAAAGTGAGATGAGCCCTGCAACCCCAGAGTCGGCCACGGCTGGACCTAATGGTCAGGGGTCCCTTTACCTTTACTGCAGAGAAAGCCTCTGTGTTTGAAACCCTGGAAAGCTGCTGCCAGTTAGTGTGCGCAGCACTGGGCTAGTTGTTCCTGTTTAAAGCAGCAGCCCTTTTTTCTCAGCTGTGAGGTTCGGAATCTCACAATTATATTTGAGGCACATAGCTCACTTGCTTTGCAGGCGGAAGATTCCCAGGTTCTCAGATTCCATCATCTCAACGAAGGGCTGGGAATTTCTGCTGCCTGAAACCTGGGAAAACCAATCATTATGCTCACCCCTTGCTCTTTCCAAAAGGGACACCCTGCGCCTTTAACTGCTACCTGCCAGGCAGAAATACAACAGGGAAAGCCTCTCTCCACTGACTGAGCAGTATTTCTTATTTCCCTCTGAAAAGATGCTGGAGACCCTGCCTCATCCAAGGAGACCGAGCGAAGATGCTTCAGAGGACCAAAGGATGAGCAAGGAACTGCTGGTAGGCCCATTTGCCGTACTATCATTATGTATGAAGAAATCCATAATGTTGATATGAAATATGTCTGCATAAAATATTTTGAGTGCCTACAGAGGTACATTGCTCTGGCAATCAAGCCTATTGTGAAAGTGCTTGCTCTGTGCTATTTAACTAGTGCTTAATGCCAAAATAGGCTTCTAAGCAATTTTCAAAATATAATAGGGTCGCCATATCTTAAAAAGTGATTATTATTATTATTTATTCAACTTATACACCACCCTACACCCGGAGGTCTCAGGGTGGTTCACAACAAAACACAAAAGTTGTTGAGCTTTTTTGGCGAAATCTCAAAAAGAAAAAACACTACCGACATGGGCTGAATACCAGCCGTGTCTGGGAAACTCCAGACATATGGCAACCCTAAAATATAACAACAATTGGGCAATCATTAAAATGTGGTGGTATATACATGTCATTTTTGAGTGTTTAAAGCTGTTTCATTGAAACGTCTCAGCAACAAGTGTGCGGAAATCTGGTTTTCAACAGGTCATATAACCATTCTTCAAGGAACTTAGATTTTGAAAGTCTACTTTAAGTGATTTTCTGCCAAGAAAATCTCCTCTTCTTGGGCGAGGTTCTCGAACGGGTGGTTGTGGACCAGATCCAGTAGGCGCTCTTGGAGGAAACCGATTTTCTGGATCCATTTCATTGGGGTTTAGGACCGGTTTTAGGACAGAAACTGCTTGGGTCGCCCTGGACGGTTACCTCTGTTGAGAGAAAGATGGGGAAATAGGTCCTTGTTAATTCTCCTCTGTCTCAGCTGCTTTCAGTACCATTGACCATGGTATCATTCAGAAGTTTGGCTATCCTTGTTGGGCCACCAGGAATACACATATAGAGGGTCTTTCACTGCTCTCAAAGGGAAAGGAATGGAGTGGGCTTTGGCTGTGTCTGTGTGAGCGGGAGAAGGAGAGAAAATGTGGTGTGTTTTTTTGTGCATAGGAAAGAGAACCGGGGGGGAGGGGGGAATCTGCTTCCCAGCCTTGTGCAGTGTCACTCAGAAGCAAGCTTAATTTTTCTGCGAAACATGCTTCACCCTCCTTTTTTAATCGCAGAGGAAGGCAGACGTGGAGAGGGAGGAAATTGTCCAAGAATGGAAGGATCTCTGTCGTTTTCTGGAAGAACAGAAGCAGCAGCTGATCTGGTGGCTGGAAAGTCTTGCAGGGAACATCATCGAGATAAGGGGGCAAAGTCCGTCCGTGGAGACCCATCCACCAAGCGAAACAGGGGGGTCGCAGGAGCATATTGACTGCCGGCAGGTGAGACTTCTTCCTTTTTTGGAAATGATTTTTATTTGATTAAAAAAAATAAACAAGATATAGCAAAATCATTTATAAGTCCATATACTCTGAATCTCGCGACTTCTCCCCCCCACTCTCCGTGGGTCCTAATGCTAATATTTACGCCTGCATATCAATTCATTGTCCAGATATCTTGTCCCTCTAAATTATCTATACTTTTTGTTAGTTACTTTACAAGTGTGGTTAAAATTCTGCTAATGTTTTCATCTGTTTACAATGGCCTCGTAGATATATTACAAATTTTCCCCATTCTTTTTTAAAGATCTTGTCCTCTTGGTTTCTGAGCTTCCCGGTTAATTTTGCCATTTCAGCATAGTCCATGAACTTGGTTTGCCATTCTTCCATGGTTGAGATTGTTTTTTCTTCCCATCTCTGGGCTAATAACATCCGTGTGGCTGTTGCCGCATACATGAAATGTATTTTCTGGTCATTTGGAATCTCGGTACCTATAATTCCTAATAAAAAAAGCTTCTGGTTGTTTTTAACAAAGGTTATTTTAAACATTTCCCCCCCAATTCATCTAAAATCATCTCCCAGAAGGTTTTAGTTGCCTTACACATCCACCACAAGTGATAAAAGGTACCGTCTTTGTCTTTACATTTCCATCAGGTGTTTCTACTTGTTCTGTACATTTTCCCTAACTTGTTGTTGTTGTTGTTTAGTCGTTTAGTCATGTCGGATTCTTTGTGACCCCATGGACCAGAGCACGCCAGGCACTCCTGTCTAGGAATGCATGCTCTGTGGCTTTAACCGTTAAAGGGCCAAACTGGGGCAGAAGTAGCCCTTTCCTGGCTTTCCCCCAGTTCAATGCCATGCCCTCCAACATTTCTCCAATGAAAATTGTTGTTGTTGTTTAGTCGTTTAGTCGTGTCCAACTCTTCATGACCCCATGGACCAGAGCACGCCAGGCACTCCTGTCTTCCACTGCCTTCTGCTGTTTGGTCAAACTCATGTTGGTAGCTTCGAGAACACTGTCCCACCATCTCGTCCTCTGTCGTCCCCTTCTCCTTGTGCCCTCCATCTTTCCCAACATCAGGGTCTTTTCCAGGGAGTCTTCTCTTCTCATGAGGTGGCCAAAGTATTGGAGCCTCAGCTTCAGGATCTGTCCTTCCAGTGAGCACTCAGGGCTGATTTCCTTCAGAATGGAGAGGTTTGATCTTCTTGCAGTCCATGGGACTCTCAAGAGTCTCCTCCAGCACCAGAATTCAAAAGCATCAATTCTTCGGCGATCAGCCTTCTTGATGGTCCAGCTCTCACTTCCATACATCACTACTGGGAAAACTTCCTAACTTAGTAGGAGTCAAATACTACCGGTATATCATTTTCATATCATTTTCTTTCAGCGTACAACATGCCGTCTATTTCAAATCTGTTTTCCGTAGCCTCTCCCAATCTGCTGGCAGGTGAGACTTTGCCAATCCAGTGAAAAGACGGGACTGCTTCTTGCTCGTCCATTCATTGGAGAGACAGTGCTGTCTACCAGTTAGAGTGTCCTGGGACCTGGGAGACCAGGGTTCGAGTCCTCACTCGGCCACGATGAAGCCTTGAGCCCAGTCACAGCCTCTCAGCCTCACCAACCTCACAGGGTTGTTGTGGGGGGAGGAAAGGAGGATTAATTCTTTTTTTATTCCAAGATGAGCCTATTTGCATGCATCCTGTTGCTTCAGCATAGTATCTGCAATGCAGACTGTTCACCCAAGTCGTTCCTGTTGTCGTCTCTTCCCTCCAGGCCACTGGCAGTTCCAGCAGCAGACAAGGAAACTTCCTCGAGGTGGAACTGAGGCTTCACCATTTCTCTGAGAGGAGGAAGGCCGTCTTGGGAGAGGCGCTGAACTGCTTCCGAGGTGAGCAGGGGTCTTCTGAGTTCTCTCTTGGGCAGCGAGACGCCCATCAAAGCTCTAGTGAAGGCAATTTGCACCTGGTCCTCCACCCCAGTGCAACTGAAAAGGTGCTGGGCTCACCGTGAAATTGTTACAGTATGTGCCACACTTTTAGCCAGTACTATGTACCCTTGAGGCCCCCCCCACCCGAAAGAAACACTGATTATTATTATTTAAAAGACTGATATACAGCTCTGCATCAAAAGATCTCAGAGAGGTTCACAACATAAAAACACAAGTACGGCAATTAAAGCAAAAACAACTAAACGATAGCCCACGCTACTTTATGTCTGTTAAACATTAAAAGCTTCCCTAAACAGGGCTGCCTTCAGATGTCTTCTAAAAGTCTGGTAGTTCTGTTTCTCTTTGACATCTGGTGGGAGGGTGTTCCAAAGGGCAGGTGCCACTACCGAGAAGGCCCTCTTCCGGGTTTGATTGTTTGGGAGCCAAAACATTTGAGATCTAGGCTGTCCGACTTCCAAGGTACAACTTTGTTGCCATAGCTCAAACCAGGGCATTGCCGGTATTTCTGCTTCCAGAATCCAGTGCAGACAAAAAGAGAAATGGCTTGAGTATGCACTTATACCTTTTAAAATGCATTATTTCCCTCAAAGAATTCTGGGCACTTGTTGAGGGTTGCTTAAGGTTTATGATGAGGCTATCTGTTTCCCTTGAGGAAGGTGGAATGTGTGTTGATCAGAATACAAAAAAAAAGCAGTTTCTCTCTTTGCCTTGTTTCCAGAGTCCCTGAAGATGGAGCTCGAAAGTCTGATTGGTACGTCCCTGGCTCTGACGGGACCAAAGGGGTGTTTCGTTTTATAAATAACAGCCGAAACAGTGTGTGAAGCCCTCTTTCGACTTGGGATCCCCAGCGGCTGCCGTTCAGAGGCACCTACCACCTCTGACACTGGGGACACAGCCGAGCTGCCTGCTACTAGCGAAATGCTTGAACTTGCTCTCTGCTACTAGCAACTTACTTGTCCGCGGCTTTTCAAACTGTTTATGGGGAAGGCAGGGGTGGGGTGGGAGAGGACAGGATGAAATCTGAACGATGCCTTTTTTTTGCAGCTCCTCCCTTTCTTCCGGAGTCTCGTTTTAAAGACTCAAGAACATTCCCCCCATCTGGCTCGGGAAAATTTCCTTGGGAGCAACGTGAAATGGAAACAGACGCAGGATCTGTAGTTCAGGTGAGGGTGTTTATTCCCTCCTTACCACCCTTGCCCTGACCTCGCCACTGTGATCCACGCGACGGTCACCTCCAGACTTGATTATTGTAACTCGCTCTATGTGGGGCTGCCCTTGGGACTGACCCAGAAACTCCAGCGGGTGCAGAATGCCGCGGCGAGGCTCCTTACGGGGTCCTCACCGTGGGATTACATTCACCCGGTGCTATACCAGCTGCACTGGCTCCTGGTGGAGTGCAGGATCAGGTTTAAGGTGCTGGTTTTGACCTTTAAAGCCCTATACAGCCTAGGACCCTCGTACCTACGGGACCGCCTCTCCTGGTATGTCCCACAGAGGACCTTAAGGTCCACAAATGACAAGATCTTGGAGGTCCCAAGTTGAAGGTGGTTAGATTGGTCTCAACTAGGGCCAGGGCCTTTTCAGTACTGGCCCCAACTTGGTGGAACGCTCTGTCACAAGAGACTAGGGCCCTGCGGGACTTGACATCTTTCCGCAGGGCCTGCAAGACAGAGCTGTTCCACCAGGCCTTTGGCCAAGGCACAGTGTGACCCCCTCCTTTGGTAATCCTCACAGAACTCTAGCCGAATGGTTGCTATTATTTTGATTCTGAATTGATTTTAGAATGTATTTCAATTAATTGACTGTGACTTTATGTAAACTGCTATTTTACTGTTGTTAGCCGCTCTGAGCCTGGCTTTGGCTGGGGAGGACGGGATATAAATAAAAAAAATATTATTATTATTATTATTATTATTATTATTATTATTATGCTACTGGGCAGTGTGAGCAGCTTTGGAGGCAGAATGTCAGGACTCAGCTATACAGCTGCAAATATAATTGCTTTAAGTATGTTTAAAGTGCATTATAAAATTGTGACACCAGATGGCGCTGGTGAGCTAATGGCAAATTCCATACAGATTTCAAAACGTGTTTTTTTTAAAGCATATTCACAGCATTTTTTTTTATATAGTGTGTAGATTTGGCCCAAGTATTCTAAACATCACACACACACACCAGCCTGGTTACCCGAGTCTGATCACAAATGCCGATTTCATTCCCAGAATCTGCTGAAGTTTGAGGACGTGGCTGTGGATTTTACAGATGGCGAGTGGGACCTTTTGGACGCCCACCAAAGGACCCTCTACAAGGATGTCATGCAAGAAAACTACGAGAACACGACCTCACTGGGTAAGAGGGCAGGTCTGGGTTTTAAACCATCGGCCGCGGGGAAAGCTTTCTATTTCTTTACCAAAACGTCTGCACTGCTTGACCGCTGTAAAATGTCTAAGCGGTTTACAGGAAATATTAAAAGATGTTAATAGCCGATAATTGGAAAGGAAATTATGTTCTAACCAAAGAAGAATGGTTGAATAAATTATGCGAATCCTTGGAATTAGCAGAGTTAACTGATTTGATAAGACAAAAACCAAAAAATATAATCCAGAAACAATGGAAATGTTTAAATGATTATTTATGTAGACAAAGATTAAATGTAAGGTATTGGTTGTGTTCAGAATAGATTTATGAAAGATTTAGAAAACTTATTGATTAGAATATTTGTGTGAGATTGTATTGGAAAAATACGGAATAACAGATACAGTCTTGCTTAAAATGTATATAGGAAGTGCAGTGTGAGCGATGGAAGTCAATCAATGAAATTTTATTATTATTTTCATATTGAGATATTTGTAGAATAAATTTGGAATAAATTCTTCCACCTTTTCTCCTTTCCTCTTTATTTTTTCTTTTCTTCTTTTCTGTTCTTTTTTATATATGTGTGCTTATCTGAAATATATATGTATGTATTTGCAAAATTTTTCTTACATTTTGTAATACCGTATTTTTCGCTCTATAAGACGCACCAGACCATAAGATGCACATAGTTTTTTGAAGAGGACAACAAGAAAAAAAATATTCTGAATCCCAGAAGCCAGGACAGCCAGCGGGATTGCAGTGCAGCGATCCCACTGACTGTCCTGGCTTATGGGATAGCTACGCGCAGCCTCTCTCGGGCAGGGGGTGAAGGCTCCCATTGCCCAGGAGAGGCTGTGCACGGCCAAGCAAGAAGCCAGGACAGCAGCGGGATTGCAGTGCTTTGGGGAACTGCAGGAAGGCAGAGAACTTTGGTCCCCACAACTGCCTCATAGGGGCAAGATCTACAGGGACGAGTTGCCGCGCTCATGAGGCCTGGCCTCGTGAACCAACCTCGTTACTTTATGAGACGAGTGATTGTTTTGCTGGCCTGCTCCTGACAGGTGTTGTCTGGGGAGGCCAAACAGAGTGACCCGGAGGGTCCAGGGTTCCCCACACCTTCTGTAGACTCAGAAATAACTGTGACTTCCTCCTCTTCTCCCCTGGCTTCCTTCCTGACCAGTTCTGGCCATCACCAAGCCGGGCACGATCTCTCGGCTGGAACAAATGGACGAGCTGCCAGCAACGGATCTCCACAGCGCCAGGGACCACGTAGGAGGTATGCCATTCAGACGTAATATTTGCTGGGAAGGGGAAGGCGATGATAATATGGGATGGGATTCTGGGCAGTGGGAGGGTTTGTACCCATTGGTGGTCTGGAGCGCAGCAAGGTTGTTTCAACCCTGCTGTGTCTCAAGTCGCTTTCTTGATAATAATAATAATAATTTATTATTTATACCCCACCCATCTGGCTGGGTTTCCCCAGCCACTCTGGGCGGCTTCCAACAAAATACAGTGGTCTGTTAAACATTAAATCTGAAGGGCTGCCTTCAGATGTCTTCTAAAAGTCTGGTAGTTGTTTTTCTCTTTGACATCTGCTGGGAGGGCGTTCCACAGGGCGGGTGCCACTACCGAGAAGGCCCTCTGCCTGCTTCCCTGTAACCTCACTTCTCGCAGCGAGGGAACCGCCAGAAGGCCCTCGGAGCTGGACCTCAGTGTCCGGGTAGAACGATAGGGGTGGAGACGCGCCTTCAGGTATACTGGGTTGTCATACAAACCACAGAGGGACACAAGGGTGTCTTCATCCAATTCCCATTACCCATTCTTTCCTCTTCCCTGTTCTTAGCCATCACAAACCCCAAGACATTGGCAAAAGTGGAGCAAGGGAATGAGATCTGGGCTGAGCGTCGGTGCAGGCCTCAAGGAAATGCTTGCAGCGAGCCAACAGGTGAGGCCACTTGGAAACCACAAACAAGCTTTTTTTGTCTCCAGAAGTTGGCTGCGTCTACAAATGGGCGGATCCTTTAAGCCATCATGTCTTGATAGATCTGTGCTCCCCTAATTTGTCACACCGGCTTTCTCCTTTCCTACAGAAGTCAGACTGGCTCCTTCCTTGTTGTCCTTCTGCTGGCAGGTGAAGTCTCATTTATTCTGACAGGCCTCTGGGAACTGTCTGCTTTTGTTTTAAGGAAAAGGCTTCAAAATTGCTGCTGCTGCTGTTGTTGTTGTTATTGATAATGATGATGATGTTGGTGATGATGATGATAATAATATATTACGTGGCGCTGTGGTCTAAACCACAGAGCCTAGGACTTGCCAATCAGAAGGTCGGCGGTTCGAATCCCCGCTACGGGGTGAGCTCCCGTTGCTCGGTCCCTGCTCCTGTCAACCTAGCAGTTCGAAAGCACGTCAAAGTGCAAGTAGATAAATAGGTACCGCTCCGGCGGGAAGGTAAACAGCGTTTCCGTGTGCTGCTCTGGTTCGCCAGAAGCGGCTTAGTCATGCTGACCACATGACCAGGAAGCTGTCTGTGGACAAACGCCGGCTCCCTCAGCCTATAGAGTGAGATGAGCGCCGCAAACCCAGAGTCGGTCACGACTGGACCTAACAGTCATGGGTACCTTTACCTTTACCTTTACCCATCTGACAGGGTTGCCCCAGCCACTCTGGACAGCTTCCAACATAATAAAAACACAGCAAAACATTAAACATAAAAAACTTCCTGAAACAGGCTGCCTTATCTTTTTTAATAAGATGATAGATGATAGATAGATAGATAGATAGATAGATAGATAGATAGATGATAGATAGATAGATAGATAGATAGATTCTATCATAGTTTAATTACCTTTTAAAGTAAATCCTGCCAACCTAGCAGTCCGAACGCATGCCAGTGCAAGTAGATAAATAGGTACCGCTGCGGTGGGAAGGTAAACGGAGGTTCCGTGCGCTCTGGTTTCCGCCACGGTGTTCCATTGCTCCAGAAGCGGCTTAGTCATGCTGGCCACATGACCCGGAAAGCTGTCTGTGGACAAACACCAGCTCCCTCGGCCTGAAAGCAAGATGAGCGCCGAAACCCCATAGTCGCCTTTGACTGGACTTAACCACCCAGAGGTCCTTTACCTTTTACTTTTACTTTTTACAGATTATCTTTTAAGTTTTTTGTCTTGTATCTGTGTTTGTGTAAGCAGCCATGAGTTCTGGTCTGGGGAAAAATACATGATATAAATATATTATTATTATTATTATTTCCCTCTATTTAAGATGTTGTCTCACCTTCCTTCTGTTTTCTCCATCTTGTTGCCAGTGCCATTGTTGCATCTATCAACCTGATGCATAGCTCAGTCGGTAGGACATCAGACTCTTGAACTCAGGGTCAGGGGTTTGATCCCCATGTTGGGTGAAAGATTCCTCATTGCCGGGGGTTGGACTAGATGATCCATGTGGTCCCTTCCAACTCTTCTCTTCTCTTCTCTTCTCTTCTGATGACTACATGTGAATCACACTGATATATCTTCTCCTTTTCCCAGGAGTTGCTGAGAGAACAAGAGAGAATGAGGGGAGGGGTCTTCAACCAGAAAACTTTGAGCTGGCAGGGTCACACATTGCATTGCTTCAAAGCACTGAGACCAAGTCCAAATCCCGTGAAAAGCAGGAAGCCCCTGAGACTCAACCCATGTCGCCAGGCAGCCATCTTGGAGAGCAGCTACTGGAACCAGTTCTTTTTGTGGGGCTAGAGAAGAACACAGGCAACATAGGGACGGGACAGGAGAGCCAAGAGCTTTGCTCCGCCTGTGGGAAGGTCTTCAACAACAGGGCAAGCCTGGTTAGACATCAGAGAATCCACAGCGGGGAGAAGTCACACACCTGCACAGACTGCGGGAAAAGCTTCAACAAGAGGTCCAACCTTATTACTCATCAGAGAATCCACACGGGAGAGAAGCCCTACCGGTGTGTGGAGTGTGGGAAAAGCTTCAGCCTGAGCTCCAGCCTCGTCCGGCACCAGAGGATCCACACTGGGGAGAAGCCCTACCAGTGCTCTGTGTGCGAGAAAAGCTTCAACCAGAAGCCCTCCCTGGTGGTGCACGAGAGGACCCACCGCCGTGAGAAGCCCTACAAGTGCTCGGCGTGCGAGAAGAGCTACAGCCACGCCACGAGCCTCATCGCTCACGAGAAAATCCACCGGGAGGAGAAGCCGTACTGGTGCGCGGAGTGCGGGAAAAGGTTCAGCTTCAGCTCTCAGCTGATCACCCACCAGAGGATCCACGCGGAAGAGAAGCCCTACAAGTGCTCTGTCTGCGGGAGAGGGTTCAGCCGCCCCTCCAGCCTCGTTGTGCACGAGAGGGTCCACACGGGAGAGAAACCCTACAAGTGCACCGCCTGTGAAAAGGGCTTCCCCTCCAACTCGAGTCTGGTGAGGCACCAGCTCACCCACGTGGAAGAGAAGCTGTGTGCGGAATGCGGGAAAAGCGTCAGCCCAACTTCCCGACTCCAGAGGATCCAGGCCGGGGAGGAAATGGCCAAGTGCCCGGGATGCGAGAACCGGTTCGACTCGAGTCCCAGTGGTTTTCCAGTGGCGCATCTTCCCAAATGGAGGAAACCCGTTGGCAGACGAAACAGCAGTCGGCGTGATGACATTCGTATCGTAGATTCCGCAGAGGTGCAGCTGGAGGACGATGTTTTCAGCCAAAGCTCCCTGCCTCTGCATTATCACATTCACTATGCGGGATGGGAATGAAAGCACCGTATTTTTCGCTCTATAAGACGCACCCGACCATAAGACACATCTAGTTTTTAGAGGAGGAAAACAAGGGAAAAAAATATTCTGAATCAAATGTTGTTGGAGGAAGGAGGAGGGAGGATCAGGCTAAGGCTCTCCCTCTTGCTGTGCTGGGTTCAGCAGAGCAGCGCAAAGCCTATTATTAATGAATTGATTTTAGAATGCTGTATTATTTTACTGTTCTAAGCCGTTCTAAGCCCGGCTTTGGCTGGGGAGGGTGGGATATAAATAAAATTATTTTATTATTATTCAGCAAAGCGGGAGGAACGCTCCCGCTTCGCTGAAGAGGCTTTGCGCAGCTATCCCTGAAGCCAGAACAGCAAGACGGAGAGCTGCACAGCCTGCATTCACTCCGTAAGACGCACACACATTTCCCCTTACTTTTTAGGAGGAAAAAAGTGCATCTTATACAGCGAAAAATACGGTAAGAGGGGGTTTTTTTGTGCGCTTGCTGTCTAGAGCTAATGTAGCCCAAAACATCTGCCAGGATGCCAGGTTGATGAATTTCTGTGGTTGTAGGGGAGCAAGCGATGTATCTTTGGTCTTACTGTAAATATATTTAATTTTCAGGGAAATGTTCTTGGCAGTTGGGGGAGAAGGGGGGGAATGTTTCCTCCCTGGAGAAATCTAGTTTGGCTTTGTTCTGGATACATTAAAATTGCCGGAGGAGTTGAAAAAGCAACTTATTGTTCTTCTGAAGAGAAGTTGCTATGTAAGAATGAAGATGCGTTTGAACTTTAGATTAATTTGGGAGCACACGTTTTTGTATGTATGAACACACACAAAATGTAAACTCGGCTTACTTTCTGCAGGGATAGCGCTGCAATCCTAAGGCCCGTTCAAATGTGGTCCAGAGCCAAAATTCCCTTCAATTCCGACGTTCAAGTGATGTGTGTTGTTGTTTGTGTGACCAAACCCATGCTCAAAAGGGGGGTCACAGTGGGCTTCAGGGAAACCCCTAGTTCTGCAAAGCTGTAAGAAAATTTTTAGAGGGCGAGGTAATGGAAGGAGGGGTGCATGTTCAGTGACCATTTGGGGGACAAGGAGAATGGAAAGGAATTGGAAACTGTCATGGCTTCCCCGCAAAGAATTCTGGGAAGTGTTGTGCATTAGGGGTGGTCAGACCTGTTAGGGGAGACTCCTATTCTCTCTCCTAGAGCTATCATTCTCAGAGTGGTTTAACGGTCATTCCCTCTCCCCAGGGGATTCTGGGAATTGTAGTTCTGTGAGGGGTGCCAATGGCAGGGCCTGAAGTCTGACCGCCTCATTAATGCCCTGTGAGGTTGCCGAAATGGCGAGGTTTTTGTGTGTACGTGTACGGAACAAACTACAGACGCCCGTTAACCAATTCAAAGGCCTTTATTCAAAGGAGATCCAGAAGACACACAAAAAAAGCATTTAGAAATAAAAGGGAAGTCTCTAAACACAGGGCCACAATCCTGTTTGGAACCAGGGGCACACTGGCAAATCTAAGGCGCTGAGGGCGTCACGAAAAGGCCCATTTTACAGGAGACGGTCATCAGAATGTCCCCCTTCAAGCAAATCATATCCCCAAAGCAAAAGACAAAAAAGAAGGAAACACCCCCAGAAACAACCAAAACCCATAAAAACTAACATTGGGAGGAGCTGGAGGCTAGGTTAGCGCCCTGAGGGGCTGTCTGAGTGTCCTGTGATGCTTGTGAAGAAGAAGAGTAGTTTGGATTTGATATCCTGCCTTTCACTCCCTTTAAGGAGTCTCAAAGTGGCTAACATTCTCCTTTCCCTTCCTCCCCCACAACAAACACTCTGTGAGGTGAGTGGGGCTGAGAGACTTCAGAGAAGTGTGACTGGCCCAAGGTCACCCAGCAGCTGCATGTGGAGGAGCGGGGAAGCGAACCCGGTTCACCAGATTACAAGTCTACCGCTCTTAACCGCTACACCCCACTGGCATATGTGGGCATACGGTTGGGGACCCCCAGATCTAAAACATTACCCATGTCTTATAAATAACAGTAACACTGATTAATTGTCCGGCGCTTCGCAGACACGCTGCCAATGATCCGCACAACAGTCCTGTGAGGCGGGTCTGTATCGTTGGCCCTCTCCTCACAAACATATCAAGTGCGCATGTGTGGACATCACTGCTGACCAATGGCTACTTGCCACAGCAGCTACGGCCACCTCCAGAGCTGGGAGAAAGTGTGCTTCTGAATGCTGGAAACCACAAGAAGGGAGAGTGTTGCTGTTGTGCTCTGGGGTCTGGCTCGCAGCGTTTCCCATCAGGGGAATCTGTCTGGCCCCTGTGAGAACAGGATTTTGGACGGGCCTCTGGGCTGATCCAGCAGCCGGTGTCTTCCTATGTTCTTACTTGTGTGTAAACAGGAAGGCGTTTGCACTCCTAAGGCTGCAACCCGAACGCCCCACCTTACCCGGGAGTTAGCCCCACTGAGTCCAACAGGCCTTACTTCCAAGCAGACATAGGATTGGGCTGGGATCTTTCAGATCCAAGCCTTCCTTGGGTCTGCCCCCTTTTCGACTTTATCACAAGGACGCAGGAAGCTTACACTGAGCCAAACCACTGGTGAATCGAGCTCAGTGTTGTCTAAACTCACTAGAAGGATTTCAGAGATGACAGTCCCAGTTCTAGCTAGAGATGCTGGAGAAGGCCTTGTGGTCTTCTGTGGGCAAGGCCAATGCTCTAATCCAGCCTTTCTCAACCTTGGGTCCCCTGATGATTTTGGCCTACAACTCCCATTATCCCTAGCTAGCAAGGCCAGAGTTCAGGGATGACGGGAGTTGTAGTCCAACAACATCTGGGGACCCAAGGTTGAGAAACGCTGCAAGGCAAGAGCTGCAGAAGTATCTGCGGCAGTGGGGAGGGGCTACCTGTGATTGGATCTCCCCTCTCTGAGGTGGGAGCTTACTCTCCTTATGAGGAACGGTTGAAGGATCTGGGTATGTTTAGCTTGCAAAAGCGGAGACTGGAGATATGATAGCCATATTCAAATATCTCAAGAGCTGTCACATGGAACACACTTGTTTTCTCCTGCTCTGGAGGGCAGGACTTGAGCCCATGGCTTCAAGTTGCAAGAAAGGAGATTCCGACTAAACATTAGGAAGAACATCAGGAAGAGCTATTTGACAGTGGAAGAGTCTCCCTGGGTCAGTGGTGGACTCTCGTTCCTTGGTGGTTTATAAGCAGAGGTTGGGTGGCCACCTGTCATGGACGCTTTAGTTGAGATTCCCGCATTGCAGCGGGTTGGACTAGATGACCCTCGGGTCCCTTCGAACTCTACGATTCTCTGTCTTGGGTGTGGGAGATGTGATGCATTCCACAGTCTCCCAGCGATCGGAAGGCTGCAATTAATATGATTGAGTAAGATTTCTCTAATGGGATAATGGCCCAAATATTATAATTATTATTAGGCACCTTTCTCTAACCATTGCAGCAGCAGGCTGATGGCAAGACCCCAGAATTTGAAAGGAGGAGCAGGCACGTCCCGCTCAAGGTTGTGGTACGAATGGCACAGCGATGAGCCAAAATACGTAGAAACAAGTTTTGAAAACGAGGGCCGTTTCAAGTATACGTCCGACCGCTAGCCAGTGCACGTGCATAAATGAGACCCATCAGTGTGCACACAGGGTATTAAAGAAAAACCAAAAACCAGGGGCTGTGGTGAGGAGGAGAGTATGGAGCATCAAGGTGTCTCCCTCAGCCGCCAGGACTCCGCAAGGAAACGGCAAAGGCAGAAGGGAGGAAGAAGGAAGCAGGCAGAGGCAGAAGAAAAAGGCTGGGATGGATCTGCAGCTTCTGCCGACATCTGTCTCAGGAAGCAGCACAGACAGAAGCTGCAATTTCATTCCAGTCTTTTTCTTCTGCCTGTGTCTCCTGTCTTGAGCTCCACTCACCCCGTTTTGCTCACATCTGGTGAGCAACATCTCCTTCTTTGGAGCAGGAAGATGAAGACACTTTAATCCATTTTGGTCTGGGTTAGCGTGATCGCTGGTTAAAGGTAAAGATCATGAAAACTGACTGTATCTTTGTACGCACCTGGTTATTGCTAAAGCAAAAATTTGGTGTTTTTGTCTTATTTTTAAAGTAAAGTTTAGTTGTTAATAAAAAAAAGTTTAGTTTCTTTCGTTTGTTTGATAAATAAAAACAATGTCCTTTATGACTGAGTATGAGTCTGTATTCAATAAACGTTCACCTTAAAATAAATCTTTGGGTGCCCACCGTAACAAAATGTGCTGCACATGGTTATGTGTATATCCTTCAATTCACTGTAACGCATAGCTTAATAACATGAACACGGAGAACCCGTCTTGCACATTCATGATAATTTGTGAACCTTGTGCTATCAGGGAAGCCCCACACAATACCGCTTTCAATACTGATTGCGTTTGCAAAGGTCACTCAGAACTACTGCTTTATTTCCCATCAATGCGTATCCTGTAATTTCCTGCTGATGCACAGTGATAAGAATATTTTACAGTATACTCCCACAACGAAACACCAGGGTTGTATTTAACCACATTCTAGGCACATAGAAATGAGCAAACCTAAGATAGTTGTGTCCATTAACCTCAGTAGGACAAGCATGGGCTTTGAGCCCTACTCAGAGTAGAGCCACTGGAGTTAATTAACCTAGTTAATTAATTTCAGTGGATCTACTCAAGAGTAGGAGTTGGCCGACTACAACCCAATGTTTGGAGGGGCCATAAATCAGTTGGGTTTCTCCTAGCAACTTCACCAGCAGTTGTCGGAGTCGAGAAGTAACTGCAGATTATCTTCTCCTAGATCAGCCTTTCTCAACCTGTGGGTCCCCAGATGTTGAACTACAACTCCCATCTGTTAGTTTCTGTTTTGCCACTGTGCAGACTGCTTGGAGTCACAGGACTCTGTTTACATTCCAGAGACCTTCCAGGCTGTTGGAAGTCTCATGGGAGACGGATGTGACGTTAGTGGTTTCCTGTTCCTTTGTTGTTCAGTTGCTCTCTGCTTTCATAGAGAGAGGGTGTTTCTTTGCTGTCTGCGTAGTAAGAAAGAAAGCATAGCAGGTAGCCATTAATCTCATCACTTCCGCGTGCTGTTTTGGATTCTCTGCTGAATGTGCCTGAGGCCTCATCAAAGGCCTCATCAAATTATCATCGGAGGATGAGCTTTATCAGCTCGGTCAAACGGAGATTCCGACACCATCACCCCTAGCTAGCAAGGCCAGAGCTAAGGGATGATGGGAGTTGTAGTCCAACAACATCTGGGGACCCACAGGTTGAGAACCTCTGTCCTAGATGAAAGCAGGCAAATTATTTCCCTCCCCCCGAAAATGATTTCTGGTTTGTTTGTTTTTGTAGAAAACCGGTCCCCTGTAGCATCCAGCTACAGTTTACCATTTTCCAGCACCACTGCAGTTCAACTAATAAATACCGGTAACCTTGCCGCCATGCAACCAAAGTCAGGAGGGAAATGCCACTGCAGACTGCAGGCAAACCACATTGCTATGGGGGCAACCATAGCCACCTTGAGACTCAAGGCAACAGGGGGCGGAGTCTGGGCTCTTTACAGGGCTTTGCTGGGCGGAGGCTCCTCCGGGAGTCCGAGCGTGTTCAGAGCTTCTCTCGTGTGGATCTTCTGGTGCCGGACGAGGACGGCGCGGTGAGAGAAGCTCTTGCCACACGTGGTGCACTGGTGGGGCCTCTCGCCCGTGTGGACCTTCTGGTGGCGGATGAGGACGGCCCGGTCGCAGAAGCACTTGCCGCACGTGGCGCACTTGAAGGGCTTTTCACCCGTGTGGATCCTCTGGTGGACCATGAGGATCTGCCGCTGGCTGAAGCTCTTCCCGCACTCGGAGCAGGTGTAGGGCCTCTCCCCGGTGTGGACGCGGTGGTGCTTGACCAGCTGCGAGGACGTGTTGAAGGACTTGTCGCAGTCGGGGCACTTGAAGGGCTTCTTGCCCGTGTGTGAGCCCTCGTGGATCATGAGGCTGGAACTGCGGCTGAAGGCCTCGCCGCACCGCGAGCACTTGTAGGCCTTCTCCCTGGTGTGGACCTTCTGGTGGTTGAGGAGCTGGGTCTTGCGGCTGAAGCTCTTGCCGCACTCAGGGCAGCTGAAGGGCTTCTCCCCCACGTGGATGCGGTAGTGGCGCGTGAGGTCCGAGCTGACGGTGAAGCGCTTCCCGCACTGCGAGCAGCTGTAAGGCCTCTCGCCCGTGTGCGTCCTCTCGTGCGCCACCAGGGTGGACTTCAAGCTGAAGCACTTCCCGCAGTCCTGGCACATGAACGGCTTCTCGCCCGTGTGAGTCCTCTGGTGCGCGACAAGCACCGTGGTCCGGCTGAAGCTTCTCCCGCACATGCCACACACCTTCTTCCCCCGACTCCTGCGCCTCCTCTTGACGACGACCGCTTGGCCCCGTTCCCCGCTCTCTCCTAAACAGGGGGGGAACACGTCCCCTCTGGGCGCCAGGGAGTTTTTCCGCCCTTTTTCTGATCCCTTGCGGCTCGCAGAGGCTTCTCCCCCTTCTTGGGGCCAGGAGAGACCTCCCCACGAGGCTCCACAGAGTTTGACCAGCTCGGTATTTTCGAGGTGTGTCTTCTCCTCTTTGCCCTTGGTGATCCACCCATCACCTGCCAGGAATACAGAGAATTTATTCATTTAAGCAGCGCTTTTTTCGGGGGGGGGGGGACGCAGGGGTATGCATACCCCAAAACATATTGTGAATCAAGTGAATAAGTTTGGCCCCATTGAGGGGCAGTATTTTAATATGAGTAGGAAAATGAGAGTACAGTCATACCTCATGTCACGTTAGCTTCAGGTTGTGCGTTTTCAGGTTGCGTACCGCGGGGACCCGGAAATACCAAAAAGGGTTACTTCTGGGTTTTGCCACTTGCGCATGTGCAGATGCGTAAAATGACGTCAGCGCATGCGCGGAAACGGCGAATCGCGACCCGCATGTGCGCAGACGCGGGTTGCGTTCTTTTCAGGTTGCGAACGGGCCTCCGGAACGGATCCTGTTCACAACCAGAGGTACCACTGTACCCCTAAACATTTCTTTTTTAGAAAAAAAACACTACATTTAAGTGATTTATATGCCACGCCTTATTTCAAAGAAATCTCTAAGCGGTTTACATCATAGATACAAAAAAAAAAAAGCCACCCCACAATTTTTTTAAAAATCCCCATTTCAGAGCAGAACAGAACAATTAAATACAAATGAATAGATTAAATTCCCCAGATGTGGAACACCCTCACTAGTGAGGTGAGCCTGTCTCCTTCAGTATTAACTTCCAGGAGGAATTTGAATACACTTCTCTTTTCCCAGGCGTTGGGCGGCTGCAGAATACTGTTCCCGGCAACCTGGAGATCATTGGACAGGAGCAGGTTTTTAATTGTAATTATTAACTTTAGAACATTTTAAACTGCAACTGCTTTTCAGTGTTTTTAATCGTTATTTGTTTCTGGAATGGTTCGATCTGTTTTAAAATATTTCTGTGCTATGCTTGTGTTTCTAAATCGTATTATGTGTTTGCTGCCCTTTGTAGAGGAAGCGTGGAATATTAATTCAGTTAACAACATCTAAACTAACAACAACAACCCTCTTCAACATCTAAACTAAGACATCCCCTTAAACATATAAGACACGCTTTTAAATATATAAAATAAAACAACTAACATATGGGGACCATAATAACCACTAGCAAATCCAATGGCAGCTGCTGCCCATTGCGGCTGATACGGTGGAATGCAGGGAGCCCAACAGCAGGTGGCGCCACCCTCGCAGTGGTTCTCAACCTGTGGGTCCCCAGATGTTGTTGGACTACAACTCCCATCATCCCTGAGCTCTGGCCTTGCTAGCTAGGGGTGATGGGAGTTGTAGTTCAACGACATCTAGGGACCCACAGGTTGAGAAAGGCTGGCTTAGAGGGCCATATTTGGCCCCGAGCTTCAGGTTCCCATGTATTGTGAATCCCATACGCTGGGTAGAAGTAGTCACAGGAGACAAAAGCCACCTAAGGAAGATGGGACCATAAAGAATCATAGAATCATAGAGTTGGAAGAGACCACAAGGGCCATCGAGTCCAACCCCCTGCCAAGCAGGAAACACCATCAGAGCACTCCTGACATATGGTTGTCAAGCCTCTGCTTAAAGACCTCCAAAGAAGGAGACTCCACCACACTCCTTGGCAGCAAATTCCACTGTCGAACAGCTCTTACTGTCAGGAAGTTCTTCCTAATGTTTAGGTGGAATCTTCTTTCTTGTAGTTTGGATCCATTGCTCCGTGTCCGCTTCTCTGGAGCAGCAGAAAACTACCTTTCTCCCTCCTCCATGTGACATCCTTTTATATATTTGAACATGGCTATCATATCACCCCTTAACCTCCTCTTCTCCAGGCTAAACATACCCACCTCCCAGTCTAGGGGAGCTGGTATCGGTACCGCCCTCCTGCTTGACCGTGGAGCAGAGTGGCATCTCCTCGAGGACGGGCAGAGGCGACTCAGCCGCAGGGAAGTTCAAACCCACCTCCTGGATCAGCGCCGGACCCTGAAACGAGAGCAGCAAGGATCTTCTTGAGGACAAAGGGATTTGGAGAGGGAGAAAGTGGTGGTCTCCATTATCTAGCCAATCCTGCTTGTGGAATGCTCTCCCCAAGGAAGCTTCCCAGTGAGTGTAGAGGTCAGGGGTGGTGAACTATGATCTGGGAGACCAGGGTTCAAATCCCTGCCCGGCCATGAAGTGTGCTGGGTGAGCCCCAGTAGGACTCTAAGTTTGAAGTATCACCATCCAGCTTTCAATAAAACACAGCTTCCCCCAAAAGAATCCCTGGCCACCAGGGGTATTGCGTATATAGTTTTCACTCAGGTCCACGTCAGTTAATTTAGGCGGGAAACCCTGGGCTGTTGCTGTTACAACGTGGACAGCCAGCTGCCTATAAAAGCAGGCCGGCTGAGCTGTTCAGTTCAATTCCAGCTTACTTATAAAGAGCAACTTGCAGAAATCTCTGTGTCGTCTGATATGTCCACCCACTACTTAATACTGGCAACAAAGGTGGGATAGGATGGACATCAGAGCACAGCCAGATTAGGACACTCACTGAGTGGAATCACTGAAGAGAACCCAATTCAGAGCTGACCGTTCTGGCTAGAGCACTGTGTTCCATCCATCACCCACCACGTCGGCATTGGAACATACCTGTCAACGTTTTCCTTTTTTTAAGGGAAGGTCCCTTATTCCAAATAGGATTCCTTGCAAGAAAAGGGAAAAGTTGACAGTTATGCATCGGAACCATGGCTTCACTCGTGCCTCTACTGCCGTTTGCCCCAGCCTCTGAATCATGGGACTCCTACCTCGCTCAGTTCGACTGCTACCTCCAAGCCAACGAGCTGACGGAAGGGTCAGAGGAGCGGGAGCGGGGCCTGTTCCTCAGCCTCTGTGGGCCTGAGGTGTTTGAGACAGCCCGAGCGTTGGTCGCGCCACTAGCAGTCCAGGCAGTGCTGTGGGACATGCTAAAAGAGAAGCTTAAAAACCCCAACATGACAGGCGTCGCCTACACACTCTCAGCAACCTCCGGAGCTCCCAGGATCCTTAGGGGGAAGTCATGACTACCAATTATTTTCCGGGCCCAATTCCAAGTGCTAGTTTTGACCTATAAAGCCTTAAAACGGCTCAGGACCGCAATACCTCAAGGACCGCCTCTTTCCATATGAACCTACCTGGACCCTGAGATCATCTAATGAGGCCCTTCTTCGTGTGCCTCCTCCTCTAGAGGTCCGGAAGGTGGCAACGCGAGAACAGGGCCTTCTCTGCAGTGGCTCCCCGTCTGTGAAATGCTCTCCCCAGGGAAGTTCGCCCGGCGCCTTCATTACACACCTTTAGGCGCCAGGCAAAAACGGTCCTTTTTAACCAGGCCTTTGGTTGATCTGTTTGATATCCTATACCCTTTAAAATGTTGCTCTTTGGGGGGGGGTTGTTATTGGTTTTTTTATTTTATTCTGATTATATATGTTGTGATCTTTTCTGTGAGCCGCCCTGAGACCTCTGAGTATAGGGCGATATATAAATTCAAACTAACCACAATTACCTTGAATTTCTGCTTAACCCTCAAGAAAGAAGGGCATTTTCGCTGGCCAGGTTTAATTCAAATCCATCAAACCTCCTTTGGGGAAGGTTCTCAGACAGGGTGGAAGGAGAAAGAACTTGCCCATGTGAAGACCACCTGGTGGAAACCCTCACACATATGGTTCTCAATTGTAAACTATATGCTGATCTCCGCCAGCAATTTCTAGATCAACTCTGTATCCCCAAATGGAAACCAGAGTCGTAGGTCATACATTTTTTATTGCTGGGGAATGATCAGGAGCTCACCAAGTTAGTGGCTAAATATTTCTATTTGGTTTTTTGTCGTCGAAATACACTGCAGACGTCTGATTTCCCTGGAGACCAGGAGATGTGACGATAGACTGCTATGCCTCCTTTCTTTTAGCAAATGTTTTGTGCCACTGGGGAAGTGGTAATTCTGTATTGATTTGTTTTGTATAATAATAATAATAATAATAATAATAATAATAATAATAATTTGTATGTTTGTATGTGATGCCAATAAAAGGTTTGATGATGATGAAATAATAATAATAATAATAATAATAATAATAATAATTGCTCAACCAATCTGGGAACTGTAGCTCTGTGAGGGTAACAAGGGATACCTACAAACTCTCGGCAACTTCAAGAGCTCCCAGGATCCTTTGGGGGAAGTCATGACTGTGGAACAATATTGCTTCAAATGTGGAGTGTGGATGGGGGCCTTTCAGCCTGGCCCAACTTCAGGGCTCTCGTTGTGGCCAACGTATGAGGTCTTCACAACTCTCTTAAAACATCCTTGAGAAGCGACCCTAAACGTTCTCACCTCCCGTTCTGTTTTGGCCGCCTCCCGCCGTCGCAGTAAAAAGCCTTCGGCCAGGGCCACCGCCTGGTCACAAGTCTGAGGGCAGCCATCTTTGACCCAGCCCTGAAGCTCCGAGGGCAAGATGGCCAGGAACTGCTCCAGGATCACCAGCTCCAGGATCTGCTCCTTGGAGTGCTTCTCCGGCTTCAGCCACCGGTGGCACAGGTACCAGAGGCGACTACAGGCCTCGCGGGGACCTTCGGCCTCCTGGTAGCGGAACTCCCGAAAGAGCGTCCGCTGCACATCCATGGCGACCGAATCATCTCCCAGGAGATCCTCTGTCGCTTTCCAACAATCCTCCGTCTTGACAGCGGCAATCTTTGTGGCGTCCCTTGGAGCTTCTCTGCCAAGGCCCGACAGCCTGCCAGACCTCCGGCAAGCGCTCGCCACTCCCTCAAAGGTGGCCAGGAAAGTTTTGGGATCGTCCCGAGGCAGAGACCCCAGCAAGGGAGGGTTTCCCCATCCCAAGCAAGGGAATCGTGTTCCTTTCACGTCTTCCAGATGTTTCCATGGCTTCCCGCCTGACTCGCCCATGACCAGTTCCGGGGCCTCCCTTTTCAGGAAATCCTGGTCGTTCCCAGCCTTGGCTTCGTGAGAGGATCTTCCTGATCTCTCCACTGCCCCTGTGGGATCGTGGCCTGTTCGGCTGCTCTCTTCCCAGTGCTCCTTGGGCTGGATCTCCCGCTGGAGCAGAGATCGGAAGTAGAGATCAACGCTTGGCGTTCTTCCCTTCTCGGCTGCCATTTTGGATCTTCAGCTCAGCATGGCAGCCTTGGGGGTAAATGTCTATTTAACGGGAAAAGCCACCCCAAAAGGATCTGCTCAGGCATGCGCCAGGCCCACAGGAAGCCTGGGGCATTTCTTTGTGGTGGTGGAGAACAGGGATCTCTCGACAAAATGCAGTGTTTCACAAGAAGAGCTGGGGAGGAGGGCTTCCCCTGAAAAAGAGACAGAGATTTAAAAAGACAAGGATGTAAGAGTATAGAGATGAAGTTTCAAACTTTGCCATCTTGGTTGCTCAAAACAACAACAACTCATCTTCCCTCCCCATCCCTTTTTCCTTTCGTGTTGTCTTTTAGAGTGTTAGCCGGACAGTGGGGGCTGTTCAGCTGGTTTGCTAATTTGATCCACAAGCTGCTCTGGAAAACTTTTGGATGCAGAGCAGGGGGAAATGCTTTAAACAAACAAACAAACAAACAAACAAACAAACAAACAATTTAGTGTACTTTCCCAGCTGACACAGCTACAACAATATATTAATGGAATCCTAGAAGAACATAGCCTCAAAAGATTCCATCAATGGTGTCTCTGAAAATTTTTACACATCACTTGGGAAGACAGGTGAACTAATATCAGTGTACTGGAAGAAGCAAAGATCCCCAGTGTTGAAGCAATGATTCTTCAACATCAACTTCGCTGGACCAGTCATGTTGTACGGATGCCTGATGGTCATCTTCCAAAGCAACTACTCTATTCCGAACTTAAAAATGGAAAGCATAATGCTGGTGGTAAACAAAAGAGGTTGAAAGACTGTCTCAAGGCAAATCTTTAAAAATGTAGTATAAACACTGACAACTGGGAAACACTGGCCTGCGAGCGCTCCAGTTGGAGAACAGCCTTTACCAAAAATGTCATGGGCTTTGAAGATGCTTGAACTCAGGATGAAAGGGAGAAACGTGCTAAGAGGAAGGTACGCTTGGCAAACCCTCACCGTGATCAGCTCCCGCCCGGAAACCAATGTCCCCCCCTGTACAAGGAAGTGTGGATCCAGAATTGGCCTCCACAGTCACTTATGGACTCACTGCTAAAGCCGTGTTTATGGAAGACAATCTTACTCAGCTACAAGTGATCGCAAAAGAAGACGACTGCTTACACCCCACAAGAAACTAAAAGCAGTGTAAGCACATAGGATAGAAGCTGTGCTATACCAAGTCACACTATTGGTCTATGTAGCTCAGCGCTGCGTACACGGACTGGCAGCAGCTCTCTGGGCTTTCAGACAGGAGATTCCTGCATTGCAGGGGGTTGGACTAGATGACCCTCGGGTCCCTTCCAGCACTACAACTCTATGATTATAATGTCTTAAAGGGAAGCCCCCCTCCCCACAACTCACTTTCTCCCCTCCTGCTGTTTGCTATTCCAAAGTCTGCTGCATTGCAGTGGGTTGGACTAGATGACCCGGGGGTCCCATTCCAACTCAACCCTTCCCGTAAAATTAAAAGCAGGCATCCTAAAAAGCAGGTAGCAGGCGGACAGGGTAGTTCAGTAGTTCTCTGCTTGATGCACGAATTCAGGGAGCTGCCTTCTTATCAAGTCCGACCAGGAGTCCAGTGATGCTGAGCACAGGTTGGCAGCAGCTCTCCAGGATTACAGACAGGATGCATTCCCAGCGCTACCTAGAGAAACGGAGGATTGAATCCGGACTCCCCAGGACCTCTCCAACTCACTATCCTTCCCCTAAACGTTACTGACCCATCCAGAGCACTGACACCCCTTTGAGATCCTCCTTTCAACCGGAGGTGCTGAGCCCCGGATTCTCCTGCAAATCGGTCTCAGAGACCTGCGGCACCGGCAAGCTGCATCTGCCAAGAAAAAAACCCCTCTCCTGCGCATTCACACGCGCACGCATGCAAGTCTTGCGCGGGGTGGGGGGCGCACGCCACCAGCTCCTTGCAGCCCCACCAGGCGGGTGCACGGGCGCCTCGCCCCCTTACCACCGCCGGTTCCCCGGAGCCAAGCAGAGAAACAGCAGCAGCAGCAGCAGCGGGGAAAAAAGGGCCGGTCTCTCTGCAACTCTCGCCCACAAAAGAGGGAGGAAGAGGAAAGGACTTTCGGAGACGGAGAGCGCGCGCGCGCGCAAACCTCCCTCTCCCTTTCCCAGCGATGGCTCCTCCGGCTCCAGTCTGGGAAGAACAACCTCGCTCGCCCGTTTAACCCTTCCCTGGACCTTAAAAAAGACACACCCCCAGCAAATAAATAAATAAAGGAAGAAATGAACAAAGGAGAGACGGTGCCATCCGTCTCCAGCTGCTGCTGGTCTTTGGTTTCCCTGGCAGGGCGCCTGGGAGCGCACAGCAACTGGGTTGGGTTTTTTTTTGTGGGGTGGGGTTGGAGAGGCAGAAATGTGACAGGTGCAGCTCTGTGCATGCACTGGAGAGGGTGGGGGTGCAAGGATGAGGAATGCGGAGGGTCTTTTTCCGGGGAGGGGGTGACTTTGCATGGAAAGGCAGGGCTTAGCGCTTGCAATGCGCACAGCGGCAAAAAATGGGCGGAAGCGCAGCAAGAGCGCGTTGCCAACTTTCTCGCCCCGGCGAGGCTCTTCTGCCCTATAAAGTAGGAGCAGCGAGAACGGGGAGTTTGCTCTCCCCACCCCTTGTCTAACCTACATCCCTCTTCCTGCTTTCTTTCCCCTACATCCTCAAGGTGTTTCATTCATTACTATTAATTTGTTTATCCCCCGGTGTGTTTGTGTCTCAGTTGAGCGGGAACCTGGAGACAAAGAGACATGTCTTCCTCTGCTGGATCCAAAGCTGCGACGAACGGAGAACCCAAAACTTTTGGGGGTGTGATAATAAATAATAATAATAATAATTAAAAAAACACCCACACCCACAAATAATAATAATAATAATTAATTTATTTATACCCTGTTTTTTATAAGTTGTAAGCTGCCATGGCGCTGTGGGTTAAACCACAGAGCCTAGGACTTGCTGATCAGAAGGTCAACGGTTCAAATCCCCGTGAGGGAGTGAGCTCCCGTTGCTCGGTCCCTGCTCCTGCCAACCTAGCAGTTCGAAAGCACATCAAAGTGCAAGTAGATAAATAGCCAATAAAGCGAGATGAGTGCTGCAACCCCAGAGTTGGCCACGACTGGACCTAATGGTCAGGGGTCCCTTTACCTTTAAGCTGCCTTGAGCAGTTTTAACTTTAGAGAGGCGGCATACAAATAAAATGATTGATTGAATGAAACACCACTCTCTTCACTATTCACTGCCTCTTTCGTAGACTCTTAAGAGCTAGAAGGGACCCGAGGGTCATCTAGCCCAACCCAACCCCCCCCCCCCCCGGCAATGCAGTAATCTCTGTTAAAGCATCCATGACGGATGGCCACCCATCCACTGCGTAAAAGCCTCCAAGGAAGCAGAGCCCACAACCTCCCAAGGGGGACTATTCCACTGCTAAACAGCTCTTACTGTCAGAAAGTTCTTCCTGGTGTTTATCTTCTTCCTTGTAGCTTGAAGCCATAGGTTCGAATCCCACACTCCAGAGCAGGAGAAAACAAGCTTGTTCCCTCTTCCATGTGACAGCCCTTGAGATATTTGAAGATGGGTATAGGGACGTGGGTGGCGCTGTGGGTTAAACCACACAGCCTAGGACTTGCCGATCAGAAGGTCCGCGGTTTGAATCCCTGCGACGGGGTGAGCTTCCGTTGCTCGGTCCCTGCTCCTGCCAACCTAGCAGTTCGAAAGCACGTCAAAGTGCAAGTAGATAAATAGGTACCGCTCCGGCGGGAAGGTAAACGGTGTTTCTGTGTGCTGCTGTGGTTTGCCAGAAGCGGCTTAGTCATGCTGGCCACATGACCCGGAAGCTGTACAGTATAGCGAGATGAGCGCCGCAACCTCAGAGTCGGCCACGACTGGACCTAATGGTCAGGGGTCCCTTTACCTTTATCCCATCTCCTCTCATTTCCTCTCACACATGCACAATCTTCCACCCACCATCTGCGTCTCTCGAACTTATATGCTGAGCCCGCTAGGATCTCTCGCTTCCTTTATGTGATGAAGCAGACACTAGTCTCTGTTAGCCGATGCTGCAATAAATGGGTTAGCATTAGCCGTTCAAGTGTCGCAGGACGCTTTGCTGAGCATAATAATAATAATAATTTATTACTTACACCCCGCCCATCTGGCTGGGCTTCCCCAGCCACTCTGGGCTGCTTCCAACAGGATATTAAAAACACAATAAAAGATCAAACATTAAAAACTTCCCTAAACAGGGCTGCCTTCAGATGTCTTCTAAAAGCCAGATAGTTGTTTATTTCTGAACGATGAGGCTGAACGATGGGGATGGAGACACTCCTTCAGGTATACAGGACCGAGGCCATTTAGGGCTTGAAAGGTCAGCACTAACACGTTGAATTGTGCTCGGAAACGTACTGGTAGCCAATGTAGGTCTTTCAGGACCAGTCTCGGCAGCCACTCCCAGTCACCAGTCTAGCTGCCGCATTCTGGAATAGTTGCAGTTTCTGGGTCCCCTTCAAAGGTAGCCCTAAGTGGAACGCATTGCAGCAGTCCAAGCAGGAGATAACCAGAACATGCACCACTCTGGCCAGACAGTCCACAGGCACGTAGGGCCTCAGCCTGCGTACCAGATGGAGCTGGTAGACAGCTGCCCTGGACACAGAATTGGCCTGCGCTTCCATGGACAGCTGCGAGTCCAAAAGGACTCCCAGGCTGGACACCTGGTCCTTCAGGGGCACAGTTACCCCATTCAGGACCAGGGAGTCCCCCACACCTGCCCACCCTCTGTCCGCCAAAAACAGTACTTCTGTCTTGTCAGGAATCAACCTCAATCTGTTAGCCACCATCCATCCTCCAACCGCCTCCAGACACTCCAGACCGCAATAGGTCTCTACCCAGAGCGCCGGACCCAACAGAGAACTCGACTGCTTCCGCAGGTGGAAATCAGGCACCAGAGCAGAACTGGAAGGGGCGTTCAGCACCTCAGTCCCAGCATTAAACAAAGAGGAGCCAAAGGAAAACCTCTCAGAGACGGGTCCAGTTATTAGGCACTTCTTACGTTTTTCTTTAATCAGTTTCTATCGTATACAATACCCTCTCTTACTGTTATAACGAGGACAGGATGTCGTCAAGTCTCCGGAGTCAGAAATTGAGAGAACTGCGCCCCCAAAGAACAATTCAATGAAGAACTGTTTCCTCCCCCATCCCACCCCAAGAAAAAAATAATCTACCCACTACTAGTCAATGCACATGCAGATAACTCCAACAGACTCCTCGCTGCTTCAACCGTCTATCTATATGCGTCATCCGTTCAACCGAATGCATAGCTTCAAAGACGAGGACTCTCAGAGAGGCGGGTTCGCTGGCATCCCATAAATGCGGAAGTTTTTGATTGCCAAGCCAAGAGCTTTTATAGCAAGGAGGTGCACACAAACCATTTTGGGTGGCCCTTCAGATGATGGACTCCAGATTATCCCGTTTTGGAACTGCCTGCTGGGAGTTCAAATCCAGAAAATTCCTTTGGTGGGATTTAATCTTTTTCCCCAAGGAACTCCTGTGTGGGGTCCGCCATTTTGGAGACGGCTTGTTGGGCCTCTTTTGGCCTGTTCACCATTCGCAGCAAGTCAGTCTTGATGCAACGTTCAGAGAGGTTTTGTTATTTCCAGTTTTTGGCATTCGGGCTTCTGTGTTATTACAGAATGGCTCAGGATAGTTTGAGGAGGTATGGAGTAGGGATCACCTCACAAGTCCCCACAGTGGAAGCTCGGTGCAAGGACTTCTGCTTGTGCGACAGGAGTTCCCCTCCCTCCACACACCCCAAAACTGACGGGGTGTGTTTGTGTCAGAGCAGCATGTGGCAGGAGGAGAGGCGGGGAATCATTCCGACTGGCAAAATGGAATTCTTGAACGATGAGAAGAGTGCAACAACCCTCCCGTAGTACAACGTAGCAATAAGTCATTGGTTCCGTTAGCCTAAGGATTTCTGCTGGTGCAACAAAACTCCTGCCCTCCTCCTCTTCCCATGCACCCCTTAAATCTGTTCTGGAGTTCCCTCCCCCTGGGAAACCCTCAAAAGCAGATTTAGGAAGCTTGTGGGACAGAAAGTGTGGGATAACCAGCCACATATAATCAACATGCCTAAGTCCAATTAGTGCATGAAGGGGTTAAGACCATAGAGTAAGCTGTCCTGCCAGGCTTAGCTGACCTGGGGAGGATATAGGGAATCAAGACTATTGTTCACCTACCTGAGAAGCTCAGCATGTGAAAAGGCTAGAGCTGGTTCTTGCAGCTCAACCGCATGGCTTTCACAAGCCACTCTCGAGTTCCTATACCAGACAAATGCCAACGACTCTGCCACCAGCTCAACTACATGAACCTGACCTTTGGAGAATTGGTAACTAAACCAATTTTTAACTTACCCAGTGTGTACATTTTCCTATGCTGGGGAAAGAGGGAAACTTTGGAAAGAAACTTTACAAAGGGGATGTTTTGGAACTCCGTTGGAAGGGCATACTTTTAAGATTCTCTCACCAAAGAGTACTTGTCCCTAACTTGGATCTTGGCATCCAGGAAGTTCCATTGTGCAAATGTAAATCCTCGTGCTGCCAGAACGAGGGTGCTGGATTCCACCCCCGATTCAGAGCAGCTGCCCTCGGCCTCTCACCCACCAGCTGCTGCCGGACTACAACTCCCAGCCAACGAGGCCATTGCGGTCCAAAACCTCTAGTGGGCAAGAGGCCAGGGTTGCAGGAAGGAGGCAGGATTAGACCTTCTTATTCAGACTGTAGACACAGATGAAGCTGACCCCAGGCGGTCAGGGCAAACTGTACTTTTAGCACTGGTTTTAAACATGATTTTATGTATTTTACGTTCTGCTTTTAACCTGCTTGTTTTTATTTGAAGTTAATTATGCCTGTTTTAAACGCTGCAAGCCACCTTAAGTTTGGGAGAAAAGCAGGATAAGAATACATTAGATCACCATCATAATAGAAATAATA